CGCAACTTTCTTCCAAACCTGACATTGATCTCTGTCCACCTCTCATTGCTATAAAAAAAGGTAAGGGAGAAAATAATGGTAAGTACTCCATAAAAACAAACCCCAGAGTGTTTATAACAGGTACTTTATATATACTGGGGCGCTGCGCGCTATTCTGAATGTCCCACTGTAGGGACTGCAATATGCTTTATAAATACGTATGTACATATAAATAAGCAAATGCAGAGCCTCCATTCCAGGATGGCTACAAGACAATATTGTGGCTATTTCTTATCTCATCACCAAGAGAAACTACACTCCCTTACTCCAAGGGAGTTGTTCTGTCTCTGGCATTTCTGCTTCCAGCCAGCTTAACCCCTTCTGCAGTTGGGCCTTCTTGCTCTCCATGCCAGATCGTTCCTGGGTCATAAATTACCACTGCTGAGCAGTTAAAATTGGAATTTCCCCTTCGCTCCTGCAAGATCCTCATAGAGAAGCTAATGAAGTGTGGGCTGGATGAGCAGACAGTGAGATGGATTGAAAACTGATTGAACAGACAAGCCCAGAGGGTGGTGATCAGTGGCACAAAGTCCAGTCAGAGGCCAGTCCTGTTTAACTGGATGATGGGGCAGAGTGTACCTTTAACAAGTTGGCTGATGACACATAACTGGGAGGGGTGGCTGATAGACCAGGGGGTTGTGCTGCCATCCAGAGGGACCTGGAGAGGCTGGGGAGCTGGGCTGACAGGAGCCTCAGGCAGTTCAACAAGAGGAAGTACAAATCCCTCCCCCTGGGGAGGAGCAAGCCCAGGCATCTGTATGTGCTGGGGGCTGACCAGCTGGAAAGCAGCTTGGCAGGAAAGGACCTGGGGGTCCTGGTGGACACCAAGTTGAACATGAGCGAACAATGGGCCCTTGTGGCAAAGAAAGCTAACGATACCATGGGCTGGATGAGGAGGAGTGTTGCAGCAGATGGAGGAAGGTGATCCTTCTCTTCTACTCCGCCCTGGTGAGGCCACACCTAGACTACTGTGTCCAATTCTAGGCTCTCCAGTACAAGAGAGACATGGACGTACTGGAGGGTGTTCAGTGAAGGGCCACAAAGATGATGAATGCCACTGGAGCATCGCATACATGAGGAAAGGCTGAGAGAGCTGGGCCTGGTCAGCCTGGAGAAGAGGAGGATTGGTGTGTGGGGGGGTGGTGGTGGTGGTGTGTGTAATCTTATCAGCGTGTATAAATACTTGAAGGGAGGATATAAAGAAGATGGAGCCAGGCTCTTTTCAGTGGTGCCCAGTGATAGGGCCAGCAGCAATGGGCACAACCTGAAACACAGGAGGTTCCTTCTGAACATCAGGAAACACTTTGCCACTGTGAGGGTGACTGAGCGCTGGCACAGGTTGCCCTGGGAGGTTGTGGAGTCTCCACCCTTGGAGATATTTAAAAGCTGTCTGGACACAGTCCTGGGCAACCGGCTCTAAGTGGCGCTGCTTGAGCACAGGGGTTGGACCAGATGACCCCCAGAGGTCCCTTCCAATCTCAACCATTCTGTGAATAATACATCATAATTGGTGGAAAAGAGACACAATCTGTAAGAAAATTTGTAAGGAAATGAGTGCTATTAGAATATTAATTTTAGTCACAATTTCATAATTTATTTAGAACAAACAGTAGTTCCTGAAAGTTTAGTGAGTCGCTCATTAGCCACATTACTTGCTCCACTGAGGATCCTATTTGCTGCCAAGGATGGGACCTAAATATTATCTTTTGAGAAATAAAATGATTGCTTTTTCTTGGACTAAAAGCAAGCTGTAGCAATTACAAATAGCGGTGTTCAGTGTTTTCAAATAATTATCTTTTGGATGCTAACTAAGTATTTCTGTTAAGGAGAGATAAAGAAATATTTAGGAATGCTTTGTAATTAAAATTTTTAAAAGAGAAATGGTGGCTGGCTGGAGATAAGTTATTGTACTTAGTATCAGGAAAACATAAATACTCTTATTTGTTACTTAACTTAAAAATATTCAAGTCCTAATTTCTAGGAAAAACAAAGGCATGCAATGAATTTTTTATTAAATAACTTATAGGGTTTCAAAAGCTCTTAAGGAGATTTAAACAATCAACAGAAGATAGTTACACTGTCTAATGATATAAGTCTTGGTTTTATTGTAAATATTAGCAGTCTTCATTCTTCAGATATTCAGTGGTCAAGCTGTTTTGCAAGTCTCTACAAGTAGCAAGTTTGCCAGGAATGCATGAGACTGACAATCAGAATTTAGATAAAGAAGTACAGAAGAGGAATAACTGGGTGACAATAGCAAGTGTGAAAAGTAACAATATTTCAGAGTCTCTATTTTTTCCAGAAATGATTTCTTCAAGCTAGTACCTTAAATTGCTTTTTCTTACCTCTGCCGCTATCAGTAGGGATTGTTTGCAATGGAACTTGAGATAAAAGCCATTTATAAGACATCTTTTCTCCCTAATGGCTTCTAAGGGTTTTGGCTGAGGCACAGGTTTTCTAATGTTCCTTTCATGTCTCATTTTCCCCAGACTGAGAAGAGGTTAGCCAGCAGATATTAAGACACAACATTACAGGTCTTGTAAATCCTTTCGTTGTGCATATATGTGAATAATTAGGACTTGTCACTTCTTTTAACTAGACACAGAAAGTAAGCATCGTAGACGTGGAGGGGACCTGAAATCAAGGAGCACTGAGCTAGGATCCGCTGTTACAGGACCACCTTTGACTGCTGTTCTTCCGGCAAGTGTTTCTGTGATAAAATAGGTGGTGACTCAGCTACCTTTTGTCTGTTAAATTTTCTTCTGTATGGATTGTTCTTGAAGTCTTCATTGACAAAAGTTTGGCCTAATACTAGAGAGTGCTGAGTTCCTTCAGTCTCTGTTAATCACAAGGGAAAAGAACAGTGAACCACTCAAAAGTGTTAGGCCATTTAATTTCTGTGCTTACAATGTGTGTTGCTGGGATTTTGGTTTCTGGGGGTTTTTTTGATCATGCACTGGTTAATCCCATTTCTTTGCCGAGATGAAAAGTAATATTGGTTAAGAATACTTGAATAAGGTCGTGCAGGGAAGGCATATGCAAAACAAAGAGATCCAGCTGTTGGCATGGAAGCCAGAGATTATAAGAGACTGAAACAGATGAGTTGGGACCTACATGGGAGAAGAATGAATTTTTAATCAGAAAAGATTTAGCTTTTAGAGAGATCAGAACGGTACTAACCAACGGCTACAGGTCTTCAGGCATTTTTGGTGTCTCCCGGTCTCAAAGAGATGCAGGCAGAGACAGGAGTGATGTAAAGCATCCGTTCAGAGTCTGGGGTAACACCAAATGGTAGGAGACAAAGGTGGATGTTGGACAGCTTTTTTCTTATTTAATCCAAGAGTAAATTAGGATTGATCGATTACAATTCCTAGTTTAGAGAACTGGGAAGATGACATAATTTATCTTTGTTTCTCTCCAATAAAAATTGTGAGGTACAGAGACAATCCAGACATCCCCAGACTCCACATAGTCATGTCAGTGGGAGCTGTGTGTAGATGGAAATACTCAGTGTGGTGATTTTTTTATCCAAATCTTTAGTTTTCCATATAGCTTCTGAAGATTATCTGTTGACTTAAAAATGTTATTCACCATATCTATTTTCAGTCTTGTTCACACTGTTACAAAGATTTTAAAAAATACTTTGTCTACATAGATTTCCTTCTTTATCATTCTGCTGCTACCTTTATATGACCTGTGTATTAAACATCAGTTGTATATTTGTTCCAGTGGTGGCTGATTTTACAGTGGATTTGTTTTATTTATTTCCTTTGAGGTAATAACTTGATACTATATATTAAAATGCTTGCAGTATAGAGATAGATCTGGTCCTGAATCTGGAATATGGACATACAGAAGTTTGCAAGCCAAATTCACAAAGCTGAGATTCAAATGTATAGTGCTAAATTTGTATTGTGACCTTAGCTTGGATCCACATCTGATTCTGAAGTCCTGATCTGAAGTTTCCTCTATGAAGTTTCCATTGCAGCAGCTTTACACTGAGAAATAATTCCGGCCTAACAAGTTAATTATTACTGGTCTTTCCCCCCTTGTAATTGTTTATATTCCTGCTTGAAGTAATTTATGAAACCAGCTTAAAGATCAACAATAATAAAATACATTCCTTAAGTGAGGAAAAAGAGTCTCTATAACAAACTTTTATTTTCTAGACGACTGGTAAGAAAAGTATAGTACTTTCCAGTGAAACTAGGAAAGAACTTGCCAAGCAAGCCAAAGTCACCAAAGAGGAGAGAAGAGCTCAGATAGATGAAAGACATAAGTATTTGATATCAAGATTAGCAGATGGGATAGGCTTAAGTGAGCAGCAAGTGGAGGAGGCCATTATTTCTGATGGCAAGGTAAATATTAATTAAATTATTATTATTAGATATATTTCCAAAATTTCCAGTCCTTTGAAACTACTTCACAATTAACTACAACTGTAATTGTTTTTTTTTAGTTCCAACTTATAGAACAATTCTTTGCCCCTAGTGGACTTAAAAAGTTGCTCTTCTTTTACCAAGATGTATTGCAGGTATGTTTCTGTTATTACTTCTGCAAAACCAAAGTTACATTTTTTAAAAAAATCACATGACTGTTGCAAAACTCAGAAAATCTTAACAGAGATTTTTTTGCTATGCGTGCCAGTGTGGAAAGAACTTGGATCTCATTGTTTAGATACTGCCATCTTGGCTTACATGAAAACAGGGGAATGCCCTGTGGCATAATTTGATACTGTTCTTGTTTTCACAAAAGAAAACTTAAAAATGGCCAAGTAAAGTAAAAATCCAGACTTCAAAAATGATAAAGATAATTGAGGCTAAGTGATCACAGTATTCAGAGTTTAAAAATACTGGATTAGTGAATATAAGTGTTGTAGGAATGGAAGAACTGTCTGTGTAAGAACCATTTAGTCTTTTCCTTTTAGTTTGAACTGCACCAACTCCACTATGGACAAAGCACCAATTCAAGAGGGTGAAAAATGATGCAATTTCTTTCTAAATTAAGGTGGCTTCATGGTCAGGTCTGTCCCATTCTGTGGAAAATAATCTTAAGCTTGGAAAACTGTGACTAGAAATAAGGAAGCTGTGGTCCCCAAGATGTGTTTCTCTCCCTTTCAGTTTTGAGAAGGAGAAGCCTCTTTATAAAAAGCAAAATCATTTGTTCAGTTTCCACTGAGTGTGTGATATCAGAAGGTGCCAAACAACCTAGAAATTGTCTAACGTGGCTGTTGTGGCCTTCCTGAATTGCAGAAGTCTTTCCTCAGATGGTTATGCCATCGAGGAGCCATGTTAGGGTGAACTAACTCACTGTCTGGTGGTATTTTAGGCTTGCTGGGGAGAAAAACTGATTGATAAAGCTTGATCATCAGTTAACTGCAAGAATGAATTACAGATTCATTATAACCTAGATGAGTTAAAAGAACTTTTGAGTGTTACTGAAATTGCCTAGAGACTTTGGAAAGCACAGAATCAGCTCAGCTGTCAAAACAGTTTAATCAGTTTTTCCTTTCACTGGGACTGCATGTGCACATTTCTGGAATGACTGTGTTGTTCTCTGATCAAGATGAAACTAAAGATCTTGAAATTGTTTTCCTTAACTGACAAGCCAGAAATAAATGCCCAGCTTAGGCTTTGTGAAATGTTTCATTTCTGCATTTAAATTTATTTTGGCCTTTTAAACCATTAAAATATGAAAATTTTGTGCAAAAGCAGCATAGCATAAAAACAAATCTTTCTCATAGAAAGTATGAATGTCATCTCTAGCATCTTCCACCCCATTCTGATAAGTCAAGACATCTCATTAAATTGACTGTTCTGTCAACAGTTTGGTTTCAAACATGTTGGAGATTACTCAGGGGCAGCATCATACATGCTTGCCCCGTTCTTATCCATTTTTGGCCACTCTTGGAGACAAAATACTGGCCTAGGCAGACCGTTGGCCTTACCTAGTAGGCATTTGTCTAAGATCCTTTCTTCAGTGCTGCTCATCTGTCTTTTTCACCAGTTTGGGTGCATGATGTTCACTTAAGACTGTGCATAGGGGTTAGACAATGATGATTTGGGGTGGAAGTGGGGAGCCACCACTGTGTATCATACATCACACATTTAGTCTAGCAGGAGCTAGACTTCTTAGGAGGAGGCCTCTCCTTCTCAGACTTGAAAGCGAAATACACCTGCAGGCCTCTTCCACATTATTTTGTGTTACAGTTTTCCAAGTTTCAACAGATTATTTTCCAAAGTGTGTGACAGAAAATTGGAAGGAAGCAGATCTTGATCAGGCTTAAACTTTTTTGTTGCTTCAGAGAGAAGAGGTTGTAGATACATCACAGTGTAGAGGGACCAGTGGCAACAAGGCTTCTCAGAAAGTTTTTCAGAGTGATGTATGGTTAAAGACATGGGCAGAAAACTGAATTTCTTTGCATTCTTGGCAGGATCAACCTGACAGAGTTCCTTGTGAGTCCCACTGACAATTAAATTATGACTTTGGAGACTAGGCACATGACTCTTTCTGCAAAACATCCAGTTTGTTTCCATGGAGGAAGTTGCTCTAGGAAACACTTCAGATTTAATTTCATTACATTTTATGAGATTTTTTTCCCCCTTCTTCTTTGATTTTTTTCTGAAGTAACAGGGCTATGAAACTGTTCACTGGGGATTGTGAGATTCATGTAAAGCTTATTCTCCAGATAAAGCCAACCTCATGATTTCTACCTGCGAATTACTAACTGATTCAGAATGAGCTTAGTTATAATTCACATATTCAAATAGGATGAGGTATCTGTATGATAATAGTTTTTATTTTATTAACCTCTTATTTATAATTTAATTGCTAGCAAAAACCGAATGCCTCATTGAGGTCAGATGCGTCAACGAACAGTTTGCTTCAGAAGAAGTTATTTATTACCACGGGTTCTACTGAGGTATGGTTGAAAAACTCATTAGATGACATTTGAGAAGTAAAATGTCAAAAAAATCATAACAGTTGTGCAGTGTTAAGTAACTTTCAGTAATTCTTGGATAGATGTTTTAGAGTACTTAGTCCATGTTCTCATAATGTAAGATCTCCCAACATTTCTCGAGGTGAGTTTGGAATTCATCACTAAAGAAGGAGCGATTAATGGATTTGACCATCTGAGAGGAGAGCAGGTCAAATAAACGCTTGTTAAAAAGTTGCAGAGCCTAACATTTTTGTTAATGACTGCATGTTTAAGTATTTTCCAGTGCTTGTGCACTTCTGGTTTAAAAGTGTCGTTCTTCAGTGGTTTTTTTGTTTCCTTTCATATAATAATACTGCACATTACTCCAAAAATACCTTTAATAATTCCTTTATTCCATTCAAAATCTTATAACAACCTCTTTACTGTAATGTCTAAGCATTATTCAGCAGTCTATTCACAGTAGTCACTAAGATTTCTGATTAATTTTCTTTTTTTCCATCTCTTTTGGGGGGAATCGGGTGTACCATATACAATTTTCTTTGAATAAGTCATGGTGAATGGTTTTGGGTTTTTTTTCGCTGGTGAGCTTATATTAACATTGTTATGTTAGAAAAGACGTAGCTGAAGAATTCTTTCTTGCTGTCAGAGAAGAAGTGAGATTCATTCATCTGCCAATTGGACCAATAGGAATAGTTTTTCAAAATTGTTATAGTTGAATTATTATTATACTTAATAGATTAAAAGTAAGCATTGTTGCAGTACTCATCTGAAACTTTTACATTACTTCAGTCCATCAAAAAGATGAGAATATAGGTTAGAAAGTATTTGGATCAGAAGGTTTTAGTAATCTTTAAGTTCCTTTTTTAAAAAATGAAATAAATGTCATTCTAAGATGATCCATTCTGGTCTGGGTATCTATGAAAAGTACTTGAAATGTTTGAAAGCTGGGGATATCTTTCTTTTTCTTCAGTGAATGTATGTTGGCAGATTCAAAAAGGGATTAGACAATCTCATGGATAGGTCCATAAATGGATACTGAAATGAGTAGACAGGAATAACAGCTTTCATACAACAGTTGCAGGTGGTCAGGGAATACAAGAGGAATGGAGCCCAGGAAGCAGCCTAGCTTGCCAGCTTACCCTGAAGTGCATTTTGTTGGTAGAGATGCGATACTGGACTGGTCTGCCCAGAAGGGCATTTTTTATGTTCTTATGTCAGATGGAGAAAAAATAGTGTTTGATTTGAGAGGGACAGATTTTCAAATGTCCTACAAACAGTTCACTACTTTTTTGAGTAACATTTTACAGGTTTGTTTTCGGCACACTTTTAAGTTGTAAAGTAAATTACTTTTACTGTACACATGTACTCTTTTTAACTATATGCATTTTGTCATTTTTACAGAACTTTACAGGAACTTGTGCATTTTTCCTAAGGACATCAGATAAAGTTATAACTGCATCAAATGTTTCTCAGGTCAGACCAAAATCATGCAGTGTTTGCAGTGTACTTAACATTTTCTTAGACCTTTATTCACACAACTGGAAACAGAAAAAGAAGTGGGAAGTGCTTTCATGAAAATGTCTAGTTCTGTGTTTAACAGAAGTTCTTTTTCATCTGAATAAGTATTTATGATAAAGTAATGTTATAATGATTTGGAAATTAGCTACTACAATATTATTAAAACCAGGATTTTAATTAATAATAATTCATTGTTAATCAGTCATTAAAAATATAAACTTTAATGGCAATAGGGAATAAAGACCTAAACCAAGGGATTTCCTTTTAATTAATGAGCCTAAACTATGGAAATGCTGCACTTAAATAACTGTATCTTTTAAACTTTTAAAATAAACATCATACTTGAAACTAACAAAAGTTTTCCTGCTCCTGATAGCTTTAGTTGTGTATAAGAGAAGCTGTGTAACAGCCTTTTTTGACTTGCAGAGATACTCATGTTCTTGGGAAGTATTTGCAATAGTTTTTTACAAAGAGCATCCAGATACAATCCCTCACTTCTTCCAACTTATGCTTTATGTTCTGCAGTAAAATTCCATTCAGCAGTACTCTGTCTCCCTGTCTCCAGCTTCAGCAATTCACTGCTTCTTGCTTCACGTTAACTAGAATAGACTATTCCAGGTGGAAAGGACCTTCAATGATCATGTAGTCCAACTGCCTGGCCAATTCAGGGCTGACAAAGCTAAAGCGTGTTGTTAAGGGCATCGCCCAAATGCCTCTTAAGCGCTTAAAAGCTTGGGGCATTGACCACCTCTCTAGGAAGCCTGTTCCAGGGTTTGACCTCCCTCTCGGTAAAGAAATGCTTCCTAAACATAAGTTCATTAACAATGAGGAGAGAACTGCGAACATGAGAGAGGCATTTCTTGCCTGATACATTTGTTGTCCTTTTTTAGGCATTTGTGATCGATTGAAGCTGTTCCTCTAAAAGAGAAATATAGACATATCATTGTTTTAAGATTAATTAATGCCTTAATGTTAAATGGTTAATTTTAACTGGTTGCTGGAGTGTTGCTGTAATATGGGACTGTCTCTTCTGATGACTCAAACTTAAGGGCAAGCCTTGGAATTTCCAGTTGAATTTTAGTCTATCTCCAATCCAAATTCAGTAGCTGGGGGGCAATATCCTTATAGAACCTACACAGTTACGGCCTGTATATATGCCTACCACATGTCTGAATTTGATAGTATAATGTTGGAGAAGTTTACATGGACTCTGCTAATTTTTGTTTCTTCCCAAAGGAGGTGAATTTTGGCGTATTTGATTGTACTAATGGAAATATCCTTCAGGGCTTGGAATTTTTTTTGTCCCAAATCATGATACCAGCACTTAAATCCCAACAGGTAATCAAATAGCTAGTCTTTTTTCTTAAGAGCATGTGGAATTAAGGCAAGCGGCTGCTGCAGTTCTGTTTGTGCATCAGTTGAACATAGAAGATACAAAAAGATACAAGTCTAATATAGGCCTTTATGGGAGTCATGCAATTTGTATATAAGTGTTTGAAATTCATATAGTTATTGTTTATTTTCAAGCAATAGCACCAGCCATAACACTCATGACAAAGGAGAGCATATCATAGCAGCCACACTAAGGTAAAACTGTGATGACTTAACTAAAGCTAGATTAAGCCTGGATTGAAAGAAGCATCAAGTCCTTCTGGCAGCACAAAGGATTGGTCCATGATTTTATTCTAGAGCCTGGACAGCAAGCACTGTATCACAGCCAGGGTATCCAGATTCTTTGAGTTGTCCTTGTCCTGTGGCACTCACAAAGCATCACAGTTGGTTCTGTTGCCTCCAGAAGTACATATTCAGAGGTAGGAAATATAATGAAGCTCAGTGTATGTCAAGAATGATGGTGTCGTATGCTGTTACGATATGCTACCATTTTCTCTCACCTAGGAGCAGGAAGGGAGATTAGAATCTGTTTTCTCTGTTCAGAGAGCACCAAATCAGACTGAAAAAAAAGACAATTCAGTGTGAAGACAGTGAGAGCAGGGAGACATTTTTATTTCTTGAGAGCCTATTGCTTGTTTGTTTCTTCTTGTCTAATAGAATAATTAAATCAATGCATACTTTGAAGTATTTATAGTACAGATGAGTGTATGGGTGTATTTTGAAGGGCATACTGATAAATCTTCATATACTGCCATGAATAAGAAATACCTTTCTAATGAAAAATAGGATACATTCTGTGCTCAAAAAACAAAACAAAGCATGACCCTCATTTTACCTTTTTTTTTTTTTTTTTTTTTTTTTGGGTAAATCATAAAATAATCAGAACTGGGGAGCTGTGAAAGAAGGGTTGAAGAACAGCCAGATACAAGACTTTCTGTATTCAGTGGATAAATTTGTGGGTACTTTGTCATCATCAAGACAGAATATAGAAGACAAAATTCAGCTCATAAAAGTGGATATTGATGTTTATGTCAGCAACTTACAGAACCCATCTGACTACATAACTGCAGGTGAGTAATTCCTACAGCAAAGCAAACACAATGATGCTGCTTATAAAATAAATTTTATGTCATTAGTAAAAATTTACTTTGAAGAATTAATTCATCTTTCCTGATCTATATGCATTTTTCTGCTTGCCTCTTGCCAGGTTTCTGACTGTGTAATCCTAAAATCATCAGTCATCTGGCCATCCTTTAATGAATTGATCTAAAGGATTAGGTAGTTCCCTGACATACCATGTACACAGTGGCCTGTGTTCCTCCTGTGTTTGCTGGCTAAGTAGTTGCTGAGTGAAGCCATCTACTAGTGTGTATATTCCTCACTTTCTTTGACACTGGGGAAATCCTATCCAATATTTAGTCTGGCTCTAAGGGCCGTGAGTCAAAACAAGATGTATTTATAACGATTAATATATATACATGTATATATATGTAAGAACAAGAGTAGTTCTTTATTTTTGAACAATAGCTTTCCACCATTTGTTATGACCATGTGGATTTTCAGAGTGAAGTAATGCCAAATCAGTCAACGCTTCTGCAATCCCTCTCAACCCTACATGAGCGTACATGGAAGCAGGACAGCTTCCACAGAAGCGCTAGTGACTTTTAAGATGAGGCAATAATGTTATATATCTGGACAACTTCTTTAGATCCACTTAGCAGTACAAGCTCCACGAGTTCTAAACATAATGCACCAAGTGGACTGGACTCTTTCAGCTGCTAGGGCAATCTAAAAGATGTGCTGACTTATAAATTATAGGGGGTTTTTGTGACTGTTAATAATGGTATCCATTACGTGATGTTTTTAACGTGGAATAGGCTGCAGTGTCAGAAAGAGAGAAATATGATGTCAGCATTTAATTATGAAATACAAACAGAAGAATATACACATAATAGTTAAGGCATTTGGACCTCTGAAACATGATTCTCCCAAAATCACATTGCTGTATTTTTTTTCCATATGAACTCACTGTATTTTTAAGTTTCCATTGTAAAGCGTATGCAATAGGAACAGAGTAGGTAGATGCAAGTTGTATGTGTGTGCATCTTGTTACAGTCTTAATCTTTTCCTGTTGTTGGTCACTGATTTGAATATACTCAGCTTACATAGAGTCTCAGCTCTTGTTTGCCAAGGACATTTCAATTCTGTAGTTAAAAATCTGTATTTCTTGGTACTTATGAGACTGTCCCATTCTGTGATTTTGAAGCCAGTAACACAGAGGTCACTGAGAAACTTGAAGAAGCGGTCATGATTTGGATCAAACAGATCAGACAAGTTTTAGTGGAGAGTGAACAAATGAGAAGAGAAGCTGATGACATTGGTCCAGCTGCAGAGCTGGAACACTGGAAGACAAGAATGTCATCTTTTAACAGGTTAAATCCCTGCATTATTTCTCACAGAATCTAAAAAAAAAAGCTTTTTAAAAAGAAATAAAAATAAGCTTTCATTCCAAAGAGAGTATTAAATGTGTTTCTTTCTTCAAAGCCTTTTAGATGAGATCAAGAGTTCAAGAGTAAAGAAAATCATAAGTATTCTTCAGGCAGCAAGATCAAAGACATTAAAGCAGTGGAAAGAGCTGGTAATTACAATGTCTTAATAAAAGTTTTAAGTGAGTACAGTACTGTATTTGTAATACACACAGAACTGAACAGAATGCTAAAAACAGTTTTGAGTGTTTATGCTGGCTTTGTACTGGGGTTTGTTATCCATTTGTTGAAACATGTAACACATGATTCTGAAGTGAAATAGATAACTTGAAAAGAAGTCAATGCTTCTGTAATGTGTCTAACATAGTGGGCAGCATTGTTGTGCAAAAGTAAAGCAATGCAGCAATACAACATTTTTCTCTCCCTCCAGCTGTACCCTGTGCAGGACAACTGTAGAGGTATCTGGAAGTTCATCGTATTGCTTTTAGAATTATTGACAGCTGGCTTTTTGTAGAGTAACTGCTACTTCAGATAAGTGGATATCTGTAATGTAAACTTATCAGTCAGAAATGTAGGCAAACCAGAAAATAAGCTGTAGACCATGTACGGCCAGACACAGCCAAAACACCAGAATGTAGATCTAGCACTTAAGAAGATATTCTACTGTTTCGAAAATAGACCAGGAAAACAGTATCACCTTACTGAGGTTTTGATTTTGTGCTTAACATATTTGCAGACTTTCATGATAAATGGAGTTTGGATGAGAGTGTCTGTACAGAGCCAGTACAAGCCAAGGATGTTAAACTAGATTTCTTTCTTCATACAGAATTGCCTCCTAAGTACTAGGTAGTTCCACCTGTTGTTCAGTAGTTGTGAGCTTACTTGCCCTAACAAGCGTTTATTAAAAAATGATGGGAAACACCCTGGTACATTTCAGGGATCTTGTCCAAGTTCTGTGGAATAGGTACCGTGCTAAAACCATTTTAAAATGTAAGTTGGATTTGCAAAACCACACTATTGTACTTCCATCAGGAAGGAAAAACTTTGGAGGTTTAAGTAAGGAGTTCCTCTAAATCACATCCAAAATGTTGCTGATCGCCAGGTAGATCTTACCAATTTTTGCATGTAAAAGCAGTTATTTCTTATGTAGAGAGAACTTCTGTGAGAAAATGTTTGCAAGATGGAATCATAGTCTTGTGGTAGCATGCACTGTAAAAAAGCAAGAACCTGTTCGGTAAATTTTAACAGTATTAATTCAATTTCTTTATTTTTCTCCCTTCAGGATGGTAATATAACCATTGCTGCCAATGAAGCTAAAGACAATGTGAGATATTTATATACATTGGATAAATTTTTTGGACCACTTGCCAAAGCTTCACCTGTAAGTAGTACTCTAAAGGCTCTTAACATGAAATTCAGAAAAGAAAGGAAAGGCTTTTGCTGCTGAAAGATATTTCTCCTTTCAGTATTTAACTCCTATGCTTAATGATTAGGGGACAGCTTAACTCCTTTGGCATTAGTGAATTGAGTACAGATTATGAATAAGCAATACATAATACTACTGTTTGTGTAGGAAGCAGCTGTTATTCTGGAAAATAATTGAAGGGCATGAGAAAAATAAGCAAAATGTAATGTTTTTCCAAACCTGATATCAAGCTGAATTGTCTTTGTGTGGTTGGGCCTTACATATGGTACCTCTTCCTGTCTCCATGCTTCAGTTAGCAGTTACTCATGAGTGTTATAGTGCAAATATCATAAAATGATCTTAAGCATTCAATTCAGCTGAAATTGGGCAACTTCCACTTATCTTACAGGTTAAAGCTGCTTCTTTTGCAGGTAGCACGTATTTACTGACATCCCGGTTCAAATTATAAAACTTATTTTCATAACCATGTGGGTCTCAGATTTCATTTTTTAAGTGAGAGCATGAATTTTGAAGATGCAGTCATTAGGCAAAACTGTCTAAGTTTACATGGTTCAGAACACATAATCCAGCTGCTTACAAATTTTCTAAATATTGTCTTCAAAGCTTGAACTCTGTCTGAATCCATTTTGCAATTTTACACTGCTTTTCTTAGGCAAATATTGACCATTCTGCCATATTGGACTTGAGTTTTAGATACCATATCTTTTTTTATCCTTTTCTACAGCAGTCACTGTCTCTCATTCTGGGTTCTCAGTATATCTGGCTTGCATGCATTTCTGTGGGACTTGCCTCCCTCTTCTGGATTTCTCTTCTGTACAGATCTAGACAAAATGAGGAAAAGCCAGCTTTCTTCTTGTTCTTCCTACAGGAGGCCAACTCTTTTGTAGCAGTGTATGACTTCTTTTCCTCAGGTAGTATATTCCTTTGCAGAGCAGACTACAGCACCTTCACATACTGGAGGCCATGGCCAAAAAGCATACAGCCTCTGTTTTTCCTCTGGAAAATTCCACTCTGGAAGAAGACCTGTTCATTTTTTCATTACCCATTCCCCATTTTTTTCTCTTGGTCATAGTGTTAGGTCCCCGCAAATGAATTGGACGGCCCAGTTCATAATGAGATATCTGCAAGAACAATGTGTTACAATGAAAAAGATGTTTATCCACTGACAAATGTATTCCCAGAGCTGTCACATTTTCCATTGTGTTAATTTTTAAGAAATTGGATTGCTGACTTTCCCATTTTTTCTTGTTGTAGGTAACAATGATGGAACACGTACCCAGTTTAATGCATACTGTCTGTATGATCTACTGCACATCACCATACTACAACACATCAGAGCGCATGACATCTCTTCTTCTTAAAATCACTAATCAAATGATTAACACATGCAAGACGTATCTACGTGAAGGTGTCTCAAAAATCTGGGATCTGGACAGGTGATAGAATGTTAATAATTTCATGTTCTTTTGTTAACGCTAGAAGTAAAATTACAGATTAGTCATCAAGATTATTAAAAGGTAAATTTAAGTAGCGCCTTGTCCTCCTACCAGGCACTGATTCCCATGTTCATTTTAGGCTTGTGACTACTCATTTTGTGTGGAATTAAGTAGTCTGCAAAAAAAAATTTACTATGTGTTGTGAAAAAAAACTGTTATTGAAAAGCATGTAATGTGTATCAGTATACAACACTCGATATTTTGTCCGCATGGCTTTTTTTAGACCAAAACACACTTGAACAATTAGAACTGGGAGCTAAGGTTCTTCATAAAGAAGCTCTGAGGACAGACTGGCAAAGTTCCATCTAAGATTTATATTTTGCTGTTAGTGGACAGGAAAGTCAATTTGAGGAAGGGAACAATAGACAAGAATCACAATTCAGTTATACTCTGGAGCGAGGTAAGTGGGTGATAGGATGGGACTCAGACTTGTATTTTCCAAGTATTCTGAGGAGAATGCTGTATGAGCAAATACATGATGAGTATTAATGGTGCCAGTGAGGCACCTTCAATTAAAAAAAGCTAGATTTACTGTAAGTTTGCTAGTTAGACATACCTAAGGCTAGTTTTAGTCTTCCTTTCTATTGTTCTTGTTACAGCTATGAGTATAGCAAGCGTCCCTGCTTTTCAGCAAATGTTAGGCACTATACAGAAAATGAACAAAAAGTTTGCCTCAGCTCTAAGGAGCTTGTAATCTTAAAAAAAGGGAAGATCTTACAATCTGAAATGTAAGAAGTGAATGGTGAGATGGGAGGAGGAAAGAGGAATGGAGAAAAAACAGCAATCATGCAGTGCTGGTCAGCTGGAATAACAGTGTTTTCAGCAGACCTTGTGATGCCCTTGAATGTTTTGTAGGCATCACTGCCAGGAGAACTAAAGGAGGCATTTCAAGGAAGGGACAAGTTAGCTGCTCTATGGCTACTTGCAAGGAGCTGCTCCCAAGTGCTACATACAGCATAAGTGGAAGTACAGAAATGCTTAACAAGTGGGTGGGGAATGCTGACATCACTGGCAGGACAAGTGTATCTGAAGGATGAGATGTTAGGTGGACATAGCCTAGGAAGAACACATTCTGTAAGAACAAGTCAATTATTTTCATGCAAAAGAAAAGGGGGAAGCAACAAAGAGGGGTTAGGGTGAGCGTGACACATAAAGTCATCAGCTAGAAAAGTCATGATTGGAACAGTCTCTTGAAAGAGTATAAATGGAGCATATTATTGTTACTGAGGTGAGAAGGAAAAGGCGTTACGAGCTTCATCAAGACATAGACAGTCAGGATGTCTGTGCTTAAATTCCAGTCAAGTCAAAGGTGACATTAAGGTAACAGACTAGGAGACATGAAAGTAAATCTAACAAATAATTTGGATTTCTCCTGTATTTTGGTAAAGGGAAGTTTTCAGAAATTACCTGTAATCAATTAAGTAATGGCTATGTTTATTCTAAAGAATTAGTGTAAATAAAAGTAGAACACATTTTTTTGTTTATTCTAGCTGAATTTATTTTTGAGACATTCTTCTTCTTTACTTTGCTGCTGCTGCTGTCCCTGCAAAAGTTTCTCTCTGTCCCAGTTAGTGGTTTCAATCTATTAAGTCTGTTTATCATTTTAATTCCTGATCAACTTTTGGAAGACAAAAGACAAAGCCAAAGCGGAGCAACAGTCTTGGGTAAATGCCTTATGACTACTTTCCATGCCTCATCTGTATATCTCATGTATAGTAATACTTTAGAGTTGATGAACAACTGGTGTAAGATGTAACTAACTGTGGCCTTAGGAACCGAGATCTTCCTGGTGTGTCTTTCCTCATGCTTACTGTAGTCTGGAAAAATACCTCTCCAGTCTTGTCTGTTTAGAAAAAACAAAGAAACAAATGAAGAAAAACCCATCAGCAATACCCAGGTTACAGAAGATGAAAAACGGCCAAACTGCAGGCACTCAGTAGCCAGGGTGTACCTGGCCTAAGTCCTTTCTGGACTATGCTGTGAAAGTTTTGGGTTGATGACAATAAAACCCAGACTTAAAAATATCCAACCTAGATAACAGATTTAAAGCAAAACCTGGTAATGTAATCCTCATATTTTGAATGTTTTTCAGGTAATATATAATTTTGTGTTCTTATTTTGCAAAGTTGAATATCTGACTGAAATGTTCTGGTTTTATTTATACTCTTTTGAAAACCTCCTTGGGATGATTTTCTGTCTTCTGTACTTTTTTCCTTAGGCAAGAATTGCTAAGGAGGATACAGCAATGTATTTCCCTCAAAGAACAGTATCAAACATCCTTTCAGAGAATTAGGGAGTCACTAAAGGAAAATCCAAGTGACAGGCAATTTGATTTCAGGTAAATAATTCACTCTAATATCGAATCTTATTCATTTATACAATTTATAAATGAGATGTCATATCTGCTGGCTAGCAGAAAAGCTAAATACTCAATGAAAATGTAGTATTTATTATAATCAGAACATGCCCTTGCAGAGTTGTTTTTTTTATTCAGGAATAAACCAGTGACAGGTTTTTGCCAGTCACTTATTGATTTAGCAGATGTCCAAGGGGACTTCGGGAGCATTTATGCATGTGTTAATTTAATATATATGCTTATGTGTGGTCTGAAATCCCAACAAATTTGAGTCGTGAATATAAGTGAAAAGGGGAATTTAATCAGTTTTGGGCTGGGTTGTCTATCACAGTGCCAAGGGGAGTTCTATTTGTATTGGCGCTTAAAGCATGGAACATTTCTTAGTATTGTACATTCACATTTTGATTTCCTGCAAATGTCTTATCTAAAAGAGTGACTCCTGTAAAATATGGTAAAGGTTTTTAATTGACATATATAAGGATTAAGCATTTTCTAGTTTATATCCATTACTTTAAAATGGTTTTTACTTGATTTGTAATTATTACAGCATAGATTTCTTTATGTGAAGCTTGGTAGCAGTTCTGGAAGAATATATGTGGGTTAAATATATGTGTTTAAATCTATTACAAATAGATTTGCATAACAATCCCTCTGTTGCTTTTTTATTGTTAGTGAAAACTATATATTTGGAAAATTTGATACTTTCTGTAAACGCTTGGAGAAGATTTCAGACATGAGCAATGTTATGGAAAACCTTTTAGAACTCCAGCGTATAAAAATCGAAGGTATTGAAGAGATCAGTACTCATTACCAGAGCATTGCTACAAACACCAAATCCAAACAGTATGATGTTCTGGATCACAAAAAAAAAGAGGTATATACATTCAAGCAGTTGTCTGACAATCATTCCCTTAATTCTATGCTTTTCACTGGAGTTATGCAAAGATTAAATTTTGTAAGTGTATGTAGTAATTTGCTGTAATAACAATCCTTTCATATCTTTTAATACAATTGGGAAGTGTTTGGGTAAATTTGGCTTTTATTTCATGTGTTTTTGTTAATTTTTTATAAACTAGGTTTTGTGTCATAGGTAATGCTACAAACAACTTTTCCTAAACTTGTTTGTTTTGAGATACATATATTTTAAACTGCAGACTGAAAACTAATTCAGGCAGGTCAGTGCATTACATACAGTTTATCTAGTTGCCAGGCTTACTCAGTGTTACTGAAAATTCTTAGTTGAATGATAAAGGCAGTATTATAGTAAAGGTAGCAAAGGCACTTAGATGAACATTTTAGAGGGAGAAGTGAATCCCAGCACTGAGTAGTGTGGTAAAAACTAAAGTGGCTTTTCATGTGCTTCAGACTCATGTTTTAATGCATCCTGCACATGCTGGAATTGAGCTGCTTTTTTTGAGCTGTAGCCTGCTTGCTTTGTAGGATTGATAGCCTCGCAACAGAAGTGCTAGAAATGTTGACTTACTCTCCTGCCTTTCTGAACTGCAGCCTGCAACTGTCAGGAACTTTCCTTTAAACATTTAAGTCTAGAGTACCTTCGGCTTTCTTCCAACTGGCTGATGGTTTACATTTCTGTAATACTTGCTGTGTGGTTCTTTTCTGCAAGACAACGTTTACTGGTAACTGGAATTCGAAGGTATTTAAAAATTGTGTGGGGTTTCTACGCCTAAATGGTTGGAGCAATATGTATTTTGACTATCTTCCCAAGCTTGTGGAGTGTTTTCTTCAAAAGGAAGTTTGCATTGAACTCTTTTTGTAGGTCCTCAGTCTTTTGGACTTTGAAGAAAAATTATTATAGATAAATACCCTATTTCTAGTTAGGAACTTAGCCCAGTAGAGGTGAGGCTGTCACAGTCCCATGTCCCCAGGTCCACTGAGCTGTGAGGCTGAGTGTGTCATTCTCAGTAGGCATGCATGCACACATACACACAATACATTTATACACAGGTCTGGCTGCACAGCTCAACACAGATGGAAACCACAGCAATTACACAATTGCAAACAGTATTAATGGCCTCATCCTGTACCTCTCTGGCTGAGCAGGATGAAAGCCTGTTAGTGGAAAATACATATACATGGATCCCTCCAGTAGCTGGTCTTACACAGTCAGTCTATCCACCAGTCGCCCCCTGGACACCCAGGTCTCCCCAGTTCCTGGACTTGCAAACCCCCTCAAAGCCCACGGGCCCATTCCAGTTGCTGGTACTCAAGCCTATACATACACACGTGCACAGACACATGAACTATGGGTCCCTACAGTAACTGGTGTTAGGCAATCAGTCTACTGTCTAGTTGACCCCTGGATCCCCTTGCTGTCCCAGTTGCTGACAGACAGAGACACACACATGCAAACAGTTCTTTCTTGTAGCTGGTCCAGGCTTATGACCTTATCAGAAGCTGACCTTCAGACCCTACCATCTCTCTGGTATCTGGCTTGGCCTTCCTGGTCCCTCTGGTAGCCAACTCTTAGACCACTCTGGTCTCTTTAATATCCAGCCCAGACTTATGTCTGCTCCAACACTTGGTTCCCAAGCCTCTGTCCTATTTGCTGCCTAGTCTGGTTTGGTATTCTCTAACCATTTTATGTGACACACTCACCCACACAGTATGCACATGCTCCAGTGTTTCTAGTTGCTATGATCCATAGTTCCTACCCTGGCTGCTGCTGCTTAGACCTTAACACACTCCAGTCTCTCCAGTTGCTGACTCTACAGGTGCATAGGCCCCAGTGACCCATGGCCTCCATAGAGTCATAGAAAAGTTTGGGTTGGCAGGGACATTTAAAGATTATCCAGTCCAATCCCCCTGCCATGGGCAGAGACATCTTCAGCTAGATCAGGTTGCTCAGAGCTGCATCCAACCTGACCTTGAGCACTGCCAGGGATGGGGCATCCACATTTTGTCTGGGCAGCCTGTTCCAGTGTCTCACCACCCTCAGTGTAAAAAATGTCTTCCTTATGTCCAATCTAAATCAACCCTTTTTTGGGGTAGATTTAAAACCATTACCCCTTGTCTTGTCACCACAGGCCTTGGTAGAAGTCTCTCTTCATCTTTCTTACAAGCTGCCTTTAAGCCCCTTCCACTCCTGTTGCTGGTATGTATACACACTCATGCACACAGAAGAGAGTGCCCTTTCATGCATCAAAATGGTCAGAAATGGAGATAAGAAAACAGGACAGACTGTGCTGATCCGGTGTAGGGCATGGCCAGACGAGTGTACTGAGCAGGAACCCGTTCACATGTAACTGACTCCTTTTACCCCATCATGCCTATATTTTTCCACACTTGTGCCTTCCACAAACCACATTGATCCCTGTGTGTCCTTCTTCCCTAACTCCCACAATACATTTTGTATAGTCCCCAAATGCTCTTCCTTAGTAAACTGTAATGAGTCCCTTATCTCCTAGGCAATAACCTCCCTTAGTCTGTAAGGTGCTATAGAGAGCCTGCTAGTTTGCTCATCTTGATGGGTTTCATACCTGGACAGTAAGCTGAGCCCTCTCCCATGGCAGTACTGGGAGGAGCTGGTGAGTGTGCTCTGTTCGCTCTGATCAGGTTATTAGATTTCCTCTGCCTGTCCTTGTTCCTCTGTGCTCTTTTGTGTTCATGAAGATCAATAATCATATAACCTAACACTTCTTATTTTTTTGTTTGCTTTGCTTAGTATGTAAATGCCTTTGTTACTGCTGGTGTCCCTGTTGTTTTTAATTCAGTGCTGAACATGTGTACTGGGCAGATAAAGCAAAAAAGTTCAGGGAAAGAATTTTGTATGAAATGAAAGCAACACTATATTTTTTTTTTCTTTTACCCGTTTCTAGTTTGAAAAAGATTACCTTGAATTTAAGAACCAAATTGCAGCATTGTATGAGTCCATACAAGGATATGTGGATTCCTGGTTTGAGAAGACTGTAACTGTAAGTAATTTTACAAATGCAAACTCCTTGTTCTGGTGCTTGGAAAGGCTGTGTACCCAGAGCTCCTACTGAACTCCTTCATTATTGCCAGTGTTCTGTACTGTGCTAGTGGTTGTCTGAGATAATATAGGAGGACATCCAACCTATTACAAGTGTTCTAAATGTAGCTTGCAGAAGTGCTGGAAGATAATGTTCATTGTTACTTGGTGCCAGTTTTATGTTCCACCTTTCCTTGCAAATATTGTAGCCCTATATTTTTTAAGTTTATTTTCTTTCTTCATCCTGGTGTTCCCCATGCTTCCTGTTGCATTTCAAAGTTATTCCTGTTGGACTGTCAGAAGTAATGAAATAATTTCTGGAATCTGTTACCTTAATGACAGTATTTTTCATTGGTGTAGGCCCTGATCATGATATGAGATGTTAATAAAGCATGAGTAAAGGTTTAGATGTTCTACCACAACTGTTTGCAGAAAAAAATTATTTGAGAGTCAGAAAAAAGACAAATATTCCAGTACACTGTAGTGGTAACAGTTTGTTGGTTCATACTATGGTAAATATATTCTAAATGGCACAAAATACAGAAGTAAAAATCACTAACTTGTCTGGATGGAGTTTTCTGTGTTTCTTAGAAAACACTTGCATAACTTATATGATAAATTAAAAAAACCAGTTTATGAACAATGACTTTCTGAACTATTAATATCTTCTGGAGTAAATGCTCCATCCTCCTTTTCAGACTGAACAGATGCTGGGACTTCTGATGAAGCTTGAACAAATAGGAGAAAATCATTTTGATCTTGATGAGAAGTATACCATTGTCCTTCAGCGATACAGCCAAGACTTAGAGTTTGTTCGAGAACTCTACCAGAAGCAAAAAGAAAATCCACCTATACCACGTAATATACCTCCAGTAAGAATTAAAAAAATGAGAGAGACAAAGGACTTTGCTTCTTGACTGTTTTTAAGTTAATGGAAATATAACCTCATACCTTCTGTGTTTCAGGTAACAGGGAAGATTATGTGGGCTCAGCAGTTATACAGAAAAATTGACCATCCAATGACATTCCTTAAAAAGAAAACCGCACTTTTGAAGGTTGGAAATTAGCAGAGGAGGATTTATGCTAAGCTTTCAAGCATGTTATTAGCAGACACATGATTTATTTTTATACTCCTAAGCTCACTTTTCTAGCAACTTGTATTCAAGCTCATCCAACAGGATAGGTGTTATTGTTTGCTCCAGGATGTGAATTCCTTTTTGCAGCATTATTATTCTGCAGCTCAGGATGGTTACTTCCCTTGAGACATTAAGTGGATGACTTAGGCTGGTGCTTTTGTCCCTTCTGGGGCTTCACTTATGTTAATCCGTATAGTAGCACTGTTGGCCGTGTGTCTAACCTTAGAGCCTTCTGTCTGCTGTGCTCTGTAATGAAGAGGACTGAGATATTTAACCTCAAACACTAGTCACACTTCATGAAAGAATATAATTTTATAGCTTTCTCAAGGGGACATCAGTGTCTTGTATAGGTCATAGTGTAGACTTTGTTTTATGGGCAAGACTGGAAGTAAAAATTAGGAAAAGAGTTATGTTGTTTAGAGCAGCTTCTTATTAATTGAATTCCTAAATATATTTCTATGTTTCTTCTTCTTACCTTATCTCTAAAGTGGGATAACTTAAAACTTCCTATTTGTTTTGTTTTCCTAGTGGTCATGAGGAAAAGCCTAGTGGAAGGCATTTCTACTGCGTTAGACTCATCGAATTGTTTAAACGGTGTTTGCTTTTTTTTTTTTTTCCCTTGAATTGCAGACACTGGAAATGAAAAAGGTTATTAAAAGCTACAATAAAATGGCTGCAGTTCTTTTGGAATTTGAACTTATTTATCATAGAGCCTGGTGCGGGTTTGCTGACCAGGCCAGAAATGCTCTGTATGCTTCCTTACTTGTCAGGCACCCAGAAACCAAGGTAAATATGATTTATTCTTTGTATTACTGTTCCATTGTTTAGTATTACATATGCTACTTTAATCATATAATGGATAGACAAGCACAGCATTAAAATAATCTTAATAGGCTTAAAAAACTGGACTACTCATATTGGTATACTTTTTTTTTTCTTTTTTGTATATATTTATGGTACAGATCTCATTTGCAGTTGGACTTAATAATCTTAAAGGTCCTTTCCAACTATGTCACTTCTTTGTAAGGCTCCTGCCTCATTCAGGGCATAAAAGAAGCAGTACCCAGCAAATACATATCTATTACTGACTTATCTACGTATTTTTAGATATTGTTTCATGTTTTATTTTTTATGTTAACCAAATTTTAGTCAATGAAGGAATTTTTAATTAGATCTTGGTCTTTTCTGTAGTGGTCAACATCACTGTGTTGAGTATGTTGCAATCATTCATTAATTTGCTTTCAAAACTGCTTGCTGAGACAGAAAATCTTGCCATTCTTACTTTACAGATTATTTTTTCTGCTGTAGTGCAGAGAAATTATGGTTAAAATGCGGCATTTTTGGAACTAATGATTCCACAATGGACAACTAGAATCTAGTTTTTCAGTTTATTTAGAATCATAGAATCATAGAATGTTTTGGGTCAGAAGGGACCCCTAGAGGCCATCTAGTCCAACCCCCCTGCAGTGAGCAGGGACACCGCTAACTAGATCAGGTTGCTCAGAGCCCCATCCAACCTGGCCTTGAATGCTTCCAGGGATGGGGCCTCCACTACCTCTCTGGGCAACCCGTTCCAGTGTTTCACCACCCTCATTGTAAAGAATTTCTTCCTTATATCCAGTCTAAACGTACCCTGTTTTAGTTTAAAACCCCCCCTCCATTACTTAGTGCCCACCCAAATATGCACAGATTAACCTTCACAACATTTCTACCTATTCTGCCAGTGGAGAAACTGAGATGAAAAGACAATTAGTTTCCACACAGTGTAGCTGCAAAACTAGAATTAAATTTAGGAAATCACAGTAGCCAAGTGGTTAGGACACACTGAGGGAGTCACAGGAAATTGAAATCAGTGTAAGATATTGGTTGATTAATACTTTGGAAAATCCAGATATTTGTAGAGGAGGATGAAGATCTGTGCAGAAACATGGGTATCTGTTTAAAAATTCTCTAGTCATCTACATCTTGTATGTTCCAGGTATATCACACTACATGTAACCACCAAACTACTGCCTTATTTGCTATTTCTTTTTTTTTTCCCCCTGTACTGCTCAATGAAGGAATTACTTGTAAACTTGGATCCAGTGGTCCTGGAAGTACTTTATGAAACAAAGTACCTGAAAAAAATGTATTTTGAAGTTCCAGATGTCATCCTTGGCTTGTGTGCAGATGAAGAACAGATTAAAAGACATCAGAAAGAGTGAGTGAACACTTTTTTGATTTGATTCTCATCTTCAGATGGCAATCCCTAGCTTTGAGTCTGTAGCATATGCTTTTGATTTATTATAATTTTTCCCTTTGATGGAGTTTAATTGAAATTTAATTGTTTTCCCTGAATTTCCATAGTAATATTGATACTGTGCCGTTGTTCCTATCTGCACAAATATTTTATTACTAGAAAACACCTACATGCTTTTGTTTTGTTACTGCAACAGTTGCTCTGTAAGTGGGGCTCCTAGGTACTGCTAAGGCATCTATACACTACAGTTTAGGGATTACACTCCAAAATATTACAGTTAACATCAAAAGCTTTCTTCTGTTAGAAAAAAACAAGCTGGAATTTACCACTTGGTTAAGGCACAGCCCAAACATTTGTTTAGGTAATACATCACCTCAGTTACAATATGCTCTCTCATGTTGAATATCTGAAGCAACTTTTGTTGATTTTAAAGTCCAGTTCTGTGTTGGAATTCTTTTCATTCTCAGGGATGCTGATTATTAATTCTCTAACTCTAAGCAATGATGATAGGTCTTAAAAAAGTCATCCTTTGTGAGGAGTGTTCTTTAGATAGTTTTTAAATAGAAGTGGACAAACAGGGACAAAGTTCAAAGAGTTTCATAAACACTTGAATTCAACCCCTCCTCTCTTTTTCTATTGTTAAAGCTTTTAGTCTTTCACTCTTTTGACATTTTTAATTAATTATCTGTGGAGTGTTTTAGGACAAACTAACCTAAAATTTCTAATGTGCAAGGCAAACACCATGTGCTACAGTCCTCTAAAAAGCAACCTTTGCATCCAAGAGAAACAGAAAAGTACAGAAATGTATACAATAAAAAAATATTCAAACTTACTTTCTTTTCTAAAAAAGACTTCAGACTGACTCCCCAAGCGAAGAAGGAATATTCAGAGAGACTGTAGATTTTTGCTTAAGCAACACTGGAAAAACTGTTCTGGGTATATTGTGAATGGGTTATCTCAGTAGACAGTTTGTAACAATGATATTTAAAGTAGTGGTTTTAATCTGGCACAGAACACAGCTATTTTTTGCAGCAGTTCTTTTAAGGAACCCATTTTGTATCTTTGACTTCTGAGTTGCGTTCACTTCTAATTCTTGTTTATGCAGCTTCATTGTGCAGCTCCATTTTTATGGAATAAAATTGGTAAGTCTTAATTCAGAATTTGGCTGCTTTTTCTTTGGGATTTGGTGTCCTAAGTGGTTTGGATCTTGCTTTTCTTATAAGCAGTGTCATTTCATGCCATGTCTTGTAAGATAGGAAGAAGGGAACAGAAATACCATGGTTTTAATTTCCTGGTTTCTTATTGTAATTAATTTTCCTTGGAGGAAAGTTTCTCTAAATTGATCACAGGCACTTTGCTGGAAATACTTATTTCCCCAGTCTGGTTCTGCTGTTAGTGGGGAGAAAGGGGCTTTGTTTGAGCTAGGAAGAGCTTGGAAGACTTCTTATTTTTAACATGGGGTCAGAACTTGCAAATCTTATTAACAGAAAACATGTCCAAACTTCCGTGTGCTTCAAATATCTGAATTAAGCAGATTCTAAATTATCATGTCTTGCAGACTACAGAATCTGTTGATCAATTACAAAGAGCGTCTGGATGGGATTCCTGTTATGCTGAAACCACTGATGAAACCATTCATAGGACAAGTTGAGGATGCCCTCACTCCGGGCCTGATGCAGCTGTCGTGGACTTCTTTGAACATCAATAAATGTGTGTAGTAAGAGAAGAAGTGGTGGACTGTTCATGCTGTTAGGTGGTACCTGCCAGATATTTCTTTGCCAGTTTTAGGAAGAGCAGTCCATATATACAAGGGGAAAACATGCTTGTAAATCAGTTTTCAGTTGAGATAGACTGATGTTAGGCTTTCATTTTTTTTCTTCAAAATGAAAAGCAGCAAGATAAACAGGAACAGATGCAGCCTAAATCTGAAAGTGAAATGGGGCATGGGTTTGTGCAGCTGTTCATTTGTGACTCTGCCATGTGACACTGGTACGCAGGGGCTCTGACCAGTGCTTAAGGAAGGGCTGGTCACCTCTTAGCTTTAATTGACCTTTGCCTGACCAGAGCACCAAAAAAAAGAAAAAGGCAGGTGTTTTTTTATGTTTGTTTTATAGCTCTAGAATGAATTTTTGTGTTTGGTTTGCAAAGTTTAGTAACACATTATAAGGAAGGTCTTTACAATATTATTTATTTATTCATTTAGGTACTCTCTGCACTATGTTAAGTGTCTGAATACTTATAATTCAGATTTTAATAGTTCTTTGGATCAGCATTTGCTCTGGTGGAAACTGGCCTTTTTTGCAAAATAGAGGTGATGTAGCAAGAGTATCTGGGTTACCTCCTGTTTATTGCTGCTGCTGCTGACATGGAATCACCCCTGGAAAGGAATGCTTTTCTTGAGTGTATGCATCACACCTTTTTGAAGGTGTGCATTGCATGTTGGACAGTTAGAAATTAGCCATTGGTTCAATTAGCCAGTGATGCATGAGCTTAATGTCTTAAGTGTCTTATTTTCCATCTAATATGTAGAAGTATGGGGGCCCATCGCTGCATTCTGTACTAAAACTCAGGAGGTAAGGCAAAAACAATTAATTTAGGACTACCTAATTTATATATTAAAAAAAAAAAAGAAGCTGAAGAATTGGCTGGATTATTTGTCCATTTTAGTCAATAAAAAAGACAAGCTCCATCATTAACTTCCTAATAGGAATAAATTATGTTTTCCACTTCAAGCATCAGCAGTTGGACAGCACTGTCACACTGCCGTGTCTCAGGTATCATAGTGATTTCTTTCTGCATACAGTAAAAAAGAGTGTTGGTGATTCAAATGATACTCTCTGGTAGTAACAACTACAAAGACAAAGGGTGTCCGGTGAGATATTTCTTTGTTCTTTGCAATGAAAAGTATGAAAGACAGAGAAAGAATTTATCCAGTCTATTCAGAAGCAGTAGTTTTTACTTAGTTTATTAAACAAATCTGTTTAAAGCACCTAGTTTATCTCTTTCCAAAGTGAGTTAGGTCACATGCATGAAAGAAAACATCTAGTGTATAACAGTCAGTATGTAATCTTGGCTGGGGGAATTTTAGCCTTTGAATTTGTAAGTTAATTACAATTATAAAAGTACTGGACTTTGCTATGTATGTATGTACGAGGACCAAAATAATTTTTGGACAGGTGTATTCTTTCTGTTTTCCATTGTATGTTGCTGATCCTTTTCATTACAAAGTTGTTTAATCCAAAAAAAAAAAAAGGTACTTTGAAAGCTACTGTACTATTTATTATGAAATGGTTTAATTTAAAGACTCCAAAGTAGAGCAAGTCCATCATGTTTCTATTTCAGTGAAATAGAAATATTTCAAACTATTAAATTAAATAATTGCATATTCATTGCCATTAAATCCTCATTTTATTTTAATACCTGGAGCAAGGAGGGAAGGGGAAGGAGAGATGAGATTTAAGAGGTCTGTATTTTACATGCTTTGTTTTAATTTTGTTTTCCTTGCTTAGTTATTAGGAATGTTTATAGTACCCTGAGGGAGTTGGACTATGTAGTCAAAGAAGCATCTGATACCCTGGAATGCAGAATTGGAAGAATTCTGGAGGATATGTCAAACACTGCTCTGATGATTTTGCCAGAAGATGAACCTATAGATGTGCTTTCTTTCCTGGAACAGACAGAAAAGCTTGCTATGTCTACTGCTCACAAATTGTCTCAGTAGGTTTGCTAGTTGCACAGATTTCAAGGCTGTATTTGGGAGAGATTATTTATGTATTACTTTTTTTTATGCATAGAGAGTTTACTTTTAAAATTTTATTTTAACAGAGTACTAGTCTAAAGCAAAATGATAGTCTCAGGACACAGGGGAGAAACTCCCAAGTATCTTGAATACAACAGATTTAAAATTGCATGTGTAGTGTTTAGCATTTCATATTTTTCTTCTTACGGCATTCTAATCAGTAGCAAGAAAAATGAAGATGAATAGGACTTGAAATCTCATCCCCATATTAATTGCTTGATTCTTAATGCCAGCTAGCTAATGTAAGACTTCCCATTCTCCCAGTGCTGCAATTTTTTTGTCCTATGCTTATTTTCCAGGTTATAGCAGAATAGTTGTTCAGTTCTTCTCCAAAAAGATGTCTATGCTCATTGTGCAAAATAAGATACTTTCTATTTATTCTTTTATTTTTATTTTACTAATTTGGATTTTACAGGTTATCTTACTGCATCATCGTGATAAGTCTTTTTTATTAACTATAGCTGGAAATAACTTTTTTTTTTTTAATAATTATGAAGTCCAGTTGAATCAGATATAACAGAGCCTGACAAATGGGTTTCTTGATAGTCTGCATCTCTTTTACAAGGAGTCACATAGAGAGGACAAGCAGGAGGATTCCTTGGGAAGATTCCGGTTGTACATGAGAGTGAAAGTTTTCACAGTGAGAACAGTCAACCATTAGAATAATCTCCCCAGGGAAGTGTTTGACTCCGCCACATTGGACACTTTTAAGACTCAGCTGGGCCATCTTGTCTAGACTGTGCACTTACCTAGAAATGTTGGACCAGATGATCCTTGAGGTCCCTTCCAACCTAGGATTCTATGATTCTTGATGTATTAAATTCTCTGTATGGTCAAGCAATAGGAACAAACTGAAAAGTATAAGGGTATTTCCCTGCACATGCAGTTCTTCACAGTGCAGTAGGACTGGGGATGTGTGCCTGGAAAATAATGAATGGTATTCCTTATGTTTGATTGTCTGTGGGTGACTGTGAGGTTGTTTTTTGTAGACAGAGTCAGCAAGTGGAATGCTCCGTGTATGAACTGGTGGATAGTCTTAAGCACAGGCTGAAAGCAGATGATGGAAGAACTCTGGAGGTAAGATCTCTATAGTATAAAAAGTAACATGTTATAACCTAGTCAGATACTTGGTATTTCACTTACATGCTGGGTAATATGGCTCTTTTCCTAAAAATTTCCCTTTAACTTTTCAGGATTCATATGCCTGTACACATCTTGACATGAAACAGAAAACACGCTGCCAAGAATGCCTGTCCTGTAGTTACTATAATTTGATCGGACAGCTTTGTCAGAAGAATACTGACTCTTTAGTCAGATGTGAGTCTGTCTTTTTCAGATATGTTTAGTTTTTTTAATATAAGATTTTTTCCCCAAGCTTATTATGTTAAAAAAAAATAACCTCGCTTAAATGTTATATTTATTTAGGTACAAAGAATTCTTTAGAGTCCTTAAGACATCGACTGCGCGTTGTTGACTCCAGGTATCAGATGACCAAGTTTTTAGAGACACAGAGGCTTCCTTTGTTCAAAGCTGAAATTCAGCTGGCTATTCCAAATGTTGTCTTGAGACCAAGTCTTGAAGATATTCAGGTAACAAAATAATTGCACATCTCAGTCATTTATGGTAAAACATTTGTAAACGCATTGTTTTAAAACAACATGTGGAAATTTAATCTGGTATAAGAAATAAAAGAAAGGGAAAAAAAGATTAAAACTCACTTGAGTTCATGACATCACTGGGTGCTAAGGACATGAAGCCACTGATCAGGTTTGTTATGCAGGCCAGTAGAAGGAACTGTTTTCCTAAAAGCTCAGTAACTCATGTTCACAAACCTTACTGAGAGGCAAACATTTCAAAGCGAATGCAAAAATAAAAATGAATGCCATTGTTACAGCCTGATTTGACTTCCTCATCTCCTTAAACTCTTTCAGAATATAAAACAATGTTTTATTTATATTGTATCAGTTTAAAGTATCATTTATAAATCAGCATTCTGAAGTAGTAAATGTAAAGAAAAATATTACTAGCCTGAGGCCCTAAACTGTGAAAAAATTTGAGCACTCGTTTAAGCTTATATTAGTTCAGCAAAATTCTTACATACATACTTACAGTCTCCTATGATGTCTGAAATTGTTCACAAAGTATTAGTTGTTTATGGTGTTGATTTGTGGACTTTTCATTTAGCATTGCCACTGTCAAAATCAGTAGTTGAGTTCTTAGATTTCATCTGGAGCCTTCATGGTGGTGTCAGTAAAAAATCATACCACAAAGTGTAATTTTAAAATACCATAGATAGAAGAAGTAATATAATAATTTATATAGCTGCCAGTATAGGTTATAGACTGTTCCATTAGAAATTCAGACAAATGTGTTCAGGCATTATGATGTGAATGTGAAAACTATTATTACTAATTAGAAGTAACAATGTTTATAACTAGTTTAAGGGGAAATAGTACTATAATTAAGATATGAGCCCCACTGATTCATGATTACTACTCATAAAGGTCTCTTATGTTCTTATTTGAAAATCACATAAACATAGAAGGACTGTGATTAAGCTTTATGGAGTACTCTGTTGCCTTACAAAAGGTATTTTGGGTGATCTTACTTCATGCTTATTAGAATATTTCCTAGATAGTATATATAATATATATAATATAAAATATATAATATATATAAAATAATAATTTTTCCATTTTGGTATTGTTTGGAGGATCCCTTTTTTTCCCCCCCTTCTTATGTGTTATAATCCCTCTGTGTGCTCAAGGTGAATGTTTTGCTGTTTTCAGAGTGCTGTAAACAAAGCAGTAAATATCATATTATCAGTAACCAAAGATATCCCCCTGTGGAAATTTGCTTACTTACATCATAAACAGCAGCAGGTGAGTATTTTATTTTGATTATTTTAAAATGTTAGTATTTGGGTTAGCATTTCTTAATCTCATAAGAACGTGTTCTGTACCAGTACACTTGTAATCTGGTGGATGTTCCTGTTAAAAGAAAGCCTAGTTTTTAATCTCTATACCAAGTAATTGAACATAAGAAGAATAATTCATAAACCTTATGTTTGGTGGTTTCTAATAACAAAATAAAAAAATTGCTTTAAAAAATATCTTTTAACTATATTGTTCAACTATGATGATGATAGTGTAGATAATGTGTGAAAACTGACATTATCCATGGGTACTACTAGCTGAGTATTATCAGTCTTCCCAGGTAAAAACTGTATTGTAAGTTAAACTTTCAGGCTGCATACAGCACCTATGATGCTACAGAAAATACAATATAAATATTTTAACTGGTATTAAAATGAGCACTAAAACCTTAGGGAGGTCTGAAGTATAGACAGAAACTGAAATTTGTTGAAGTACAGAAATGCGCAGTAATGGTAATCAGATGGCCTTAATTGTCTTGTAATGAAATACAGATCTATGTATACCTGTGTCTTTTAAAAGTATCTTCTAATTTTATCAATCTGACATGAAAAATCAGCTCATTTCAATAAAAAACCCCATTCAAGTCCTGCAAATAAATAATAAAAAAAATGAACTAGGAGAGAGTGGGTTGAATTCAGTTTCCTCAAGCATAATTGTTTGCTTATTTCCAAGCAGCCAACCCCCCACCACCTGAAGGACCTTTTTTGGCCAAGAATAGGTATAGATTGTAACTCTATGCTAAAGAAAGGAGGAAGACCTGAGCAGTTGAGTAGGAACAGGAAACAGCACAGTTGTACTTGTATATGACACATATTTGACAGATGTCAGAGACCATTAATACAGAGCTCCACATGGCAATTTTTTATAAAATCAGCTCTAACATTAGAACTATATTTCTGTAAAAATCCAAGCTATGAACAGGGAATCTCGTTATGGATGCTTTCTCTGCACTTTCTCTCTGTTCTTAGAAGCACTTATTGTGTGTGCATTATTGGACACTATAATGTAAAAAAATATATATAAAACTACCAGACATATGTTTTTTCTTGTTTAATTTATGCCAGATTGAACAAGCTATTGCTGTAGAGCTTGGTGATGAGAGCAAACTCATGAGGATGGTGGCACTGAAACCTTTAGACAAACAGATCATTGAACATAAGGATGTAAACAAAGTCGTGATCCAACTAAATACAGTTATTTTATCGCTCAGAACTGAAGCATCGGATCTTCTGAACAGCTTTTCTGAATTTTCAGGCATCTGGAACAAGGTTAAATACATATTTAATAAAAATGTTGCTGTGTTGCGAAATCTTTTAAATAAACTTTTGGATTACATAAGGAGACTGTGTGCTCAGTAGGAAGCATGGTTCCATAGTAGAATCCTTATACCAATAGTACCTCTGTCTCTTCTTGTGTTGACCAGACCTTGTCATTCTTTACCAACTAAACCATCTAAGGAAGGAACCAGAAGAACAAAAAGTATGTTGGGAGCATAAACAAGCTTAAACTCTCATATGCTTATGCATCTTTCTCACAGCATCTTGTCTGCATAGGTTGTAAAAGAATCATTTAGCAGAATCTGAGAAATTGCAGATTACAGAACGGTTCCTGAATATTAAACTGCCTAGTTTTTCTTCATCAACCACTGCTGAAAGCAGCTTTACTATTTCTTCACAAAAATGATTAAATAAATCTAGGAAATCTTTCCAGCAATAAGGATTCCAAAGCAGAAGAGAATCAGGGTTGATGGAGTTGTCTTTGTTAGGAAGTGGGTTCAGTCAGTCACATAAATGGTAAAGCTCGAGGAGTGTTTTAGCAGGAGATATTTCATGAAATAAAACCTTGTGTACATTCTGGCCAGTGAAATTCAATTCTGTGGGGATGGACAACTACTGGTCTTACCTATCAAAGCTGAGAAACAAGCAATCAAACCAGGAGTAATCGTATCTTTGTAACTCCTCTCTATTTTAACTTCCCTTTCCTAAACCAACTCATAGGTGACCGTGTTCCCACAGCTGACTCTTTTGCAGTTAGAGTTCAGGCTAAGACAGGGAATTTTTCACCTCTTCATGGCTTCTGGGGTTCCAAATCTTAATGCTTATTTACCTCAGTTTTTGGAGATATTGTTTGAGCTAATGACATATTGATGGTATGTCACTTCACCCAGATGAGGCACAATCAGATTGGATGATACAGTAGCATGATAATGTTTCCTTTTTACTAAAATCTTCTCAAATAGTCAATTAATCTGCTCCTTAACCTTAAAATGCCTTAGGATTTGGCACTGTTTTCCCCCTGTCTTTTTAATTTCTGTAGGACCACTGGGAACTGTCACTGGTAACTCGTTATTGGCCAGAGAAGCCATAACAGCTTCTCAGGGACCTCAAAGTGCAGACTATAGATGAAAGAAAAGATCATTTGTCTGTAATTGAACCAAGAAGCTAACACATTTATTGACCTTGTGACACTGAAGTTCTCACCTCTGCAGAGGCTGTCCTACCTGATGAAAAGGAAGGATGCTCAGTGCTCTTTTCCCTTTAAAGAAGCTTCAACAAGCTAAATGCTCCCACTTCCTTTAGATCCATCCTTCCCTGCTAAACTATGCTTGCTCCAAATGGCCAGTCCATTTGTAGCTAGAAACTGCAGTTAAATATACTGTTTCAGGAAGAGTGAAGATGGCTGAGTACAATCACTACCATTTAAATACCTGTTAGAGGATGCAGGCTGTTTTGAGGGGGTTGCAGACAGAAGGGAGACTGGGAAGGAAATATTTCCAGCAAAGTTTTAACAGCTATATTGTAAATTTTGTAGTAATATTTGGATGGATAAGGGGTATCCTGATCTGTGTCAGTTTTTGAGTTACAGACAAATTTCAAGTGCTTTAAAGAGTACTGTACGAGGAGTAAGAGTTAAGAAAATAAATTGAAGTGAAATAATTTGATCTTAATGCTTATACCTTAAACTCTTTTAGAGAGGGATCATTTATATTTGCACAGTAGATCAGGCAGCTGATATAATTTTATATGTATATATAAAATATAAACCCTGTAGGTTATTGTAATACCAAACCTAAATAATAATTAAAATAAACTTGTTTTATATAGGACCCAGAGGAAAAAGTGAGGGAATTTATAGATACTAAACCAACAATGGCTGAATTCCAAACTCAAATCAGATACTTTTCTGTAAGTATTATATCTTTAATAAAAATGAACTGTTCAGAGAAATTGTAGTGAAATCAAAAGCTGAACACTTGTGTTTGTCTTAGCAATTAGAAACACAAATCAGAGAACTGCCAAATCACTGTGTACTGGAATCAGTGGACATTGCAACAGAGTCATTGAAAATAGCCTTGCCACAGACATGGATGAAATTTATTCATTCATTGAAAATATTACCAAGCGATTAAGCAGACCTATTCATGACCTTGATGATGTACGGGAAGCAATGGAAACACTAAAGGAAATTCGAGAGAATGAGATTAAAATTGACATGATAGTTGGACCTATAGAAGAATCTTACTCTGTGCTTCATAAATACAATCTGCTCTTTCAAGATGGAAATACAGAAAGAGTTGATGGATTGGCTTATGCCTGGAAGAACCTAAATACACAGGTACCGTTGCTGCATTATTTCTCAAATTATATATATAGCAAAGTTATTGTCAGCCTTTCTAATGTTGAAACTAATGTTGAACATAACTATTTTCTTACTTAAAACTCTGTGCTTTTTTTTCCTGCCTCTTTTATGCATATTTTTTCTCTTTGTCTGCATGTAGGCACTGCAGGTTGAGGACTTGCTGCTGAAGGTACAGCCAGACATGAAAACAGATTTACTGAGTGGTGTTCAAAAATTCCAGACTGATGCTGTGGAATTTTACAAAGATTATGATGAAAAGTAGGTGACCTTTAGCGCAATACAATTATGCTTCATGAGTGATTGTTCAAAAATAGTGTATTGAAAGGGCTTCAGAAAATAAACACAGCACAGCCTCAATGTATATATGAAAGCTGCTAAAATAAGCCTAATTTCAGAATAATATAAGGTGGGAAGATACTTTTACTCTCACAGATGCATTCCCATAATTTCAGTGCTGGAGTCAGTGAAGTTCCAGAAGATTTAATAGGTTGGGGGAAAAAAATCAAATTTGCAATCCAGATCCAAATTTAAAGGTTTTTTTTGGGTTCTAAACTCAACAAAACACTTACGTAGGTATTTAATATTAGGTATATAAGTAGTGCCTTGGATGTGAATGGAGATACCAGTTCATGGTGTTTCTAAGTTCACTCTTACTCAGTCTTACTTCTAAGCTTACTTTGGCATTTTTTAATTTAAATTATGGTGTGTGTGTGTTTCATTGGACACATCTAGATTAGCAAAAGAGGGAAAGACTAGAATTTGGTTTCCTCTGATCTGTTATGGTTCTAGGACAATACATGCACAGCGTGTGTTTTTTGGGAATGACATTCACGTCAACAGCTGACCCTAGGCAGGCACCACACACCAATAGGCCATGGGCAGTGTGAAGCAGCTTTATGTGCAGCCTCTGCAGACTGCCTGGCTGTTGGGAACAGAATTCAGTGCATGCATAGAGCACACACTACTGGAGGGCCTTGGAGAATATATACTCTTCTCCTAGGGCAGGTGCTTTTGCATTGGTGTTGCAAGCAGTGTGGTCCAAATGGTAACTGGGTGTTTGGCTTCAATCTTGGCTTCACCACCAGGAGTGCAACTTCTTGAAGGCACACTAGCAGTGCATTTGAGTGGAAGCTTCAAGACTCCAGCCATAGACACAAGGTGAATTTGCACCTAAAAGCAATCTGCTAGAGCACCAAGTTACCAGTGTGGATGCATGCATAGTGCTGCATGCAGTTCTGCTCTTGGAGTTGTCATGGAATTCATGGAAACACCCTGTGGCTGCTACCAGTTGTAGGGATCCTGAGAGCATCCCCGCTCCTGGAGGTTCAGCTGCCTGGGCTCAGGGCCAGCTTAGAGCTAGTGCATCTGAGGGCTCCCCCCTTCCTTTGGTGACAGAGTGCTCCCATGTGGTTCTGCTGGGAGCCCTTAGGAAGGCTGACACTCCTTCCTGTGGGACTGGTTTTTAAGCTGTCTTCAATGCTTGGCCCCCTGGCCTACAGTTCCAGCTCTGTTGCAGCTGTGCCTGTACTTGGCCATGGACCCTACTGAGCGGAACCTGGATCCCAAAGCACAGACTCACTCCTCAGCCTGATCTCAGAACAGCCTGGTAACCACTGGCCTGTGTCTCATCCTGGTTACCTTCACTAGACCTGCTCCTGACTCTGCCTTGCTGACTCACCTTCCCTGCTTGACCTCAGTCCTGCGTAATTATTGTGGACTTGTCTAAAGATCCAGACTCTTGTTTCAAAATGACTACCATCCCCAGGCCTGCCCTGCTCTCCTTGCTCAGGTACTATGGGACCAGGCCCTGACTGCTTCTGCTGATCATGTTAACTGCTTTCATCTCCTGGTTCCATTTTCCTTGCTAAGCAGCCAGCCTACAACGGCTCTCTGATGCCCACATGCTTGTATTTCTTTCTAGAAATAACTATGGCACAACAGAAGATGACATACTTATAGTTCTCATCCCAAAATATAATGATACAGTCAAGAAGTGGTCCCAGGTGTGAGAATTGGGGATTACACCCAGTCCTCCAGCTGAGATATACTCATTAGAGCAAAATAATATTTTTTCTGTTATTTTTCTGGGTGCTTAATTATGGTTCTAGCATCAGCTACCATGGTTTTCACCCCTGGATTATATACCTGCTGCCTTTCCCTTTTTAAGAATATAAATTGAAATAATCATTAAAATGTATTTTACAGAAATGGAAAATAATAAAGACAAAACAATTGTAGATCTTTTTAGCTGTTTGTAATATGTATGGTAACCCAGATGAATTTTATTATTAGAAAATAAATTGGGCTTCAGGGACTACTCAATATGTAATACTGGGACACTGAATATACTTTGCATTTTCTCTTTTAGTGTCTTTTATGAAAATTTATAGAAAAAATGTTAGAAAATATTAAATACTGATCAGTAAGTAAGATCTGGGTTCTGTTGTGATTCTTTGTGAAGTCTGTATGGTTGATGATTTTGTTTTGGTTTTTACAGGGGCCCTGGTGAGGGGAATGTTCCTCCCCATGAAGCAAGTGACAGATTACAGATCTTTCAAGCCAAATTTGATGAACTATGGAGGAAGTATATCTTTCTTTCTGGTGGGGAAGAATTATTTGGTCTTCCTATCACAGGTAGTTTCTCAGGGGATATGAATGCCTGGTTGTATGCTATTAAATTTTTCTTGTGGGTCCTGCATTCAGTGCTGGATTCATTGTAGAAAAATTCCTTGCAGTAAATTATTATCTTTCCTATGAAAAGCAACTGTGTGAAACTGGCTCTCAGTCTGTACTGTTCCGTGTATCTCAGGGTCCAGCTGCTTAGCTCTCTTGCTTTTTCTGTTCAGAGCTAAGTGCATCTCCTGTCTGTATCCTTCCAAGTCCAAATTTGGGAAACATGTTGCCAAAGTACTCAGTTGTCCCTGCTCCAGATATATTGCCTTGGGCTGTGCAACTGATCTGTAATATCCTTATGTCTCCTAGCCAGACACTCTTCAAGTTTGGAAGACCACAGTGTGAATTAAAGTTACAGCAGAATGTATGATAAGCACTTTAATTTGTACATACTAAATTCATATATTTTCCTGTCTGAAGACATACGCTATAATCACAATATATTTTTAACTAGGAGTGCCCGAAGAAATGAGAGAAGCTAAACAAAATATTTCCGTTAAGGAGATTCAGTTTAAATACTTTTATTGTGTATCATATTCTATATTTTTATTTTGAAAGCACACCCCTCATCCCCAACCTCTACCTCTTAAGTAAATCACACAATTTGAGATGGAGGATATTTTAGTTCTCGTATAAAAGTATAGTGCATTCCTTTGTCATTTCAACTACTTTTTCAACATCATCTTCCTCACAGAGATAGGTGCAGCACCTCCCTTGTAAGATTACATCTACTGTTATAGAAGAATATTTATAAAAAACTCAGCATTATAAACAATTACTGTGCATCAAAATCTGATGTTCTTAAGTAATGTAACTGAAATGTTTGTCTTACTAGACACGAAAAGTCTGCAAGTCTGATTTCAGACGTTTATTTAATACCAATTTTAGAAATACATGGATTTTTGTGTTCATGAATACAGTTGTGCCTAATTAACATTCACAAATTTATTCTTTTAAAATTTGAAACAGAGTATCCTGAACTGCACAGAATTAAACGTGAGCTTTCATTGCTTCAGAAACTTTACAGTCTTTATAATTCAGTTACTGCTAGTATCGATGGATACAATGAAATGCTTTGGAATGATCTAAATATTGAAAAAATTAACAATGAACTTCTGGATTTTCAAAACAGGTAAGTTATTATTTGTTGAAGTGCATACAATTTTTATTTCTCAGCTTTCTGTGTTAATTATCTTGTGAAAATTGACCTAAGGGGCAAAACCCTCTTGGTTTATTTCAAGCTCAGGCTTGCTCAAGTGCTCAGCTCAGCTGCACTAGTTGCAGACTGTGGTGCAATATGCAGCAAGTGTGTGACCTTAGCTCAGTCTGCAAGTCATTTTAGGCTCATTGGGGTATACTGGCATGATAGGGTACAGCTTATTTAATTAGTAAGGTGCATAAACCTGTGGCAAGGTAGTTGTAGGTAGAAATAACCTTCATAGCTCATCTTCATATATTGCCTTCTCAGCGATTTAGTTTACAGCTAATTAATGTTTAGTCCATGATGTTAGATAGAATTTTGATGTCCACAGTCTACTTCTGTGCATTTGTATGGATTGAAATTGCTATTTCAACAAGGGTGGGTAGCCACGGTAAATTCTGAGGGGTCATTTATGAAGTTTGAGGGGAAGAATGTTTTCCACATTACATATAAAATAACTGTTAGGTGAAGTCATGCTTTGCTGAAATCAGAGGAGTTTTTCTACTGTGTTGGCAAAGACACACCTTTGGTTTTTCAACAGCCATGGCTGTGGCTGCAAGACTATCATGGCCCAGCTTGTTACTTCTGTGAGAGGCAGGGGCTCATGAACCAGCAGGATTTGGATTGTTTCCCCTTTGCCAGCTTTCTTTAAATTCTGATTCCTGGAGTATGGACAGAATTGCTAGAAAAGGGGAATTTTGTTACATGCAAAAGTGGAGTGTCTATATGCAGGTCTTAAGTATTCTGTGCATCCATTCCTTCAGAGTAGTTTTCTGTACCAGTCTATGTTTTACTCTTAATGGGATTTACAGAATATACATTCAGAAGTTGGCAAATAAATGTGCAATATTTTTATTCTGTGCATATCTATTGGAAAAAATGTGAACTGTCTCTCTGTTTTCTTTATGTTTTTTGCATAAGCATTTTCTTCACCTCTTTACACAGTGGCTCTGATCACTTTCTCAGTGGGTTCTTTTGAAACAAGTTCATACTCAATACAAAGAGCCTTCTCTTCTGCAGAGCCTCTCTTCTGGAACAGTCACTGTGTGTGTCTCTCTGCTTCACCAGTAGTTCTGATCAGCTTTTGATTTTGGATACTCCAATGTGACCTGAGAGAGACTTCACTTACATTTTGGTATTATTCAAGAGACTGAGATCAAATCTGTGGTTTTCATCTCATCCCAAATCTTTGAAAACATAAGAAAAGTTACTTGTGCTCAGGCTTTTTAGTCATATGGTATTTTGAGCGTGTTACTGTTTTAGCACAGTCCATTTCTGTACGCACTGAAGGAGTGGAGATTTTCTTCTGGAAAAAATGGAGCAAACTGTCTTCTAAACATTACTTTGAAAAACCCCATCATTTAAAAAAATAATAATAGTAAAAATGAATGTATGCAAAATATATATATATCTGCATTTGGACAATATCTATATTGTCTTGATAAAATTTCAGTAGAATTCTGGAATCTGCATCATCATTTTTTCCATAGTTAATTATGTTACAAGTTGGTAGGAGTCTCTTTATTTTTTCTTCTCCTGGAACTCTGAAGAAAACCACTGCGTGACAACAGTTCTGAAAGTTACATGTTTCTCTTTTTACTTCACATATGACCTTTTCTTCTCAAGTGTTGAGCTATATTTGGAGCAAGGTAGCTACTGATACACAGCAAATATTTTTTTTGTAACAGTCTAACCCGGTACTATGCTTCCTTTGGCAGGCTTGCTAGCATTATTGCATCAAGTTAAGCTCTTTAAAGCTGGAGAAATGTAAACAGTGTACAGGGGGTACCTGCAGAAATAGCTAAGACAGTATGCTGTGTTATGAAAGAAAAAGGAATACTGGAAATGCAATTAGTGTTTTAGCATAATTATAAAGATATGCATAGTTCTTTAATGGTCTTTTTTGCTACCCCTTTTAAAAATAGTAATAGATTAGAAACCTAGAATCATGAAAAGAAGAATCACAAAAATAACTGTAGTTGAAAACAAATCCATTTAAAAAGAGATAAAAAGGATAAATATTTAGAGAAAATGCATGTGGTAGAGAACATTTAAGAAGTTTATAATAAAAGCTAGAGAGAAGTTTCCCTTTATGTTTTACTGTAATATAGTGTAAAGAGAATGTCCAGTAAATTTAAGAAGGAAATTTAAACCTGATCAATGGAGTAGTTTTTTAACATAGTATGTAATTCATGGGACTTGCTGTTAGAAGATATTAAGATATCACTGAGACCAAGACAAAGAAAAAAAGTATCTGTATAAAAAAAAATTTAGCAGTTTTCATTACCAAGCTAAGAGATCCCATTTCCAATTGCCAGCCTAAGACAAAGTTTGTAAGAATGTTACTTCTTGTGCCTCAGTGCAGAAGTAACCAGGAACTGCCTCTTAAAGCCTTATCCATGGCAAGAGTATAATTTTCCATTCTGCAGTGCTTTTCTCTAGCATATTTAATACTGTCTATTGCTGGATTCAAGATGAAAGACTACAGAGATTATTGCCATGCTATGACAGTATGCATATGTTCATCTACCTCTTATCAGCAAGCAGTGAAGAATTCACACATCCTCCAGTGCTGTGTGACAGTCAGTCTGATTTTGAGCTGTGAAAAATGGAGAATTTCGTTGAAGGAATTTTTCATTATGGGTTGGTTTTATGCAGCTTTTTGCTTCTGCCACTGAGCTGTAAGAGAACTGCTGTCAGTCTTTGTTCCATAGCTTTGGCAGATGAAAATTGGCATGACTTGTTAGAAGCAAGTGGAGCTGTGGCAATTCACCGTGCAAGAGGTTCTTCATTTTCAATTTTTTTCATCTTGAAATTGTGCATAAAGAAAGATTTTTCTTTAAATATATTTCATACAAACCAGGTATAAAATAGGACTTGTTTGATTGAAACAGAAGTATTTTTCTGTTTGCAAGCCAGGTCAGTTTTGGTTTAGGATGTACTTTATTTTGCTTGAAAAAAAAATATGTTGTTTAATCCTTTTTCCCCTTTACAAAATCAGGTGCATTTTCAAATTTTTGATAAAACAATGACACTGCAAAAGCTTAAGTTCGGACATGAGTTTGCACATGAAATTAACCTCCTTTAATTCAAACTGAAATAGAAACCAAACCATTCTAGTGTTATTTTTACTGTTTTTCGCAGTGTTTCATGCCTGCAGTCAGAAACAATCAACTATATATTATGTTGCCAGCTTGCAGCTGGATTTTTTTCTGCTGGTCCACTGGTTGAAAAATAAGAATATATGGTATGATTAAATGGTGGATTGTGATTATGAAGAATAAAATATTTCTTGTTTTTTGTGCTTTTTAAAGGGTCCATAAGTTACCAAAAGCATTGAAGGAATGGCAAGCTTTTCAAGACCTGAAAAGAAAAATTGATGACTTCACAGAGAGCTGTCCTTTGCTTGAAATGATGGCAAACAAAGTATGTGCAGCATAATAATTTGGAGATAAGATTCACTTGAAAAAGTCTATTGCAGACTACGTTGTATGACTATAAGATGCTTTCCATAATTCCTTTTTATAGATAAAAGCAGCTATATTTATAGCAAAAGTCTAGTTAGGCTTAATTACAGAAAAGTAAAACAAAAGACTTCGTAATGTGATTAGAAGAACGATTACTGCTTTCAGTGGAATGGAAATCAAGACTGTTCTGTTTGTTTAACAGATGCAGTGCAAAAGTATGTGATAATTCTAGTCCTAAAAATAATACAATTTTAAAAAATCTTCCCTAATTCCTAGGCAATGACGTCACGACACTGGGAAAGAATTGCACAAGTAACTGGGCATCACTTTCATGTTGACTCTGAAAATTTTGCTTTGAAAAACATAATGGATACCTCTTTATTAAAGTATAAAGAAGATATTGAGGTACATGTACTTTTCTGTTTGCTTTTAATTAATAACTTGTGATCTGGGGCTCTGTGCTTTTGGAATCCTGTTTCTAGTAACATTAAAAAATTTGGCTTCAGTTGGAGAATTCTTTTGAAGAATGGAATTTGGTAGCTGGTGTTAGCAGTGATGGTTAGTTTATTTCCTTTTTACTCTGGAGAAGGATTAAATGGGTACATGGTATTACACTAATCCTTCCACAGAAGGAATTCTGTTGTTTTAAGAGCAGTGTGATTCTGTCATGCTTCTGGTTTAGGGTCTGCCTACTTATAATTTTTTCTTCCTTTCAAATGTCTCATCAGAGAGAAAAAGTGGTTGGTGTAAGTCTGATCCTGTTAAGTACTCAAAATCCTTGGAACCCAGTAGAAGTAGAGAATATAGGATTAAAGGAGAACAAGGTTCTTTTGTATTTCAGAAGTGACTCTTCACAAAAGTGCAGAGCAGTGAGAAGGGTTATGTAATGTGCACAAGCTACAAAGCTATTGCCTCCTCCTTTTCGGGGACAGCAGTTATCTAGCAAGTACGTTAGCTTTATGCTCGTTTCCTTTTGCAACAACAAAGTATAGCTGAAAATAAAGAAGGAAAACCCTAACAGTTTCTAACTTCAGTTCTCTTGTCACTTAGCTAAATCTGTGGTCCCTCTATAGTAGTGACGTGATCTGTATTGTTCCACAAAGGAACACTTCTAAGACAAAAACATGAAATCAAAACTCTGCCGTACCCAATTTCTAGACAAGAATTTCAGACTTGTGAAAGGTTCAGAGTGATATCCTTATACTTAAGAAAAGACTTTAAACCTGTGATGGAATCCAACATGCTCCTGGATCTGAATTTGGGGTCCAATCTGAGTAGCTTCTTCTTTTCTCTCTGATGCAATAACCAATTTTACGACAGTGCTGTTCTCACTGTCTTCAAGAAGCGGTAGGCAGTCATGTTGTCTGTGTACACTCTATTCTTGGACTGTTTACTGTTTTTGATTGGTAATTTGTCTTTTCCTTAAAACCCTCAGTAGGTATATTTGACTTCAAAGAGAGAAATTCTGCCTGCAGATTCACTGAGTCAGTGAATTTTCAAAAGTGTAAGGTGTTAGTGCTAGTGAAGACAGAGTATAGCCCATAAAATGTTCCAGTTACAAGTAGTACTATAATATAATCTAGTTTGTAATATGATAATTTTGAGGTGTTTCAATGTTTATCTTCATTAGCTAGAACTTACACTGAAATCTGGATATAGCCAATGAATTTTAATTGTCTTTAGAAGTGTGCGTTATATTAGCCGTAGAGGAATGTAATTAACTAGTTTAGTTTTACACAGGATATCTGCATCAGTGCTGTTAAAGAAAAGGATATTGAAGCAAAATTGAAGCATGTCATCAGTGAATGGAGTACTCATGCTTTCAGTTTTGGCCAATTCAAAACTCGAGGAGAACTCCTTCTGAAAGGATCAGATATATTGGAGAAAATAGCTTTGGTGGAAGACAGCCTCATGATATTGGGATCGCTCATGAGCAACAGGTACAAAACTTAATGAATGCATAGATTGTGTAAATCTAATCAAACGCAAAAGTAAACAGTGATCATCTTAGGTTCTTTTCCCCTTTAACTCATGTTCATACAGGTATAATGCACCATTTAAATCCACTATACAACAGTGGGTTCAGAAGTTGACCAATACTGCAGAGATAATTGAAAACTGGATTACTGTACAAAACCTCTGGATTTACCTTGAAGCTGTGTTTGTTGGTGGAGACATTGCAAAACAACTACCTCAGGTATGTTGATTTATACTAACAATATATTAATGGCAATATGTTATACCAGGAGATTAGCCACATCACAGAGCTTACTTGCCAAAGCATGTAATGTTCTGTAGGCTGTGCAAAGGCAGTTTTGAGACAGCTTTGCCAAACTGGGGTCTGTCTGATTGAACTGCTTAGAACTTGGTCAAACCTAGAGGAACAGGACTGTAATTCAGGCCCAAATGTTCCTGTCAGCTTGCAATATCATATGATAGCACAGGGCTCAAGACTACTTGGTGGTACAAAACTGATGTATCGCTTTTGCCATATATGCAAACATCCCTTTCTTCCTGTGCATGTATGTTTATAGGCTCTAAGTTATGTAATAATAGAATGGCAGATTTTCTTTATAAACTCTGTACTCTCTAGGAATCAGTATAACGAAGTCCCATAGAGAGATGCTGCAAGACTCGGGCAGCTGCATGTGTGCTAATCTGTGTGAACTACTGCAACCTCTTCAAAAGGCGATTATGACCTTCCATGATAGCAGCTGCAAAAGAGTTAAAGAATGATCTGACTTCCTGCAGGAGAGAAATACCAGAATAAGTCATCCTCTCTGTTGTGTCTCCTAATGAGAGGCTTTCATATAGTTCTAACACACCACAGTTCAGTAGCACTGGATCAACCAGTGCTGTAACTTAACAAAACCATGATTATTGGGAAATTATTAAATATTAGTTTATTCCAGGCCACATCTTTTATAATTGAAGGCTTACAGTTTCCAAAACTAACAATTTTGTAAAGCTTTCTTAACTGTTATTTAAGATAACAATACTTTTTTTTAGTTCATGAGATATGTTTATAATATTAATACTTATCAGAGAATCAAGAAGCAGTTTTTGCAGATGAACAAACACTGCAGCACATCTCAGGCATTTGATAACTGCTAAAGCTACTTCTTACAAGGATGATACATGAACCAGTATTCTGGAAAAAAGCAAATGTGGTGACTATCTTTAAAGAAGGAGGAGAAGTAACAGCTTGGTGGAGGAGTAATGGTAGATGAGTGGGCCTAATGGTAATTCCCAGATGAATACTGCAACAAATTACTGTCTGTAAACATCTGGAAGTTAACAAGGGGATGAGTAACAGTCAGTGTGGATTTGTTAGGAGCAAAGCCTATCAAATAAATCTAATTTATTTTTAGGGTGGACAACAAGCTTTGTGGATAGAGGAAAAACAGTAGTTGCTATATATCTTGATATGCTTTTGACATTGTCTCTCATAGTACTATCAGAAAATGAGTTTCAGATTGCTGGTGTGTAAAATGCAGGCAGAAGAGTGGAATGCATGAACAGCAATAGCCGATAACTAGAACACTGTACCTGGTTTTGACTAAAGAAACACATAGACAAATTTGAGAGAGCATAGAGGACAGTGATAAAAATGAGGAACTATCCATGAAGGATGATGCACAAGAAAAGATTCAACAAACTAGACTTGTTTGGCTTGTAGCAGAGGAAACACTGAGGAGAAGGTCTGATAAGTTTTCAAAAAAAAAAATAAGGGCTGTTCTCAACAGGAAGAAAACAGTGTGTTCTCTGTATCTATGAATAAGATGAGAAGTAATTGCTGTGCACAGAAGAAAAATTAAGCTTCGATATTAAAACAGAGTCACCAGTAGTAATGATTGCCTGGAGAGGCTTCTGAATCTCCAACATTGAGCACCTTTGAACACAAGACAGACAAATGTTTTTCAAGAGTGGCATGGGTATGATCCTGTCTTGTGACAGGCAAATGACTTCGGATGGTCTCTTTAGATCTCTCCTAGTTCTCAGATAATTTATGATCCCATTAACATTTCATTCGCTGTAGGTGAAGAAAGGGTTTTTAAAGTCAGTATACCCAGTGTAGAAAAATATTTATTCTCTAGCCCCCACCATTTAAGAATTTGTCTCTTCTCACCTACAATACCTTACAAGTGCAGCAGTTTCAGACTATACTGTTTTAGTTTGTCAAGTGTTACTACTGACGACTTACTCCTCATACACTGCGTGGAGCAGCCATTACATGACATTGTGTATTGCTATTAGGAAGACAGTCATTTCTGAGAAGGCTGATGTTTGAGGTTTCTGGTGTGTGTTGGAGTCCTTTTATATGGAGAATTTTGATGCCCAACATGAAGTAAAAGACACTTCCAGAGCTGTTCCATTGGACTCTTTCTCTTGCAGTTTGAAGTCTTGTTATTATAAGCACTGATCATTATAAGCATGCCTATAAATATTCATACATTAGTCCTGCAAAGGAGACTTGAACAGCAAGGGAAATATTAAGCTGTTACCTTGTCTCGTGGAATTCTTTAATTTTTAGAATTTGACAAACATGAGGAAGAGCTAATGTATTTTTCATGTACTCCAGGAAGCCAGAAGATTTCAGAACATTGATAAATCATGGCAGAGAATTATGCAGAGAGCTCATGAAACATCAAACATTGTGCAGTGCTGTGTTGGAGATGAAACTTTGGCACAGCTATTACCACATTTGCTGGAGCAATTGGAAATCTGTCAGAAATCACTGACCGGGTATTTGGAAAAAAAACGGTTAATATTTCCAAGATTTTTTTTTGTATCTGATCCTGTTCTTCTGGAAATCCTTGGTCAAGCATCTGATTCCCACACTATCCAGGTACAAGTAAATAAAGCAATACTGTTCTTATGGTCAATGTTAGTAAGTGAGGACCATGGAGGATTTAATTATTTAGTTGAGAGAATTTCTTTCACTTATGGAATGATTTATGGAATCTTCTAATACAGGACTTAAAGGCAAAGTAAGAATGCCATATCAAATCAGTTTATGGAGGGTTTTTTTATTATTCTATTGTAGGCGCATTTATTAAGTTTGTTTGACAATGTTAACCGAGTGGGATTTCATGAAAAAAACTACGACCAGATTTTATTGTTTGAATCTCAAGAAGGAGAACAGGTCAATATTATTGAACCAGTTTCAGCTCAGGTAATGGAAGTATATATTACAGTTTTTCATGTCTTGATTTAAAGTAGATTTATGTTGTAGAGACCAACAGTATCGCATCATGCTATTATTTGACTAGCTGAATGAAAACCTTCCAATGTGAACAGCAAGAGCAAAGGCCAGAAAGGACAGGACATTTGTGTCAGTCTGTAACAATTACCTTACCTGTTTTTTCAGCAGTACTGGTGTGAAGTGCCAAATCCATCACATATCTCTAGAAGGGCAGTGAAGCAGAAGGAGGAGAGGAATCTTTTAAAGATTAGAGAATAACAAAGAGGGAAATGGGAGTATGAAGGAGTGGGAAAAAAAGCCATGTAGGGCTTTTTCTCCTTGTGAATTATTCATAAACTAATTCTTTAAATGTACTTTCTTGTTTATTTCAGGGTAATGTGGAATTCTGGTTAGGTCAGCTGCTGAATGGGATTAGGAAAACAATCCACACCATCATTAGACAAGCATCAATGGCCATTAGCGATTCAGGATTTAAGCTGTATGACTTTCAGACAATGTTTCCTGCACAAATAGGACTTCTGGGAATTCAAATGATCTGGACCAGAGATGCAGAGAATGCATTGAACAGTACCAAAACAGACAAAAAGGTAGTATTTAATGAATCTTTGGGGATTAATTAAAAGCACTGTTTGGAACAGTGCATGTTGTGAGAAGTTAGAAGTAACATGTAGGAAAAAGCACGAAATATTAGTTAAGTAACCAGAATAACAAATAAACTAAAAGGAAAACAGAATGGTAAAAAATGTATTAAGAGGTCACACCTCCTCACCATTCACACTCAGCATGTGCTTTAGAACTGTTCCTAATCCTGTGATTTTCTCTACTGTTCTGTCAGTGCAGTTATCTTGGGAAGGGAAAATTTCTGAGTTTGGGAATACAGGGAATCTTATCCTATTACTTTCCCAAAAGCAGATTTGGAAAGAAATAAGATCTCCCCAAATGTGGGGAAATAGCTGTGCTTCATGGGCATTGGTCTACTGTAAAGGAGTGTCTTAGATTCGTTAGTTGATGAGCTCTTTTTTGGGGGAAGGGAAAGAATAGAAGCTATTTGAGGAGGTGCTGGTTTAATCTGAAACGTGTAGAGAAGATCCTGTTAACACCAAGGTGTTATTACTAACACTGAATCTATGAAGAAGGAGAGGAAGTGAACTCAACAGTTGCAAATTACCATTAATCAAGACTATACAGTGAGATTGGACTAAGAACTAGTAACATCATCCTACCATAAAAGTAAATACAGGAGAATGGTACCATGCTGTACTTTTATAGTGAATGAAAACAAAGAATCTAGACTGTGGGGAAGACCACTTAGGGCTACATTTTCTGCATTGTACAAAGTTTAAAAAGGGCATAGACCTGCTTTTAGTCCTCTCCAGTTCATATGCTAACTAGATGCAAAGATTCTTTTGCATTAACTAGAAAACAACTTTTGTTTATTTGGAATGAACTGTGTGTGCGTGTTTGGGGAGCAGGAGGTGTTTAATTCTCTGTTAGCTTTGCAGCAGTTTTATAATTTTTTTTCTCAGCAAACACTGTGAGTTTTAGGCTTTGCATATATTTACCGAAAGCTCGTGCAGTTGTTTTCTCACACACTTGGAACAGGAGTATATATGAGCTGCCCTTTCTGAAACCTCAGTGCTTTATATTTTGTTGTGTACTGGGAACATCACTGACAGAAGGCTGATGCTGTTTACCTAAGTCAATATTGTATAGTCAGTATTGTATTTTGTGGAATTTTGTAACAGAATCTGGTGCCACAAAAGAAATTATTATTTTAGCATTGGCATCTAAAATTACACTACATTTCTGTCTCCTCTGGTTAGAGGATGTGATAGATCTGCAGGTTCCTCCTCCCCCTAAGTAGTAGACACTGCTTGGGCTGATGTGCAATACCCAAAACCACAGACTGATGGTTCTGAAAATATGCAGGGATGCAATCAGCTGAAGATGTAATGTACAGTAGAAGGAGCAATAATCTTGGAACAAAATCTTATGATGTGACCTGTTCACCTAGATATAACCTTATTGTACTCTGCTGGGCTAAGAATGCATGCATGAAGGGCAGCCTGCAAATCCAAATTTAGGATTCCAAGCCTAATAAATACAAAGCAGACCATAGATGTCATGGGCCCATATGTTTGCAAAAGTTTTTTTATTTTTTATCCTAAACACTGGAAGAACAAATGATGTTTGTATTAATATGGCTGTTCTTGCTATGTGGAAAAGGTAATGCACACAACAAATCAGAAGTTTTTGGAACTTTTAAATGATTTGATTGACATGACAACACACAATCTGACAAGAATGGAGCGCACAAAGTATGAAACTTTAATCACCATTCATGTGCACCAGAAGGATATCTTTGAAGACTTGGTAAGTTTCTGAAAACCTTTAAGGGACTTTCTGTATGGAAGTTTTTGCACATACAAAAAAAATTATAAACAGATCTTACAATGTCTTCTCTTTGAGTAGCTCTGACATTAGAACTGTGACATAGTGCATCAGATTTAGTTTGATTTCATATAGATGTCATGCAGACATAAGGGTGAATTATAAATAGGTGTGCTCATAGATTCAGACTTCGGTTCTTAAAATGGTTGTTGATACCCATCATGCACGAATTCACCATGAGCAAAAGAGTTTAATTGTTTAAATTAAACTATTCTCTCAAATTAAAAATTTAATACATTATTTAATTGAAATGTAAAAGGAAAAAAAGTCCCCTTAGTGTCTATCAATCATGATTTTCAGCCCAGCCTATGTGTTAATTTAAGGTAATAGTTATTCAAAGGTTAAAGTGGTGAGGCTCCATATATTTGAAAAGGGTAGCAATAATAACCAGAACAGATACTTTAAATTGTTTTATAATTGAGTTGCATCAGACTTCCTTTACGTAAGTATGTTGAATACGTGAAACTATAATTATAAAAATGAAAGTAAAATAACTTTCAAAAAGCTTGCGTGATGCAAAGGTCGGTAATTCAACACCGCATTTTTTAATTTATGCATATATGTTGGAAAGATAAAAATTAAGTGCATGTGTAAAGAAAGATAGAAAATCATAAAGCAAAATACTGAAAGTTAGAAAGAAAACTGCCAGCTTCTAAGATAGGCATGGGGTTTTATCCTCTACCCATAATTTTTAATTTATTTTCTTAGTTATTTTCTTAATTAGACATTTCATGATCAATCAATTTAATGTCATATTATAATAAAATTAAATCACAGAAAATTGGTTAAATTTAAAGGGTCTGTATGTGAAATAAAGCGGGAGCAAGTCCAAAACTGGGGAAAGGATTCTTCACTGGTACATATAATATTATCCTTTTCTCTTGAAACGTTCTATCCCCTGCTAAACACGTCCTTTTGTGATTGTGAGAAAATAGAGGGAGGTGGCTGAGAATCCAGAACCCCCTCTTCACCTTACACTATGTCTGCAAGGCCAATAACCAGGACTACATATTCCCTAAGAGGCTGGTGGTTTTGAGATCAAGTGTCAAAAATGATGAATCAAGTTCTGTTAATCTGCCACAGGTCTGTGTGTGGCAAGTTCATACTGAAAAATACATCCCAAATAAACATGCTCATAGACATATATACAGTATATTCAAGCATTGTCCATGATTTAGTATTTCTGTGAGTAACAGCACCAGATGACGTGCAGTGTAACCGATATTGTTACCTAGTTGTTTATGCAGTTTTCCATCACTGTTCTTCAATATCTCTGTAAGACAAAATTCATAATCTCTGTACTCAATTCAGAGGAAAATCAAAGTGGTGAAAAGGTGTAGTGCATGTTTGAAAAGATTGTTCTGGATGTCTTGACTCCTGACAGATTCTGTGCTTGTTCTTCCAGCTCTTGAATTTATGCATAGTAGATCTTTTTTCTCTATGGAATTTAAAATTAATTTGTTATACTGTTTCTTTTCTATATTAATGATTTTTCTTTTCCATTATAGGTCCGTATGAACATTAAATCTCCGTCTGATTTTGAATGGCAAAAACAGTCTCGATTTTATTTTCTTGAAGACTTGGATAAATGCATTATCCAAATCACTGATGTAGAGTTCACCTATTGCAATGAATACTTAGGGTGTACAGACAGACTTGTTATAACTCCCTTAACTGACAGGTAGTTATAAAAAGAATGCAGTGCATAGTACAGGAGCTAAGACTTAATTCCTTTGACTTAATTCCTTTAACTTTCACGAGGCAGAATTCTTTCTTTGGTTGCACTATAGTGCTGCAATATCGATAGTGAACAGCAGAGGCCAGTGCTTATATATTCAGCTAGCGAAAGCATGTACCCCTAGGAGGGGTCTTGAATTCAAGTGTTTGCTTCAGCTGTATGTGCTGTGGTAGGCTTTGAAAAACTTACTTGTGTTCAAGATAAATATAGCTGAATGCTGTACACTTCATCAGCCTAAGCAGAGTGGATCTAAAAAACAATAGATTGCTGCTTTCAATAAGCTAGTAGTTGCATGAGAATTTGGGATTACGGCAAGTGATTCATTTGAAGTCACCCTAGAGAAAAAAGCAGTAACTCAGGACATAGCACTGAATAACTAGTGCCAGTATGGTTTTAAGCAAGGCCTATGTAGAATTACAGGACTACAAACACAGACAAAGCTCTGAGGGCAAAATATAAGGAGAACTTTTCATTGCTGGAGTGTGAGTTATACAGCACAGTATAAACTCCATTAGATGCGTATTTTCCTAAAGTACTTGGTAGTGCTTCAGCTAGGCAAGAGGCAGATGTATTTGCTATGCCAGAGCTTATTCTTTCAAGTGTGGGTAGGAATGTTAAAGTGTGAGAGAATCACAATATTGTATTTTGGTATTTGGCATTTAGAATCGGCTTGTGTGTTTCCTGGGCTGTTGCAGTTGTCACTGTGCTGGACACATGCTTTTCTGCAAGTGAAGCAAAGATGGTGCCTGGTAACTCAGCTTCACAGTGTGCAAAGGGGATGACTGAGGATTTACCGTAGGGAAGCACACCCATTTCTTCCCCCTCCCCCAGCTCTGTGCAATACAACTGTTGTGGTTACATTAATGGACTTCAAGTAATTAATAGTAGAAAAAGATTGATAGAACTCTTTGTTCTGTCTCTAGGTGTTACATCACCCTGGCACAGGCCCTGGGCATGAGTATGGGTGGTGCACCCGCAGGACCTGCAGGGACAGGGAAAACAGAGACAACTAAAGACATGGGCAAATGCCTGGGGAAGTATGTTGTTGTTTTCAATTGTTCAGACCAAATGGACTACAGAGGACTTGGCCGTATCTATAAAGGTAAGAAGTAATCTGGTTTGTTCATTTTAGAGTCGTACTAGTGAGTTAGCAATGATTAGTAGGACATTTTCTTCTCTGTTTCCTCTTATTTCCAGATGCTCATCAACTTTTTCTGATATTTGATTATTTCTCCTTATTTTTCCTTTTTTCTTCTTGGATGCTTTCCAGGTTTTTTTTATATTCTTGGACTGTGTTTCCTATCATTGTCCTCTTTTCTGTTTCTCTTTTAATCCTTTCTACTTATTTTCTTTATGCCTCTCCCACCCATCCCAAGGGGAGGATATTTAGCACTCCCTTGCCATTTTTGTATCAAGCAAGACAAACAAATGCAGATCTTGATGATGTTGTGCAAGGCAGGGAAACATGCAAAGTGGTGCAGTGTCTTATTTCAAACTCTAAAACTTTTTTTGAAACCAGGAAAATGAAATAGTGGTCAAACTCTGATAACTTTTAATGATAAGCAGAGCTTTGAAGTCAGTTTTGCAAACAGTGATCAGGTAATCCAATATCTGTAGACACCATTGTGTCTCTTTTCTTGTATATAGCTACTACTGGTTATATGGACTGGCAGACCACAGAACACCACCATTTTCTGTGAGTGATGGGCTCTTAAATCTAACACAAGGTATCATAATTTTCATGGTTGTGATATCTCCTGAAGGTTAAAATATAGCCTGGAGATAATTTCTAGTTTTAATTAAGAAGCCAGCAAAGCTGGCCAGACTTTAATAGAACTAACGTTTGTTTTCTCATTAAGAGCTTAAAAGTATCTAATTACGCTTTTCTAATGGAGATAAAAAGTCTGAAATGTATGGCAGGTTTGGATTAAGGTGCTTTTGTAATTAATTGTGAAAAGGTTTTCCATATTTGTCTCTTATCTCTTCTGTGGTCTTACTGGATTGGTTTGTGGCTGAGTTAGATCGAGAAGACCAATAGTACATATTTGGGAAGAACTGAGTGGGTTTGTCTTTGGTCTCACCAAGCTGTTGGCTTTTTCCTCTCTGCTCCTCCTGTGAGAATGTTTGTCTCTCTTTATGTTGCCATCTTTTTTCCCAACTCCTCGGTGATTTCACTTCTTTGTGTTAAACTGTTACTGACGTGTCAACCCAGACATCTAGCCTCTGTATCCTTGCTTTGTTTCTGCCCTTGGTAACTTACCCTTTCTCATTTGAGACTGAGGCAATGGTGATAACTGCAGCTTGTCATTGCCTTTTTTTAGTAAAACTGGGCACAACTGTGCCTAAGAACATGAGCTGAGTTTTAGGGCTCAGCTTCCTTTGTTTGCTGTAAGTTGACCATTTTCTATGTAGTATTGTCATCATATAAAACAAAAGCGAAGTAATACTTTGTAAGGCATCCTTGTTGTCTGTCTGCCTCATTAAATGGCATGCTGGTGTTCAATATGAATTAGAAAAGGTGCTAATAGAGCTCAACAAATTGGTGCTCAGGCGACCATGATGCCTGTGACTGCTTACCTCTGTCAATATGCTAGTGGGATGGTGTTGTCTGGGAATTAGATAACAGATCTAGCTGAACAGAGCCTGGATAGGGTGGTTTTTTTCAGCATTCATCAGACTGCTGTATGTCTGGGAGGAAAAGTAAGATTCTGTTCTTACATAAGTCATCGATGCTTTCACTTGTGAAAGGCACCAGTTGCTTTGGACATATTTCCACAACTTGGAAGGGCCTGGCTTGGAATTTTTATGTTGAAATGTCTTTAAGATATCTGATATTTCTTGAAAAGCGGATATACTGAAGCCAGGAAAGTAAATGAGCTTTTTTTTTTGGTTTAATAGGAGGAGCAGAGTGAGTTTAGAGAAAGACTCTTTAATGCATATGAAATCTTTAATGGAAAAGAAGGGTAGTTATTCACAGCTGTAGAAGTGCTTTCATGCAGACTGATAAGAAAGTTCTCATGAAACATACTACATATTTTAGTGCACACATTGAGAAATTCTTCAGAATTCCACAGGTCTGTGATAGGCTTTGTACTCCATCACCAGTGTGTCCTCCTCCAAACTTTTGACTTCATCTGGTGCTGTGGGACGAGTTATCAGATATTAGGAGATTTAGCAGTGAGGAGAAAAAGGAGGTGTGGAGGTGGTGTTGTCATGTCTGCAGCCATGTTTCCAGATTTCTTCTGTAAGGACAGTAAGTTTGATCTTCGGAATAATTAAATAGAAAAAAATAGACTAGAATAGAAGAGAACAGAACAGAATAGAACAGAATAAATATATATAATATGGCAATATATTGTATGCTATAAAATCATAATTTAAAATTCTCCTGGTTGGCTCAGAGCTGAGGCTCTGTCTCTCTGTTTCTCTGTCTTCCTGCCTCTTTTGTTTTCCTGTGTGACTCCAGCTATTCACAGGCAGATGGTCTTGTCAAGATGTCCAAGGCCTGGACTTCCATCTTTGATAGTTTTATTTTTGAAAAGTAGCTTCAGATATAACTGGTCATCTGAACTGGACCAGAGGTAACCCATGAAAATACCAGGGAAGCAAGTGAGAAGGTGAATTTTCAAGTTTTCTATTGTATCGAATTCAGTGTTAAAATTGCCCAGGAATAGCAAATCAAGGGTACTTCATCACTCTTACTGAAAAGTGTCGGTGAATACTCTTTAGGAACCCTTTCGTCTGTTGTTGTCTGTAGGTGAGTATAAAAGTCATGTTTGCTTTGGTTCTGTTTTATATAGTTACAATCAAACAACCCCAGTCTCACCTGAGGTACCTTTTTGTGATTTGATATTTAATGCAATATTTAATGTAAGATTTGATATTTATCTTAATTCAGAAGGTGAATAAACAACTATGGAGCTCTGTAAATTCTTTCAAGACCAACGAATACCTTGCAGTTTACTGCTTCTGGGCTGCACTTTGGATAGACAGAGTTCTGTTTTAGTGAAATTTGCTTTGAATTATGTCACTATAGTTCTACCCCTGTGTAAAATCTTAAGAGAAGAGTTGTTTCAATACAAAAGAGAGTTTGTAGCTGCTTTGTCATGATTAATTACTGCACTGTCATAGTATTTTTAGCCAGCCCTCCCAGTGTGGAGCAGCACCTGGGGCCTGTTGGGTCACCTGGCAGAACAGGGGGTGTCACAGTAAGCTGCAACGTACTTTCTTCATGTGTGGAGCCCTTGTACCTGCACTGGGGACTGTGTTTGCTGTGTAGCATTCAAGGGTCAGGCCACCCAGCTGTGCCTAGGCTGTAGGGTCACTGATGTGGAAAGGGACATGGCACTGCATTGCAGAGATGCATTTTGAAGTAGCTATGCTGTGTGATTCTTATATCATATGGGGACCAGGTCTGTCGGATATCGGTACTGATTTGGGGGTGTGTGTGTCACATTTTTACACATAGTTAAAGATCTCTTTAGTCTTGTCCTTTATTTTCTGCTTTTGCTCCATTTCTTTATTTCATTACCATACTATGTTCTGTGTGGGGACAGCAATTAATGACACTGCATGAGAGGACACAACAAAATTATGCTGTCTCTAAGCTGTTGTGCAGCTGACAGTTTGCTTGCTGTGCCTTTGCTTGTGTGGGTCTGTGTGGGTGTATGCATGTGTGTGTACTTTCCTTCCACCAGAATGGAATAATTTTCCAAGAACTGAATTTATTCAAAACTGTGGGGTATTGGCCTTGCCTGAGAGTCAGGTTTCCTAACTCCATGCAGCAGGTGGCATTACAGAACAAGTGATTTTTTTTTTCCTTTCCCAAAGAAAAATTATTTGGCTAGAACCTCACCATTCTGCAGAGAAATTAAGTTAAAAAATATTTTGTTATAGGGATAGTAAGTGTAAGAGACAATATTATACAGAACACAGTGTCTTTCTTAAAGAATGTCCAGCTTTAGCACTTTTAGTTGTTGTATCCCGAAGAGTAGATATTGATGTTTAATAAACACAGTAGCAAAACTTTTTTTTTATATATAATGGATCCTAGTAGTCACGTAACACTTGAGACAGGGAGCATCAAGAATGGGGCAGCTCCATGAGGGAAGACAAGCCAGGAGCCAAGGGTGACCACCACACAGGCAGGGGCAGGGCCTTCACTGGCCAGGGCACAGTCCCACAGTGCCTGAGCAGGGCAGGTAGGTGACAGCTTGTTCCATCAGCTGTCCAGTGACCATCAGACACGGTGAAATAACAAGCTGGGTCCAGTGTCCATCTAAGAAGTTCAGTCAGAAACAGCAGGAGGCGGGGCTGGAAGTAACGCTATGGATAGTTCTAGGGTCCTCCAGGAAGTTCAGCCAGCAAGTCAGGATAACAGGAGATAGGGCTGTGCCCAGCCCTGTGTATAACACAGCTCAGGCAAAGACTGAGGGCCCAGACCTGCCTGAGCGGAAATGGAGTGTCTGGACTGGAGGACAGAGAGTGTGGGTAGAAGCCCCAGGTAAGGCTGATGAGGGCAATTAAGGCCATTTGGTGCATTCAGGACCCTGATATTCCTCATACAAGGAGGAGAACATTAGTTAAAGGACTTCCTGCCACACCAGTGGCAAGGAACATTCTTCATTTGTTTTTAAAGACAGTAGGATTGGGTCTTTCCTGTTTTAAATTTGGTACCTGTCTATAGAATTACTTTAATCTTTGTTTCATTATGGCATTGAGGTATTTGTATATATTCTCTTTGCTTTTAAATTTTGTAATTAAGTTCATGTGACTTTTTATTCTCTTCAAATTATTTTCTTCTGGAGCATGCTTTTCCTTAGAATATCACAGAATTTAGAAGCAGTTTAGGAAAAAGATTACTCTACATATGGAATTGAACTGAATTTCATGGAAGATCTGCAGTATTGCCCTGGCTGAATCAAATCTTAAGGAGGCAATTTTGGCTGTACTATGACTGGTTTTTATCTGATGTGGCTCCATTAATTTTGTTGAAGAGTTCTTCTAAAATTATGTGGGTAAAAAAGACTAATCAGTGCAGAAACGTAAGAGTTCCTGCATAGGCTTACTAGCCTTTGTCTCTTGTGAAATGGACATGGAATAGCAGGGGATTATGTTGCTTTCCCACTACTCCTCTGGAAAGCTGCTGCTGTAGACTCTCTTATTTCAATTCTGCTAACATGATGCAGAAGGAGGAGTACTTGATTCTCCCAAAAGACATTCATTTCATGATGTTGAGGATACTGATGTCTGTCTAGAACTCCATGGCTTGTTCCAAGTAACAGTTTTAAGTGTGACATCAGATTCCTCTCTCTTGAATGGCAAGATGCTGTTCTCCAACAATTTTAGACCTATCAATTAATTGTTATAAAATGCTACAATGCTTCTGTCACAAATGTAGTGATTTCTGAATTTGATTCTGTGCTTTTCATTTATCTAGGTGTCTCTCAAGCTCATCTTTGACAATTTCACCCCCTGCATAGATGACTTCCCATTCTATATGCATGTTTATGCTTCTAGGTGCTATATACAATATTATTGAACACTTTCTGCCTTATGGTTGCTGTAGAAGTGTAGGATTCTTTGTAAAGATGTTTTTATATCTTTCTTCCAAGGGGTAATTCTTTTTCTGGGTGTCATTAATACACAGCCCAATTTATTCTGAGTTCTTATTTCTCATTTTACTCTGTGTTCATACTCTCTGTTCTTCTCATGTTACATTAAGTTATGTAGAACATGCTACATTTTATATATAAATTATTCTTGTTTGATCTGATATTTTAACAAAATATTTTTCTTTTTGCATTTTTAGGTTTAGCCCAGTCAGGTGCATGGGGTTGCTTTGATGAATTTAACCGCATTGAACTTCCAGTTTTATCAGTAGCTGCTCAGCAGATATATATTGTACTTCAGTGTAAGAAAAATAAGAAACCTCAGTTCATTTTCACTGACGGTGATGTTGTTGACATGGACAGAGAATTTGGTATATTTCTGACTATGGTACGTGTGTGAATATGTGTAAATGGCATCATTGTGAAAAATATTTCCTGTTCCATTTCCCATTGAAACTTCCCAGTTGAAATCGTTGGAACTGACTGTTAGAAAATAATGAATACAATTTGAACAATAATTTGGTCAAATCATAATGATGATATTTTCTCTTCCTCATATTTTTAACTGAAACTTAGGACTTGAGGTATGCAATTATCATTAACTACACATTTTAAGGGCTTTTTTAGTTGAATATTTGAGAGATCGAGACTAAACCAAACCATCTCATATTTTTATTCAAAGTCTGTCAAAATAAAGCAGAAGTAATTGACCACTGCAAGGACTACTGTAGTTGGTCTAGTCAGAATTTCACCATCTGTGAAGAACTTTCAACCACAGTACTTCTGTATGACAGCATGAAGGAAACCACCATCACTCTGGTTCACTGGCCTCCTGAAGATTTATCTTTGGTGCCTGTGGACTGCTTCTAGCAGTGCAGGAGGCAAAGAAGCAGGAAAGCGTAGTAATACCTTAAAAGCCTCTTTGTATCTTCCCCTCCTTAGCTGTAGGCTACATACCCACAACTCAGAATGGAAGCATTTGTCTTTCTTTCAAAGTTTCCTTCCTTTGCAAAGGTGTTAATGTTATCACTTTGATTTGAAAAAGAGGACAAATTAGTGGCATACAAAGGCCAGTGGGAAGACAGTTTGGAAACAGCTGGAAGAGTTTAAGAAGTTATCCCTGCATAGCCAGTGACTACTGTTCTCACAGCTGAGCCATGCAGTAAGTCACATGAATGACTTGGACATCTTCAGTGAAAGGTCAGATCTGTTAGTTTAAGTTATGTTCAGTAATGGCTTGCACTGCTTGGCTGACTTTGCACTGAAATGGTCTGAGAATGCTCAAAAGGGACAGCACTCGAACACTACTAAGACCTGGAGGAACTAACTAATTTAAAACAGCTCCAACAAGATCTGTAAATGGTTGTCTGTCTGTCTGTCTGTCTGTCTGTCTTCGGCATCTCCAAATAACACGTGATACCACATGCTTCATGAACTGCAGCATTTAGGCAACTGTGTAGTGATGTTTACTTGTGACATGCTCGAGTTACCCTTTGTAATCTGGCATGTGCTCCTGTGTTTGTGAAATAATTATCAGAAAAGATAAACCTTCCTATGCTGCTTTTGCTATATAATATTTGATTTTATATTTTGCATTTTTCAGAACCCTGGCTATGCAGGACGACAGGAACTTCCAGAAAATCTGAAGATTCAGTTTCGCACAGTTGCTATGATGGTGCCTGACCGTAGCATTATTATGCGAGTCAAGCTGGCAAGTGCTGGTTTCCGAGACAACCAAGTCCTTAGTCGAAAATTCTATACACTCTACAAACTCTGTGAAGAGCAGTTATCTAAACAGGTAAAATAAATATTTGTCCAACAGTAAGCTGTCACTGGAAGGGAATGTAGAGAATATATTTTCATAGAATATATAATTATCTTGACATTCATTAACCTATTCATTAATCATAATGATGATATTTTCTCTTCCTCATATTTTTAACTGAAACTTAGGACTTGAGGTATGCAATTATCATTAACTACACATTTTAAGGGCTTTTTTAGTTGAATATTTGAGAGATCGAGACTAAACCAAACCATCTCATATTTTTATTCAAAGTCTGTCAAAATAAAGCAGAAGTAATTGACCACTGCAAGGACTACTGTAGTTGGTCTAGTCAGAATTTCACCATCTGTGAAGAACTTTCAACCACAGTACTTCTGTATGACAGCATGAAGGAAACCACCATCACTCTGGTTCACTGGCCTCCTGAAGATTTATCTTTGGTGCCTGTGGACTGCTTCTAGCAGTGCAGGAGGCAAAGAAGCAGGAAAGCGTAGTAATACCTTAAAAGCCTCTTTGTATCTTCCCCTCCTTAGCTGTAGGCTACATACCCACAACTCAGAATGGAAGCATTTGTCTTTATTTCAAAGTTTCCTTCCTTTGCAAAGGTGTTAATGTTATCACTTTGATTTGAAAAAGAGGACAAATTAGTGGCATACAAAGGCCAGTGGGAAGACAGTTTGGAAACAGCTGGAAGAGTTTAAGAAGTTATCCCTGCATAGCCAGTGACTACTGTTCTCACAGCTGAGCCATGCAGTAAGTCACATGAATGACTTGGACATCTTCAGTGAAAGGTCAGATCTGTTAGTTTAAGTTATGTTCAGTAATGGCTTGCACTGCTTGGCTGACTTTGCACTGAAATGGTCTGAGAATGCTCAAAAGGGACAGCACTCGAACACTACTAAGACCTGGAGGAACTAACTAATTTAAAACAGCTCCAACAAGATCTGTAAATGGTTGTCTGTCTGTCTGTCTGTCTGTCTTCAGCATCTCCAAATAACACGTGATACCACATGCTTCATGAACTGCAGCATTTAGGCAACTGTGTAGTGATGTTTACTTGTGACATGCTCGAGTTACCCTTTGTAATCTGGCATGTGCTCCTGTGTTTGTGAAATAATTATCAGAAAAGATAAACCTTCCTATGCTGCTTTTGCTATATAATATTTGATTTTATATTTTGCATTTTTCAGAACCCTGGCTATGCAGGACGACAGGAACTTCCAGAAAATCTGAAGATTCAGTTTCGCACAGTTGCTATGATGGTGCCTGACCGTAGCATTATTATGCGAGTCAAGCTGGCAAGTGCTGGTTTCCGAGACAACCAAGTCCTTAGTCGAAAATTCTATACACTCTACAAACTCTGTGAAGAGCAGTTATCTAAACAGGTAAAATAAATATTTGTCCAACAGTAAGCTGTCACTGGAAGGGAATGTAGAGAATATATTTTCATAGAATATATAATTATCTTGACATTCATTAACCTATTCATTTTTTAGGGTTTTCAAGTTCTAGAAACAGAGTCTGAAATCATCAGATTTTTATTTTTCAAACTAATTTGTGTAGTAAAGGAAGTGTGATTTGTGATTTTTAAACAGAGCGGAGTTATTGGAGAAGTTATGAAGAATGGTGTGTAGTGCTCTGCTGAACTTTGTAGAAGACACATTTTTCAGTCTCCTCACCTATGAAGGCTAGACCTATTGGAGAGACAGAACTGTAAATAACTGAAGGCACTGTTTTGTTGAGTGCTACCAGAAAAGTGCTATTCTGTTTGATCTGGGGTAGAAACAAAGGATAAAGCTGCTTTGAAGAATAGAACTAGTTGTTGCCTTTTGAATGCCCTGTGCTGGCTGTCCACTAGAGGGTATTTGAGAGAGAACATATGCTTTATGTTGTAGACTGGCTTCAAAAGGGTCATATTTACTACTGGCTTCCCTGTAATATTGCCCAGGGTGTCTCTATTAACCTTCAAATTAGTTTTTAGGCAATCTGAATCACCCTGTATTGATCTAGCATCACTAGTCTTAGTCCATTTGTTGCTGTCCAACCTACTCTCTCAGTCCTGTCATCTGCATGTGTTTTATAGTTACCAGGCTTATAGGCTGCATTTGCCAGAGGATCATCTTCCAAGAGCTCTCTCTTAAGTGGAATTTGTGGATGTTGTTTAGGAAAATTTGTGTATGCACAGTTTCAGCAGTTAGCAACGTAGCTTGTCACTGGAGTATTGAATATGGATCTCTCTTTTTTTCCCTCAGGCTTGGCCTCAGTAGGATTAAATTTTCTCAGTGCCTCAGTTTGCGTGGTCAGTTTTGTCCTGGTCATGATTTTTTCCTTCACCATGGAAGAGACATTTAAGCAGGCATCAGAAATTTGGCCATCTAACTCTGCAAAAGTGCTTTGCTTGTTTTGTTTTGGAACCATTTTACTCCTGGACAGAGTACTTAAAAATAACATGCCCTCCCAAACAAAACTTAACTGTATACAAACTTATTTTAACTGTCTTAATTCTGTACAATATTTTGTACATGACTGTTGCTGCATCTGCACAAAGAGTTTCTATATGTAGTTTGGTCATTTCTGCGGCAGAAGCTGCCCTGGAGTCTCTGAGACAGCAAGATTCTGCATTCAGCATGTTAATCAACATATTGAAGCATATAAATAGTGCTTATCAGTTTGCCTAGGGATTGTAGGAACTGCCTGGAGGACTCTGTGGAACTGTCTGAAATTTTCATCTGGAGAACTCCTGTACTAATTAGTCAAGTGTTTTGTTGTGAAGGCATGCAACTCAATTACCTTTTCTCAGGTCAGTCCTTTGCCTCATCTACGCTGACACTAACAAGGGAGTTCCTTGCTATTAATTAATGGAAATTAATGACCAAGGGTGGAGATATTCAGTCTCTCTGGGCACCTTTTCTGTGTTTGACCATTCTCATTGTGAAGAATCTTTTCCTTATGCAAACGGTTTCAGTTTCCCCTGTTGCAAATTTTGACCATTGTCTCTTTTCCTCTCACTTGGTCATCTTTTGCTGGACTCATTGCAGTATGTCAATGATGGTCATGTAGCAAGGAGAAAAAGAAATTTATCAGCCCTTGTCGTGATTCTGGATATTTCACTAGGACATATAATTTACTAAATGATACCAGACTTCATCATCAATGTATAATCTGCCTTACAAACTTCGCGGGAAGTTGTGAAACTTTTGTCTTAATGTTTCCATCTTCAAATGAGATTTCCTGGCAGTTCCTGGCTGAATATTCATATCTAACTTTTTCTACTGGTAACAACTTGGCACGTGATTGAGTAATAGAAAATGAGGCTGGACAGAGCCTTGAGGGGCTTTAAGGGTTTTGCTTTCCTGTTCTGGAAAAAAAATAATTCTTAGCTAAATAATTTGCTATAAATCTTTGTGACTCTCCTTAACATTTTCTGTTGACAGATAGCCTGCAGTTTTCCCAGGCAATCTTTTCCAAATTTTCATTTTCCTCATGGCCACAAAATTGTCTCTAAAAGTTAACTTGAATGTCCCTTGCTGTAGTTAAGTACTTTACTTCTTTTCCTTTCTATTCCTTCTGTTTCCCCTTTGCAGGTATTTTTTCATGTCAAAGACTTCTATTGTAACTCATCCTACATATTTGCTCTTCCTACTTCTACAGTAGATTTTGGTTTACTTCTTCCTGATATAACATGTTTTCTAGTCAGCTGGTAACTTTAATTTCATTTCTAAATTCTCTTCGGTAGATTTCATCTTCAAGTGTAGAATCCAACTTTTGGGCACTATACAGAAGTGACAAATGAAATGGAAATGTCTTTTCAACTGTCCTAAAAGGGACACTTTTCTTTTTATTGCTTACTATAATTGTAGAAATGTCATTGAGGTATTTGTGGCTTCAGTCCAATTTCTGATATTTTTCTGCAAAGCTTTCTGCACCTGACTTGTTTCTCAACTGAATGAAGAAGAGTTGTTACTGTTCTTTATTTGTGCAGTTGGTCATTTCTATCTGTATAGTAGTTTCCACTTGTTTTTAATTGCATCATACATAGATAATTTATTGAATTTCTGTTGGTAATTTTGAACTCTAGTTGTGGTCTTGTACACCAGCTTGATATCATCTGCAAACCTAATCAATGAGTTATTTCTTGCTGAAAATTCTGGGTTTTACTCAATGTATTGCTCCAATGTGTCAGCCTGGGAAATAGGGGTGGAGACTGGGGGGAAGGTGCCGTTTTAATTTTGTCTTTGTTTCTCACCATCCAAATTTATTCCAGTTGGCCATAAATTAAATTAATTTTCCCCAAGTCAAGTCTGTTTTGCCTGTGATGGTAACTGGTAAATGATCTCCCTGTCTTCGTATCAACCCATGAGCTTTCTTTTAATCTTCTTTTCTCCCTCTGTCCTGTTGAGGAGGGGGAACGAGGTGGGTGTCTGGAAGCTGGCCAAGGTCAACACACAACAGATAGTTGTCCTGGTTTCGGCTGAGATAGAATTAATTTTCTTCCTAGTAGCTGGCATAGTGCATAGTGCTGTATTTTGGATTTAGTATGAGAAGAATGTTGATAACTCATTGATGTTTTAGTTGTTGCTAAGTGGTGCTTAGACTAGTCAAGGACTTTTTCAGCTTCCCATGCTCTGCCAGGTGTACAAGAAGCTGCGAGGGAGCACAGCCAGGACAACGGACCTAAATTTACCTAAGGGCTATTCCATACCCTATGACGTCATGCTCAGGGGGAGTTGGCTGGGGGACAGTGATTGCTGCTTGGGAACGGGCTGGACATCGGTCAGTGGGTGGTGAACAATTGCATTATGCATCACTTGTTTTGTATGTTCTGTATATTCTATTATTGTTGTTGTTGTTGTTATTTTCCTTTGCTGTGTTATTAAACTGTGATTACAGATGACCTGTAAAAGTGGTGGTCTACCACCAAAAGAGACACCTGGCAGGTATGGACACACAACACTGGAAAATATCTTCAGGATATGATAGCAACAGAACTGGAAATCCAGTTTAAAGATGAAGAGCTGTAAAATTAATCCTCTTTAAAAGTTCCATAGCATATTTATTTCTTTAATGAATTTAGTTTTCATCCCTCTCTTGATTTTACAGTGTTTAATATTTGTGGTACCAATTGTGTTTATGCATCATTTCAAGGTTCACTATGACTTTGGGCTTAGAAATATCCTGTCTGTTTTAAGAACACTTGGAGCAGTGAAAAGATCTAATCCCAAAGAGCCAGAGAAAACCGTAGTGATGAGAGTTCTGCGAGACATGAACCTCTCCAAACTGGTACTGTAAGACTCTTGACTCTCCCCAAAAGAGTACTTTGTTTGCCTTTTTAAGTGTATTTATTATGTAACTTTGAAAAGATCTTTTTCTTCAGCAGTTGGATAAATTATTTTGCAGTTTTTAATATGGTCTATCAGTGAGCGGAGAACCAGAATACAGTTATGGTGTGAGCACTATTTGTCTTTTAAAGAGGAAAACACAGCAGAAGCCTTAGCTGAAAAAAATCATTGGAAATACCATCAGAACCTAGGGGACCTAACCTGGTCCTGTAATTGGCTCTTGTTTTTTCTTCTTTCTGCCCTAAGGAGAGAAAGGAAGAATACATTGTATTAACTTTAAATAATGTCATTAAAGATCCTTCTTAATCAGAATTTCAATTTATAAATTTCTTGGGAGTCTGTTGCCTTTTCAGAACATCCTAAGAATTGCAATGAGTGAGGTAATTGGAAGCAGCTAACGCCTACTTGTATAGTCTAATCTCTTTCGATATTGCTATTTAAAGAATTCATCTTTCTTTTTATTGCTGTAATTGAAAGGTTATAGCATGTCTTTACTCTGTGTATTTACCTTGGGAGCCAGTTTTGTGATGGAACCAATTACTCTGTTTCGGATGCTAATCTATTCAGCACATCGGTACGCTTGTTCAAACCTATAGGCATGCTTCAGTGATTTACAGAAGGAAAAAATTAATAAAAAATCCAAGATTGAAGAAATCTTGCTGGTTTATGTAACAAATGAAGAAATGTGTGTGTGTATGTATTGAAGAAAACTGCATTAAGATGTTAATATTTTTATAAGCTTTAAGTATTTGATTTAGAAATTACTACTTGTGATTGCATTGTATGAAATTCACTTAACAAAACTGATTCATAATTACAGTATTTTCTTTGGAAAAGATAAGGTTTTCTACTGCCATCTTTTAAACAGCATATTCTTGAAGATTGTTTACAGCTGTAATAATAATTTCAATGAATAAATAATGTATTTCCCCCTACTTTATCCTTGACAGGTGGATGAAGATGAACCTTTATTTATGAGTCTCATTAATGACCTATTCCCTGGAATTACTCTGGATAAAGCTGGGTATCCTGAACTACAGTCAGCCATTCAGAAACAGGCAGAGAAAGCAGGGCTTATTCATCATCCACCATGGATACTTAAACTCATTCAGCTGTATGAAACTCAACGAGTCCGACATGGTTAGCATGCTAGATGAGGTTCTGAGACTGCATAAAAGCAATAGTTCTTTATATTACCTGCTACGGAATGCAGGTTATTTTCAGAAAAAATGTATTTTAAAATTGAACAGATGTCATTTTTAAAGCCTATGTGGATACTTTGCTAGGAAACTGTTATGACTTTTTTTTGGTGTGCAATGCACACATAGTGAGATTTTAGCTTTGTTGTATTACATTTTTATGGGAAATATGAGTGTGGCCTTCAGTGATTGAAATTTCTGTGGAATAAGTTAAAATGTAGAGTATACATTGAAATTCAGAAACAGCCAATTCTGTGCAGTGTTCTGAAAACAATTGTTGCCCTCAGACAGTTCAGTCATGAAGCTCATGTTTAATGTTACTGTGAGATTATGATGCTGAGAAGATTACAAAAAATAATCTCTCAAACATTTACTTTGATCGATTCTGCCAAGCATGCAGTGTATTCCAAGTGTTGTTCTTTGTGTTCAATTCTGGCCATTTCAACTGAGGAGAAATAAGCCTACCTCCTGCTGGGCTGGGGGGGCTGGACAAGATGGCCTCCAGAGGTCCCTTCCAACCTCAACCATTCTGTGATTCTGTGAAAATACATTTTTACAGTGCATAAAAGGCTAATGAGTAAAGTTTACCCTGTCCCAGGAAGGGTAAACGACCAAAGATAGTCGTAAAACCAGGTTTACAATTCATAGCTGAGTGGGAAAAAAAATACCCCTACTTTGAATTGTGCCCCTCCCCCTGCCCCCTCCCCCTCTAACAATTTAGGATTTTTTCATATATGAAGGAGAAAATGTAAAGGAAATGTAACTAAAGTAGCAAAGGTTTATGAAGATGTCATCCTTTTTATTCTCCCTTTTCATGTTGTAATTAGAGGATAGTAAGCTTAAACTAATGGAACAAATAAAAGGAAATACTCATTTGCATAGCACAGTCTGAGAGCTTAATGCCTCAAAGGTTTAGTTCAGATTATTGGTTACACCAAAAAACTGGTTAATGATGTACTGAGTTAATGATTTACATCCAGATGGCTGGGTTCAATGTTACATATCAAATCATAACACCTATATCTATATAGGAACCACAAAAATTTTAATTATTTCAGTCATGATTAAATGTTTGGTCTGTTCCCCCAAAATCTCCAGTATCTCTGGCATTCTGCTTAGATGCCTCTTTTCTCCACCTGTCCCTGCTGTTCCCAGGAGTCATGCAGCTGCAATTAGCCTAAAACTTGGATGCCCAGAGCCTTTCTGTGACGCAAGTTGTCACATGGAGGGGAGAAAGATCTCTTTTCCTGACTTCTATTTGTGTTACTCATGGACCCTTGGATTTATGGAGAAATCACCATAGGATTTCAAGTAATGAGGAAAAATCTGTAAAATGCATGACTTCTCTTGGTTGAAATAGAGGCAATATATGCAAATGGAGTGCTCATGCACAGACACACACGTGCGTATGTGTGCATGTATGCATGGAGATTCAGTGCATAGATCCTGAAATCTCTTTTGCATAACAGTTTTGATCCAAATGCTGTTGAAACCAGCAGAAAGGCCATTCCATTAACATTGAGGGGCTTGGATTAGATCTCCCCATATATAATGTATAGCATGGGTAAGTGATTGTCCTGGTACCCAAACTGGTTTTGGGAACATTCATCTCCCTTTTGTTTTAGAAGCAGTCTGCATTGTACTGGATTAGGTTTGTAACTTGGGTTTGTGACTGATTGTTCCATACCTTTGTTGAAGAGGTTTTCAAAGCCAACTAAGGACTATGTTGTCCATTTTCTTCTGGGTTTAATAGGAATTACCTAGCTCCCTTTGATGACTTTGAAAGTCTCAGTTTGAATGTCCCATCTGCTTTTGGACAGGCTCTGGGCCTCACGAATAGTTGATTTAGAAAATATAACTAAAAAGGATCAGCAGTAGGGTCAATTCATTGTTGAAGACATAGCTTCTTTTCCTTAGGCAATATGTATATACACTGATGAAATTAAAAGTGTGGTTGCTGTTAGCTGATTTTTATATAAGAAAAATGTATTAAAATGTCAGCATGGATGGATGCAGGTACATATTTTTGTTATTTTTGCTTCACAATGATACACTCAATTTTGTATATCATTGGGAACTACTCATTCTCATTAAATAGGTTTAGAAATTACTGGTTTTGTTTACTACCAGTCATGTCAATGTCATTGCATGCAAACATCAAAAGGGACTTGTGTTTTGCAGTTAGAAAAACGAACAGAACTGCCTGAGGGAGGATACAGACCCACATAGGCTTGCCTATCGTAATAGAGCAGACGTTTATAGAGGCCTTTTAATAATATTTTTAAATTCCGTTTCAGTCAGCATTGAGTAAGTGGAGCGAGAAACATCTTTCTTGTATTGGCTTCTGATAAAAATAAACCAAGGATCATTGATGCAAAGAACCATTAAATGGTAGCATGACATTTTGACATTTCATTTTAAACCGTGTTTGTATTGTTTTAAGGTATGATGACTCTAGGTCCAACTGGTGCAGGAAAGACAAAATGCATTAATATTTTGATGAAAGCAATGACAGATTGTGGTGCTCCTCATAAAGAGATGAGAATGAACCCAAAGGCAATCACAGCTTCCCAGATGTTTGGTACCCTTGATGTTGCTACAAATGACTGGACAGATGGTATTTTCTCTACATTATGGAGAAAAACTTTAAAAGCAAAGAAGGTAATGGATATTATATCATGATAGTTAATAAGGACATTTAATATTGCTTCTAGAAGGTCTCATTACCTGTCATTTATGTGAAAGGTCTTACATTATAAAATCAAATGGGAAAATACAGTGTTATTTTCGCTTGGTGTCTGAATAGCTCAGTGTACACCAGAGTCACAATTATGTGTGTATGCCCAAGAGCACTAGGCTTCCCAAGCACTTGAGGTTCCAGAATTAAATTGGAAAAGATTTTAAGGGTTTTGCTTCCTTCTGTAAGCAGGTAGTCCTACCATTCAAATGTGAAAGCAAGTGCTTTTCATGTTTTGCTGTGTGGACAGGAAAGTTAATTTTCTTCTGTCTGGTTTTATGCCATTGCCACTGTTTCACTAATTATATCAGAATGTAAGAGGCTCTGGTAGGAAATCAGTATAGGCATTTCCCAATTCTCTTATCAAGCCTACAGATGATATTTCATGGAATCATAATTACACTCAAATCTTTGGAAGTTTCATTCAGTTCTCACTTGGAAAAGGGGGGAAGCCTTACATGAAATACTTAGGTAACATCCCACAGGGACTGACTGCATGCCCGTGCTGTGACTATTTAATGGGAAATGTTTTCAGCCACCTTGATGGATGCTGGACTGACTAATGTACTTTTATAGAAGAAAGGGACAGCTTTACGCTTAGAACAGCCCGAATTAGTTTTTGTCGCTATTCCTTAATATCCTTTTTCGGTGTGACACAGGATAACAAAAGGATTAAAATCACTGAGCAAATTATAAAAACTGCAGTTCATGCTGAGCTAGTCAGCACCAAATTATGAAATTATTTATCTCTGGGAGTAAGTTCTCTGAGATTAAATGTGTATTTTTGGTGTGTGTGTCTCCTTTTTTTAGGGTGAGCATATCTGGATAGTTTTGGATGGACCTGTTGATGCAATATGGATTGAAAATCTGAATTCTGTTCTGGATGATAATAAGACCCTTACTTTAGCAAATGGAGATCGTATTCCAATGTCCCCGAGTTGCAAAATTATTTTTGAACCTCACAACATTGACAATGCTTCCCCTGCAACAGTTTCTCGTAATGGGATGGTCTTCATGAGTTCTTCAGTGTTAGATTGGAAGCCTATTTTAAGAGCTTGGCTGCAAACGCTACCTGTTACCTACTCTGAAGTCCTATGGAATTGCTTTAATGCTGTATTTCAGGTACTTAATTTCACAACTCAAGAAAAAAAATATTGCATTTCTTATTCTTTATTTAATGAAGCATTGTTTCTTTCTCAGTGCTTTTTCAATTATTTACTTCTCTTTGTTTATGTAATGAAATAAGGATGAAGGATTTAAAAAAAAAAAGAGAAAATTGTCTCTGACATTAATGAATGAGTGAAACTATAACAGATGAATAATTTGGATGCTTTGTCTGCATAGGTTAGTTGGCAATGAATTGTTAAATCCTTGATTATTTTATAATGTGTGTTGGCAAAACAAATATTCTCTTTGGCTGTAATTGTTACTGAAATTTTAATTCTTGTTAGGTTGCATAAAGGGAGTGGATAAAATTCCTTGTTTGTTTTAAATATCAAGAAGTGAATTCGGAAAGAAATTAAGCTAGCTTCACTCTGGTAGAATATTTCTCAATTTTGGCTGCAACAGTAATGCATTTGGCCCTGTCGTTATTTTTAAAAGACATTCTGTATTTCGAATTAAGAGCAGTTCTGTGCTCTCTGGTGTTCTGAAGCTCAGCACAGGTGACTATAGTGTTCTCTTCTGATTTTATAATCCATGATTCTGTACTGAAGGAGATTTTTGAGATGGCATATCTTTGATACGTTCTCTGACTAAATTGTGTTCAATCAGTAGATCCAAAGGGAAAATTCTGAATGTTCTTTTACCCCTCCCTTTGGCCTTAACATACTGAATCATTAAAAAGGTTTCATTAATATTATGGATGGTTGTACTCAATAGTGAATCTAAAAGCATATCTCAGTAGTATACTGTTTTCAGTTACACTGAAATTCTTATTTTTTCTTTGGTGTTGAATTTCACAGGGCTTTCTCCTGTAATATTTTTCATTGTTGTTGGATTTTACAAATGCAGTTTTTAATAAACTTTGAGTGACATTTCAGAAAGTTTATTTATAAATCAGGATAAAAGCAATGATTAATATAGTTTTGGAATGCCTTGAATGTTAACAAATGTCTTCGTACACATATGTTTCATTTCAGTGCCCATTTACTTTAAAACCAATGTTTAACAAGCTATTCATTTTGTTCTACCTCCAAAACATAATGATATGACATAGTATTTACTGCAGCAGCAAGAGAAACAATTCTGATAATGAATTTTAAAATATGCTTCCAAAGTAATATATATGTGGGTCAATTTACTGCTGCGTTGCCACAATTCTATTTATATTTTATGCTACAACTTGCTCTGAAAACATAATAACAACATTTAAAATACCCAAGCCTGAAGCAATAGCAATAAAGTCCAGAAAAATATGTATTTTATTAGATTGAGAGATGAAAATGCAGTGAAATATGAAGTTAGTTCTGTGCTGAAGGCTACATTTGGAACTATAGAAATGTAAATGAAAGCTGTCACGCTGTCAGTTTTCTTTCACTTTTAATGAGCTATCTTTTCTTCTCAAAGAATAGAAGTGATAACAGTGATTTTACAGATGATTTTACATACTACTTTTGTATTCAGGTGGCTCTTTTTACAGTTACTATTTCCCCCCACATAAAAAAAAAGGATAAATAAATTCTAAAAGAAAATTTGTGAAATAAGATGTATCAACAGTGGTAGTCAAACCCCAAATACGGACCTTAGTGAATTTAATGCTAGTATTAAGAAAAGCATTGATATCAGCAGCTTAAAAATATCTAACTTTTAGAAGAAAATTAAGATTAGGCTATAGATGGAAATAAAATAACTAAGGAGAATCAGTCCTTAAGTATACCTATGGAGACCTTCTGAAATCAATCTAAATTCAACCAAAATAGATGTAAAACAGCTACTGTAGCAATTCCAATTTGCTTACAAGAAGCACTCACTATTTATGCTAATAAAAATAGTATTTGTCACTGAAAGTCTGTGTATTAGATAAAATAATTATTAATGAAAGTACAGCAAGTAGCAATAATGTAGGAAGAAGCACCAGAGAATATTAATTGTGAATCAGTGGAAAGAATGTGTCTATTCTTTTCATGCATATTATAAATTCCGCTGTAAGTCCCTAGTTTTTATATAAAAGACAGGAGGTAGTCCAAAAGACAAGGATAAATTAGAAAACAAACAAACAAACACACACACACCCCCCAAGCAAGCCCCCCCCAAACCAACTTTATTTTGAATTGAGATTATCTTTGAGTCCTTTCTATTTCCACACTTTTTTTAAAGACAGTGATTGGGGTTGGACTTTCACCCTCCCTTCCCCAGTTCTTTCTTCTCAGCAACATTTCCTGCTTAGGAGTAATTTCAGGTAAACTCACATCTCCATCTAAAGTCTCCAGTCTCTTAAATTTAGAAGCTGTACTGCCAATTTCTTGTCTGTGAATGATGCTGCTACCTGTAAGCAGCAGAATTGCTTAGCTGATGGAAGTAATTATCTGAGACAGTTTCAAAGAACTGAAATAATTAAAATAATTACCTGAGTGGTGTTATTTAGTTTGTCTGCAAAGTGCAAAGCTCAAACTAGTGATGGATGTTATGTAAGTAACATAAGTTTCAGCATGTGTATGTATTGTTTAAATGAAAAAAAAAGTAGTAATTTTTAAATCATACTCACTATCCTTTTTTTTTTTTTTTTTTTTTTTAATAAAATCTGGTATCCTGGATCCCTTATTGACCTATTCTGGAGACTTCAGAGAAGTCCTAAAAACAGGAGAGTAGTCAGACGGGATTTATTCCTCCCTCCTCATTAAATCTCACCCTAATCTTATTTGGGTAAAGGCTGCTATTGCCTCAGGAGCATAGAGTTAAATATATAATCCAAAGAGTTTCTTAGCTTTAATATTTAAATGCTGATGTTAAAATTAATATTGCAAATAATAATAACTTTGCATTATTTAATTGTTCTTGTGCTTGTCTAAACCCTGGGAGTATGTTACCAAGTTCTTGTCCTAAAGAGTGTTCTACAGTCCAGTGAGTTCCACAGTGACTGTACACTGTGTGAAAGCATCTTTTTTCATGTGAGTTTTTACCATCTGACTTCATTTCACAGTCTCCTTTTAGGGATAGCAAATTCCTGATCCAAATTCTTTGCAGTATGTGTGTATTTGTCATGGTCCAACTCATTTTTCCAGACCCCCCTGTCCAAACAAAATATTGTAATAAGTAGTTAATTCATGCTAATCTTATATCCTTCTTTCTGCCATGTATCATTTTAAAAATAGGAGTAATGAAATATTAGCATATATGGACCCAATTTTTTTTTCCATGAACTCAAAGAACAAGAATTACACAAAGCTCACTGGAATCATAAATACCATAAAACTAATTCTGGTGAAAATTGGGCTCTTGAAAGTACGAACTACTTTGACTCATGAAATATCTCCATTCTAAAATCAATTATTAAACAATTCGCAGTGCCCTGTGAGACATCTAGTCTATTTTACAGATGAAGAAACTGAATCTTAGAGAGATTTAGGTCCAAATATGAAAAGTCTTTAGATTCGAATCTCCCACACTGCTTTCAGTGCCTTAATTCTACCCATTCCTTGCGGAACCCACAAACCCCCAGTCACTTGAGCACCCTATGTACTGACAGGGGCAAAACATGCATTTTAGAGGGTATGCCACAAAAAGTAACACACAGAAGTGGAAGCACTTTTGCTAGTAAACAAGAAATAACATAAAAAGGGATGCTTTCTAAGCCTCCCTCCTCCTACGTATGCCCACATTCAGACTGTCTTCTTTCTCAGAGCACTTAGCCATGAGCCCTATTCTAGATTAAGGTGCTTAAGTGAGTTTTTTCTCATAATAGATATCCTTGTTTTGTGTATTACCCACTATTTTAGTGAGATGGAACTCAGGAGGGTGGGTAAAAATCTTGATTCAGTCTTTGTGCCAATAAATATTCAGCGTAGGGTACTTAGAGAACTTTAGTGGCAAAAAATGTAAACTGAAAATTGGAATAGAGCTGGTGAGTATGTGGGTAAGCAGCTCACTGATTTTTCAAAAATATCTAGGTGATTGTTTACATCTTTGGATGATTGAATGTCTTCATCATCTTAGCTTTCTCACTGACAGGACATGGGAGTCATAAATGGAAATGCTCCAAAATCACCGTCTCCCATAGTGTCCCTGTTGTACTTTTGCTTCCCAGAATGAATAGGCAGTGTTGTTTTCCAAAGATTACGAAGGCAAATGGAACCCATAGGGAGGGAATTATATTAAAAATCGTTAAATGAAGGTGAAAGTAGATTATAATTTACATCAGTCTGTTCTATGGATGGCAATTAATATTTTAAAATAATTCTGCACTGTAAATCTCAGAGAGGACTTCACATCCATTTGAAACTTTGCTAAAGATGTTGCAGAAAACATAACAAAGGCAGGCATGGTAGCCGTCACTGTGGAGGGAAATCCAGGTTCCATTAAAATGAACTACAAAATTCCTTTTGGATCCTGTCAGGTTTCTACAAAAAACCAAGAGTATTGATTTCAAGAGGGACAAGTATATTATGGTGCAGTCAGAACTGATCAGATAGAAATTTATAGTGGTGAAGTTGTGCATTATATACGTATCATTACAACAATTGTAGTGCTTTTATCTTCCCACTACAAAAATGGCAATGGTAGATTCTCCAGTGGAGAGCACAAATGGCAGATCCCTGATGTAAGTGAAAAGCAGTCTTCAAATTGCTCTTCAGGAAATTTCTGTATAGAGCTCATATGAATAATTTTGCTGGCTGTGATACATCAAAGTTATTTTTCTAATATCTTGTTGTTAGTATAATTTCGTGGTCTAAGTGTCAATATTTATAATCCCAGAAACGAGGAAAAGTGTTGTTTGGAATAAAGTTTAGAATATATTTGGAATTAAGAAATTGGTCTAATCTAAGAATAAATCGTACCATTGAAACTGGTAAATAGATTCTTCAAATGACATTTTTCCTTTCCAGGATGTGATAGATTTTGTTTTCTCTGCTGTGACACCAAAAATGCCAATTTTAGAATGTATGTACATCAAACAAGCTATTGACCTCCTACAGGTAGATATGACATTCAATTTTTATCTCTCTCATTCTGTTATTTGTGCTGGGACATTGTTCTAGGAGGGCAATCGTTACACATTGCATCTGCTTTGCAGGGTTTATTGTCCGACCAATATGAGAAGCAGCTCAGCGAGGAACATATTGCTCGCTTGTTCGTTTTTGCTGTAATGTGGTCAGCCGGAGCTCTTTTGGAACCGGATGACAGGCTGAAAATGGAGCTGTTCTTACGGAAGCACTCTGCAGTGAAAGAACTTCCAGCTGTGAATGGAGAAGAAACCATGTTTGAATTTGGTATCAATGCCTGTGGCCAGTGGGAGCACTGGTCAAAGAAGGTTCGTATGCTGTGACATGCTAAGCTTTCTTAATGAGTATACAAGAAAGATGTATTTGGTAAGAGGCATATTATTTTATTATTTAAAACCCTGCATAATTTGGTTAGGAAGATTAACCCTATCAGATGCTCAAGAGTTTCTTTTTTGAAAGATGTTTTTCTTTTCTCCATATATATCTTTGGCAGAGAATAGGAACATGTATTTGAAATAGCTTTGGAAGTGAAACAGCAGTGATCTTAGCTTTGTCTGTGCATTGCCCTACTATTTAAGAGCTCCCAGCAAGGAAAAGCTTTCTTCATGTAACAGAGAATAGTGGAGTGAAAATATCCCATTAGTCTAACACCCTTTTAGAAAAGCTTGGCAAGGTACTGACTGATTATAAATGGATGCTTGGCTTTCAGGAAAAAAAGTTTTGCTAATGTGCATTTTATAAACTACATTTGGTCTTGTGTTCTAATGCTAAGTGATTGTGTGGGCAGGTAGAAATCTCAAACTTTCTGCGTGTCTTTCTTATGCAGGTCCCTGAATATATTTACCCTAAAGATTTGGTACCAGAATATACTTCCATTCTAGTTCCAAATGTAGACAGTGTCCGAACAGACTTTCTGATGGACACTATCATGAGGCAAGGAAAAGCCGTCCTGCTAATTGGGGAACAGGGAACAGCAAAAACAGTTATGATTAAGGTAGGTGGAATGGAAGAACTTGTAATATCTTTGTATGATAAGACCGCAATAATTGACACTGGCATAAATGTTAAATTGAAGTATAGGAGTAATCTGATTTTTCTTCAAATTATATACTAGCATTCTTATTGAGGCATTTTGCAAAAAACCTGTAAATATCTATACTTTAGTATAAAGGGTTCTTTTAAACTTTGCTAACAATGGCCACAAGGTCATGTGATAAATGCTCTTTCATATGCTTTCTTTTTTTTGAGAAGTCAAACTGGAGATTTTTCTGAGAAAATATTGATCCTTGGAGGATTTTTTATTTCCCAGTGCTTTGTCAGTGGTGGTATGTGTGAACTGATCTTTGTACACCCTTGTTGCACAGACTTTCTTCATAAGCCAAACCAAGGAGAAATAAAGAACTTCCTTCTTTACTCAGAGTAATTTTTCAGAGGGTAAATTTAGTGTTTATTATCTGCTCTCATAATTCCTTCACTGAAAATGACATATTGTTCTTTCTGTAGAAGAAAATAATAACAGGATTGCTATTAAATTAAAAAATGCATGCTTTTCGTATTATGAAATGGTGCAGGTTAATTATATGACACTTGAAAAAATTAATAACTTACTATAGAAGAGCCAATAATCAAAAGGCTGAACAAGCTTAGAAGTCATACCAAACTGGGCATCCCTTATTTGAAAATGTGTAATGTTTTTCAGCATGATGTCTGTGATTTCCAGGGGAATCTGTAGACTTTTTTATCAATGAGAGGCAGCTAAATAAAACTGATCTACTGTTGGGTAGCTGAATTTGCCATACAGGCATCTGTACCTCCAATGGCTGATTTGCCAAGGTTTTGAAATTGAAAATAACTGAAAAACACTGGCCTAAACTGACCTTTGGCTTTCGTAAAATCTGGAGACATTTTGTGTCCCTTAGCCATGTGCTTTCTGAGCTCTGACATAAAGCGAGTTGTACCTATGCCAGGAGCCATTAATACCACTTTTTCAGCTTAGCTGTTGATGCCAGCATGCATGCCAGTGTAATGTCAACTTCTGTTCCTGGCAGCAGCTGGAGAACTATTTTAGCAGAGGGAAGAGGTGGGGTCTGGGTGGTGGTCTTGGTATTCTGCATACTGGATTTTGGCCAGATCCTGGCAACCTCCAGCCTTCAGCTGCCATTCCTGTCCCTAAAAATAATTGGTGCTGATTCTTGGGAGTTGCTTATCCTGTGTCTATGCTATAGAGCAGGGTATGTTCCTTACACAAGGGAGCATAATGCCAGTAGGTATTTGATCTCGTTTAAGGTTAGGAGTGAAAGTCAACTGCCTTCACAACTGTTCCCTTCTGCTTTCACCTTCTGTAGAATTTTGCTTTACTACACCTCATGAAAAAGATATGAAATATATTTCCAGATATAAGCAGCTGGTTTCATGAAAAAGTAAAGACACTTAAGGTAGTAATCTGAATTAATCTGAAATAACCTTCCGCACTGAGTGAGGTATCAAAATACAGCAAAATAAAGAACTATAATAGAGTGTTATTTAAGATCTTTACTCTCTGTACTATTAATTCATGAATTGCAAAAGCCCCCAGAATTTAACATGAAACTGGTATGGTAGAGTTGAAAATTGCACCCAGAATCTAACAGTTTAACTAACAAAAATAACCCTATTAAATAACCTTTTCTTTTTCAAAGATATTTCTCATTTGTGTACTGTGGAATATTACTGTTAGCATGTAAAGATTCTGAAATGCTGTAACAAATAAAAAACAAGTGTGATTTTTTGAATGACCCCACCCAGCTGCTGGTTCCCTCCCCCTCCTCAACAAGACATGGGTCAAGAGAAGAACAGGGAGATCACTCACCAATTATCATCAAGGGCAAACCAGACTCAACTTGGGGAAAATTAATTTAAGTTATTGTTAATTAAAAATAGAATAGGATGATGAAAACTTAAGACAATACTAAAACCACCCTCCCCTTACCCCTCCCTTCTTCCCAGGCTCACCCTCACTCCTTCACTCCTGACTCCTCTTCCTCCTCCCACTCCGAATGGTGCAGGGGATGTGGAATGGGGGCTGCGGTCAGTCCACAACAGCTCTTCTCTGTCATTCCTTCCTCCTCACACTGTTCTCTGCTCCCTCATGAGGTCCCTTCCACAGGATACAGTCCTTCACAAACTGCTCCAGCATGGGTCCTTACCATGGGGCACAGTCCTTCAGGAATAGATTACAGAATCACAGAATGGTAGGGGTTGGAAGGGACCTCTGGAGAACATCTAGTCTAACTCCCCTGCTAAAACAGGTTCTCCTAGAGCATGTTACACAGGACTTCATCCAGGCGAGCTTTGAATATCTCCAGAGAAGGAGACTCCACAGCCCCCCTGGGCAGCCTGTTCCAGTGCTCTGTCACCCTCAAAGTAAAGAAGTTCTTCCTCATGTTCAACTGTAAACCTCTTATGTTTCAGTTTGTGCCCATTGTCCCTTATCCTGTCGCTGGGCACCACTGAGAAGAGTCTGGCTCCGTCCTCATGACATCCACCCTTAAGATATTTGTAAGTGTTGATGAGATCCCCTCTCAGTCTTCTCTTCTTCAGGCTAAACAAGCCCAGCTCCCTCAGCCTTTCCTCATAGGAGAGATGTGCCAGTCCCCTCATAATCTTTGTAGCCCTCCTCTGGACTTTCTCTAGGAGTTCCTCATCTTTCTTGAACTGGGGAACCCAGAACTGGACACAGTACTCTGGGTGCAGTCTCACCAGGGCAATGTAGAGGGGGAGGATAACCTGCCTCGACCTGCTGGTCACGCTCCTCTGAATGCGCCCCAGGATGCCACTGGATTTCTTGGCAAGAAGGGTACACTCCTGGCTCATGGTCAACTTGCCATCCACCAGGACTCCCAGGTCCCTCTTGTCAGAGCTGCTTTCCAGCAGGCCAACCCCCAGCCTGTACTGGTGCATGGGGTTAAACCTCCCCAGGTGCAGCACCCAATACTTGCCCTTATTGAACTTCAGGTTCCTCTCCGCCCAACTCTCCAGCCTGTCCAGGTCTCACTGAATGTCAGCACAGCCTTCCGGCGTATCAGCCACCCCTCCCAGTTTTGTGTCATTGGCGAACATGCTGAGGGTACGCTCTGTCCCCTCGTCCAGGTCACTGATGATTAAGTCACTCCAGCATGGGTCCCCCACAGTCTTACAGTTCCTGCCAGAAATCCTGTTCCTGCATCGGCTCCTCTCCATAGACCTCAGCTCCTGCCAGGAGCTTGCTCTGACATGGGCTCTCCACCTACTACAGCTTCCTTCAGAGCACATCCACCTACTGTGGCGTGGGGACCTCCAGAGACTGCAGTGTGGATATCTGCTCCAACGTGGTCCTCTATGGGCTGCAGGGGCATAACCTGCCTCATCATGGTCTTCTCCATGGGCTGCAGGGGAATCTCTCCTAGAGCACCTTCTCCCCCTCCTTCTGCTCTCACCTGAGTGTCTGTAGGGCTGTTTCTCTCACATTTTTTCTCATTTCTTTCTCAACTGCCAGGCAGCGTTTTGCCCTTTCTTACACATGCTGAGGGTCTCCGGTGGGAGCCTGGCTGGAACCAGCTGTGTTTGGCATGGGGAAGCCCTGTCCTCTTCTTGCAAGGGGCTGCCCCACAGCCCCCACTGCCAGCACCTGGGCACCTGTGACTGTTGCATTAGTTTTGTACAAACTGTTGGGGCCCCGAGGAGAGGTCTGAGCAGTGGCCTGCACCAACCCATCAGCTGTCAAGAGTACTCACCAAATACAGTACTGTTGCATGTAAATTGCATGTGTAGACTGTAATTTGTGTGATGTCAGAGAAGAACTTATTTCTGAAGGGCACATTTTCTTAAATTGAGATCATTGTATCCACAAAATTATCAGTGGGGGCTTAGCTGTTTCTTTCTGTTGTTACACAGAGTGCCTGTCTCACTGGAGTTGTTGTTAGAGCACTTAATCAGCAATGAAACAGGTTTATTTTTCTAAGGTACTGAAATGGGAACATTTCTAGTCAACCCTGTTAGATAAGAATTTAAATTATATTCAACATTGTCATCATTGCAGAAGAACTGAATCTTTAAAAAGAAATAATGTTGGAAGTCTGGAATGTTTAATACTATTTTTATGTCCTAGGACTCTTGCTAAACAAAATATTTCCCATGCTTTATATATATATGCCTTGGTGTGACTTCAGGGTTACATCTTTTTCTTTCCGGTTCTATTATAAAATCTCACTAAATACGAGAAGTGGAACTTTGTTGCTTTAGGGCATTAGCGGCAGCTGTGGGAATTGTATGCATTCGTAAAGCGCAAGGATTCCTTTCTTCATTAAGAGAGGATAAATATCAGCAAATGCAATGCAGCTGGGTTTAATTTTACACTACCATTTCCTTACACTGCTTTTATTGTAAGATAGGGTACTGTGGTGTAAATGTGAAAAAGGATTTTGTTTTTCACTTGTTCCTTGCAAGCTGCTGTAACAGATCGTCACTAACAGCTTGAATTTAGAAAAACCCTAACAATTGCTAATGCAGGGTTTATTTGCATCCTGAGTTGTCATGTCTACTTGTTGTCACACTTAGTGAAGTCTGTTAAAAGCTTATAAATTTTAATACTTAGAAACTTTATGCAAAGCATTAACTGAGAGGTTGAGATGAGATGGTATATTTGTCTTAAATAAACTGCTGTTTGACATTTTGAAGTTAATAGCAGGGCTGAGATTTTATAGATGTCTGGGTTTTGCAGGGCTATGGAGCATCTGCGTCTCCTTTCGGCTGAATTCATTTGGAGTTACTGGTGCACTTTACTTAAAATTGGTTTATCTTGCAGGATTACACAAGCAAGTATGATCCTGATGCTCACTTGACCAAATGCCTAAACTTTTCTTCTGCAACTCTGCCAAATATGTTCCAGAGGAGCATAGAAAGTTACATAGATAAAAGAATGGGCACTACATATGGTCCTCCGGCAGGGAAGAAAATGACTGTCTTTATTGATGACATCAACATGCCTGTGATTAATGAATGGGGTGATCAGGTAAAAGGAAAACCTTAACATTTGGGAATTGGTGGTCTTACTGTTGCTGCTGATGGAAGGGCTGATCTGTGGATTGCAAAAATAGTAAAGTTTAGGAAAAAGGTATCATAATATGGACTAGACCAAGTATATTCACCAAAAGCAATTTTCCCAAGCCAGTTTTTGCCAAGAGTGATAAGCTGTCAGTTCCGAAAGATTAGGGCCAGCATCAAGCCACTTGGTGCAATTATGGTAGCTTTTCAGCCTTTTGTTTTGGTTACATACCAAGCTTGCAGAATTTCCAAACTAGCCGTACTAAGAACCAATCTGGGAAAGGAAGCATGTGAAGCCAAGAAGCAATCAGAGACTCTTTACTTCTTCCATCTGCTCTGGACTTTAAAGTACTGTTATTATTAGGTGAAATCTAACATCACAGCTGACATCTAACACTAGTGAAATGTCTTGAGGTATCGATAAATGAATATTTATAGACCTGTACTCTGAAAATCTGACTTAAATTTAAAAAAATTACTGCTGAGAAAAAGTAATTTACCTGCTCCCAGTATAGCTCTGTAATCCTGTTGTCTTACTGCCTCTATACAAGTGAATGTGTGACTACACTCTGTGCTAAACTTACCATTCTTTGTCACTGTCTAAGTGCCTGTGTCAATCTGAATAGATAGTCTGACTTGAAACTTTGAAGTCCTGAATTTCCTTAGACTGATATTATAGAAATCCAGTTGAATGTCTGACCTCATGTCCACAACTACTTAGCACGCGAAGCTTACATGCAACCTCTGATGCAGTGTGTCAGAGTGCTTGGTATCATGTTGCATGGCTTTATAAATTGCTGAAGTGTCCAGCAGAATACCTGAAATTAAGAAAGATAAGAGATATCTTTCCTTCTGTCTACTAATTTGTTATACTGGAGATTTCATCTTTCCTTTTTTTGAGAACCCTGAAATACTTAACTGCTCCATTTTTTTTTTTAATTTTGGTTTTTTTTGTGATAACTAGATCACCAATGAGATTGTAAGACAGCTGATGGAACAGAAAGGTTTCTACAATTTGGAGAAGCCAGGAGAATTCACAAATGTGGTTGACATCCAGTTTGTAGCTGCTATGATTCACCCTGGGGGAGGTCGGAATGACATCCCACAGCGCCTGAAACGCCAGTTTACCATCTACAACTGCACACTGCCTTCCAGTTCTTCTATTGACAAAATATTTCAAACAATAGCTGAAGGCTATTTCTGTGAACAACGAGGATTCTCTGCAGAAATATGTAAACTGGCTTCAGCACTAGTATCTACAGCTCGAAAGGTTTGGCAGACAACAAAAGCAAAGGTAAAATTACATCTCTTAAGAAGCTTTTAAAACATCTGTACCATGACAAAGCAACAAGACCCAGGTCTTTTGTACTGTCACATGTGTTTGTACTTCCTATTGTGAAGCCATGACCTGTATGTATAATTGCTGGCTGATGCCTCAGTTCTGAATTTGTTGCTATTAGTGCCTAGTTAGCTGACTAAAATAATAATCATATGCAGTGTCTTATATAGCTAATAAAAGTATTGCGTTATATAAGTATAATATAGTAAGCATAACTGATAGGAAGATTTAGAGGTCTTCTGGCTGAGCAAAGGGCATGAAGAAGCATAAATTAAAAAATAGATAGCAATCTTCTGCAAAGATATTTTGGATTGTGAGAAACTTTGGTGGAGAGGGAATCAGTTCAAAACAAATGAAATCTGGTATTTAGTAAATTCTAAATATTTACTTATTTCATTTCAAACAGATTGTAAAGACTGATTCCTAAGCAAGTGTTGCTTTGAAACCAAAAATAAAATTTTTGTGTAGAATTAAATTTGAAAAGTTATGATCTTCTACTGAAAAAAAGTGGAGGAGACTGGTAGAAAGATAGGTATTGGCAGGGATTTGATAAATGATATTTTCTAGTCCAAAAAAGCTTGGTCAGAATTTCCAAAACAAGTCAACTGTAGGCATAAACTTGGCTTACACAGAGAAATAGAGAGTTCTAGTGAAACTATTGACCAGTCAACAGAAATGTTGCTTATTACTGCTAATTAACTGCCTATAGAGAAAATGTAGCTTTTGCTAAGTTGTTCATTTTTTCAAATCCTCTTTTCTCATTTTTCTGCTCTCTTTCCTTTGCTTTTTGTCATCTATTTTTCCATTTCCTCATGAACATTTCCTCACATGTTCTTGGAATGGACAAAAGAGAGTGACAGAAATGATCTGGAAGAAAGGGCAGGAGCAAGGCCACAGGTTAAGAAATGCTGACATTTTTACTGTGGCCTTTAATGCCGTTGTTAATTAAGTTGTCTTGGCTACCCTTCAGTCTATGTTCCTGGGATGAAAGATTCAAAGAAACTCCAGTGAAATCTATGTGAAATTAAAGAGCTGGTCATTGCTACTGTCATTTCTTAGTTTTTACTGTTGCCTCTTAAGTGCCAAGCATGTATTTCTTCTTTAATGCAATATTGATTTTGAAGTTTGTGAAAATTTCCATATTAATTTAATACTAGATAGAAAATATTTTTATTTAGTAGTTATTTGAATATAGCTTATGACATTATTTTGTAGATGTTGCCAACTCCAGCTAAATTTCATTACATCTTTAATTTACGAGACCTCAGTCGTATTTGGCAAGGAATACTTACAGTTACTTCTGAAGTCTGCCAGAGCATCAGTGTTTTGGTAGCCTTGTTCCAGCATGAATGCAGACGTGTTATTGCAGACAGGTTCATCAGCCAAAGTGATAAAGACTGGTTTGAAGATATGATGAAAAAGGTAGGCAAACAGTGTCCCAGCATTTGCCACAAAAAGAGGTCAATGAAATGTTTCATTACTAAAGCAATCCTTAATGTGTTGTTGTAGATTGCTTCTGCAGAGCATAGTCAAAACCTGTTTGAAGATAAATCCACAGAATTATACTTTGTGGATTTCTTGCGTGATGTCCCAGAAGCTACTGGAGATGAACCTGATGATGCAGAGTTGAAGGCTCCTAAAATTTATGAGCCTATCCCATCTTTGGATTATTTGGCTGAAAGATTACAGATGTTCATGCAACAGTACAATGAAACCATCAGAGGATCAAAGATGGATTTAGTATTTTTCAAGGTATTAGAGCCTGTAATTATATTCGTACAGAAAGTGTCTTTTGCACTTACTGATACATGGATCTTGTACGTTCCTATCAAATTATTTTGGAGATAGCTCAGAATGGCTAGCCCTGTATCCAACAAGCCTTACAAATAAACTCTATAAAGCCATGCTGCTGTCTCCTGGCTGCTTTCAATCTCACAAATTATTCCATCTCTTTGCAGTTCTTTCTAGTTGAATATACATTATATTATTTTTACATCCCTTCATCCCTTTTTCTCTCAATAAACAGGATGCAATCATACATTTGATTAAAATATCACGGATTATTCGTACTCCACAAGGAAATGCATTGTTGGTGGGTGTGGGTGGATCTGGAAAACAGAGTCTGACCAGACTAGCATCATATATTGCTGGATATGAGAGCTTTCAGATTACTTTAACAAGGTAACACAATGCAGTGTGCATAGATATTTGCTTGCATAGATATTTGCTCCTTAATTTGCCATAGAAATGAATGTCTCACAATCAACTTAACAGAATGCAAACCTGTCAAACATTTTTTCCTTCATTGTAAACTATGTTTTCAATCAAAAGCATCTGTGCAAATGCATAGTCTATAGATGACAGATCCTGAGTCTTTGTTTTGATGCCTTTATGCTATTGACAAGAAATCTGCCTTTCCTTCAGCATTTGCGTCTGCAATGCACCTGTGTGAAATCCCACTAAAATACCATTTTGGACTAAAGATAACATGGAATAATCTGCTGGTGTATTCTGCACAGTGGGCAAATGCCGATGGCCAGGGGAAATAGTAACTTCTTCTATAGATGCTTGTGTACCTAGACTGTGTTATTACAACTGCTATCAATGACTTAATAGGATGTAGTGCTGGAATTTAGTAATCTGTAGAAATTTGAAGTGACTGGGAGTAACTACTGCCTTCCATCTGTTTCTCTTTTGACATAGGGCTTACTGGGGTCAGCACTGAAGGGCGGCAGTGTGCATTTCACTCTGCGAGCTACTCAACACACTAAGAAATCTTCCTTAGAGAGAGATGTCAGGTCTTTGAACAATGTTATGGGGTTTCTGATGAAAGGAAAGAGAAAGACAGACATATCACAGCCTCTTCCTGTGTCCCAGAAGCAGAAGGAAGGAACAATGGGAACAAAAAAAGGAGGGAAAGAAAAAAGTGTAGAGTCACAGAACAGAGTCCCTAGACTTGCAAGATTCAAAATACATTAATAAGGCAAATAAATATTTCAGTCACTTAGGAAAGGTTCATTTGCTGAAGCTAACTGGAGGTGGGCTAGAAGCAGGTAGCTGAAAGTGTGTATTTACAAAGCAGATAGTCATCTTTTGTAACTTCCCACAGGAGACTGTGGAGGTAGACAGTATCAGCAGGTTCATAAATGGATACCAAGAGGGCAGGATGGACATACATTCTAATATTCCTAATACAATGAATATGAATCCAGGGGGGAAGAAAGAAATGAGCAGTGAAGAGTGGGTGCTGGCTCATGTTTTCTCTCAAAGTAGCATTTCCCATTGCTGGTGTTAAGAGTATTGAGCTAGATGGCCTGCTATTCTGGTTAGATATCAGTTGGTTCGACTTGATGATCTTAAGAGTCTTTTCCAGCCTAAATGACTCTATGATTCCAAGATTCTGACTCAGTAGAGAAATTTTTATATTCTTATTGGAATCCCACAAATCACTGTAATAACTGTAGCTGACACATGCAAACTGAAGAGTTAGATTGTTTTCAAGTTCCACAGTGCTTGCATTAGGGATATTTGTAAGGCAGTGGTAAGATGGAGCTGGAAGAGAACTGGGAGATGTTCTGTATGGCATATTTAGTTTCAGAATAGAGTATTGTTTTCAAATACTGAAGAATGGGACATATGTGTATTACAAGTATTACTTTTGGCTTTGAAGAGACTCAGAAATAATAAACTGGTTTCAAAGAAAAGAGGTTCTAAACTTCAGCTTTAATTGGCTAAGAATATAGGGGACAGTATCTGCCATTTTATTAACCTTAATCTACTTCATTTGATATTGTGTAATCTGAAATTTGTAGTCGAATTTGCATGGACTTCATCTGAATCTTACTTGTATGCATAAGCTGCTGATATGTAATGAACAAAACAGTCATGGTCTCTATCTGCAGCTGAGTTAATCAGCCCAAGTGATAATGTTCAAATACAATTTCTGGGTCTTGATTTCAGTTAAACCAAATAACACAATAGAAACCTCAGTCTTGGTTATTCTCGTCTCTTAACGATTTCCTTTAACCTGCTCTCGTTATCTTCAAAAGATAATCCAGCTGTATTTACATAATAGTTACAGGTATCAGAACCTACTTGACAACTTAATCCAGTTGTACTATCAGTTCTAATAAAGAGTTGACGTCCACAAACTGTAGGGAGGCAAAGCAGCATACTTACCTTAGACAATGTATTGCTCTTACCATCTTTTTTTCCACCATGTTATTCTGTTGGTTTCACCTCCTTTCCCATGATTTATGGTACTGATCTTTCACTTTGTGATTAAGAAGAAAAACCTAAACAAATGAAACCAGGAGATGTATTAATTTCTTATGTAGATTGTTTCTTGCCTTAGGGAAGCTGAGCCCAATGATAGATATTTCCTGAAATGATCTGTAATTTTTGTTCTCTCTTTCTTTAATCCTTTTCTATCTCAGAACATATGCCACCAATAACCTTTTGGATGATCTGAAAATCTTGTACCGCACTGCTGGGCAAAAAGGAAAGGGCATTGTCTTTATATTCACAGACAATGAAATCAGAGATGAATCATTTCTTGAGTACATGAACAATGTTTTGGCTTCAGGTGAAGTCTCAAATCTTTTTGCAAGAGATGAAATAGGTGAAATCACACAAGACCTGATACCAGCAATGAAGAAGGAGTATCCAAGGCGTACTCCCACTGGTGAAAATCTTTATAATTACTTTCTTGCTCGAGTTCGTAATAACTTGCATGTCATTCTTTGTTTTTCTCCTGTTGGGGAAAAATTCAGAACTCGTGCACTCAAATTTCCAGGTCTGATTTCAGGCTGTACCATGGACTGGTTCCAGCGCTGGCCTAAAGATGCTCTTGTAGCAGTTGCACAGCATTTTTTAGTTTCCTACCATATTGAGTGCACAGATGAAGTGAAACAGAGTGTCATTAATACCATGGGGACATTTCAAGATATTGTAGCTGAAAAATGTGTTGAATACTTTGAACGATATAGGCGACGAACATTTGTGACTCCAAAATCTTACCTGTCCTTCATTGGAGGCTACAAAGCTATTTACAAAGAGAAGTTTGCCAGTGTTGGAAGTTTGTCTGAACGCATGAGAACAGGTACTGTAAAATCTGTTTGATTTTTGTGGGGTTGTTTGCTTGTTTGCTTGTTTTACAAAGGTGAGAATAATCTGAGTAAAAGAATGTAAAAGTATGGATTTAAATTGTGAGCTCACTTTCATTTTGAAGCAGACTCATGTTTTCAGCTGTGTGTGATTACAAAATATGCAGAGGTTTTATTTCAATGAACTTTGTCAATGTTGCAGATTGTAGATGAGTTTTGAAAATAGTATTAACACTTAAAATACTTGAAACTCCTCCTTTGACATCCATGCATGCCAAGATCCTAGTTTTCACATTTAAAGAGGCCTCAAGTAAATCAGAGGGAAGGCAAGTAAATGTTCAGATTCAGTCACTCTGAAGAGTCTTTTAAAGAAACAGGTATATGCCAAATGTAAAATTTACAAAATGTTGCAGTGCACAAGGTCATACACAGTAAAAAATTAAACAGTTTCTGAAACTCAATGCTGTTTGGAGGTGAATGTGAACTTAAATGATTTCTTCTCCCACTTGCAGAACTGAGCTAAGTACACATATCTCCATAGGCAGAGGGTGGCTGGGTGCCTCAAAGGAACATAATGCGCTTTTTTTGAGGGTTGGAAAGATTTACATGGTGCATTTACATTTAGATGCATGCATTTATGTATAAGGATTTTTATACTTACAGCTTTTCTAGATGATTTTCTCAATGTTTGGTAAAAATGTTGGAGTATTGCATTGCTCAAGAATTTTAGTTTCTTTTACCCCCATCACACCTGGATGTTCATGTCTTGTTGAATTTAGAAGCTCAGCCTAGTCTCCTTGTGTCTTCACTTGCATTGCTCAGGATGCCAGGTTCCTCCTTTTTGTTTTGCACAGAGAGTACACTCTGGTGCTTCTTATGGTCTCATGGATTTCTGAAATTGTACACATAATTCCTAAGAGTGCCATTCATAATACTAATGCTTTTCAATGTGTGTTTGACATTTAGTGTCCCTCTCATATGTAAGAATATAAACAAGTGGATCAAGTGACAGATTCTGAAGACTCTTACACATCAAAAAGAAAAAAAAAAAAGGAAAGAAAAAAAAAAGAAAAAGCTTTAAATAGCAAATGGATATTCCACCTGCTTAATTTTGGTGTTCAGCAAATGGGATCACTCACTGGGGTTCCTAAATATGAATCTGAGTGACTTATTTTAAGTATCCAGATTGCTTCAGTGAAGTTTCTCTCTCAATAGGTCTTCCTGTTGCTAAAATGGAATTTGTTCAACACAGGTCTTGCAAAGCTGATGGAAGCTGAGTTTTCAGTAAATCAGCTCTCCAAAGTGTTGGTGATGAAGGAGAAAGATTTGGCTGTAGCTTCAAAAAAAGCTGATGAAGTTTTATTGGAAGTAACTATGAAAGCCCAAGCTGCCGAAAAGGTGAAAATGCAGGTGCAAAAGGTAAAAGACAAGGCACAGGCCATTGTGGATGACATTGCCATTGATAAAGCAGCAGCAGAAGAGAAGCTTGAAGCTGCAAGACCTGCACTGGAAGAAGCCGAGGCAGCCCTGCAGGTCAGAATCAAAGATATTCTGAACATGCATGTAGTTAATGATTGTTATTTGTAATAATATGACTTATGTTTCTGGTTTGGAAAAAAAAAATTGAAAGGACTAGCACTGACCTATTAATGCTTGTAGAAAAAACTGAGGCGGTGGAGAGGTAAGATGGGCAGTACCTCCTCTACTCTCATATAATAAAGCAGTCATTGAGTGGTACTACCTTTAAGGACTTTCTGCAGTTCTGCTTCTGGGTGATCTGCAAAACTGCAGCAATTGAGTTACATATACAGTCCTCCCAAAACCCATCTTGCTCTACCATCAAGTGATTGCTTAAATAAATGGATTATTTTATTTTTTAATTTTTCAGACAATAAAACCTTCTGACATTGCAACTGTTCGCAAACTGGGTAAACCTCCTCACTTGATAATGCGAATTATGGATTGTGTGCTACTTTTATTCCAAAGAAAAATAGACTCAGTAACACCTGATCAAGAACGCCCATGTGTGAAGCCATCATGGAGTGAGGCTCTGAAGCTAATGAATAATTCAGGATTTCTTAGCATGTTGCTTACTTTCCAGAAGGTAAGAAGTTAATGGTGGCACTATTACTCCTATAACTATCTCTAGAGATCGTTTGAAAGTGTTTTCTACCTTCAAAGGTAGTTTGAAACAGATGAAGCTTTTGTGTACCTATAGTTGTAGATCCCTTTGTGACTGTCTTCCTCACCATTTTCATGGATCACTATTTCAGTAATCTTTTTTCTGGGCAACACAGTTTTGATGGCAGACACAAGTATCCCAAGCACTAGATGAGATCTTGAGAAGCTTAGTGTTATCTTTATTTGGGCAGTTCCTGCTTCTCGGTATGAATATACCTTAAAAAGATCCACTGTTGATTTTTCAAACAGCTCACCATCTCCAGTGCTACCAAGCCTGTTTGCATGTAAGACACTCTAGAACTCTAGAATTGTTTGGTAGGGAGATAGGAGGAAATCCAGAAGAAAATGAGCTTCTTGTCAGGAAAAATACTGAGATATTTGGGAACTTTAGGGTTCTTTCACTAGAAAAGTAGTGAAATGCAGAATGAACTGAGAAACTTAATATCAACTATAAGAAAAATAAAAGCAAACACAAGTTTTTATTTCTGTCAGGACAGAAACTTGTCCCGTTTAAAGCAAGATTCACTGGACTGTGAGACAAGGGAAATTTCTCTGCAGGGAAGAGAAGAAAGATGTCACAGGTAGCTGGACCAGAAAAAGAGCTAGGCTGGACTATGGAATGGCAGAATCATGGCTCAACTTTAAAACCCAGAAAACCAAGCAGGTTTTGGCAAACCCTGACTTTTCTGCAATGTTGCAGAACATGCTCTTTCACTTGTACACTGATTTTTCAACCTGCTTCAGCTGTGCATTTTGTTGATGCCTTTTCTAAGCTACTGGAGTGTTTTTGTTGTGCAGATGAGGCTTGAAACCATGATTCTCACTATCCCCAGGAGCTATTTCTCCCAGTGAGCCATATTGACAAGGCACCATGTGAAAACTTGCACTGCTTCTGTAGACAGTTTCTTCCTGGGGCTATCCATCTGGTCACTTTTCCAAGTACTATCTTCACTAAACAGAAAGAAGAAATGAGTTTAAAGATAATGGAGGGACTAATTATGCACTCCTTACTCAAATATGTCTCTAATGAGGCTTCCAGTTTTGGCACTTATTAGTAGCGTATGTGTTCCTGCTGGTAGTTTGCAACACATCTAACTACTCAGAGGAGTCGGAACAATCTCTGTGGGACTGAGTTCTTGCAGGAAGTGATACTCATGAATGTGGTGAAGAACATTAGACTACTGCTGTCCCTGATGAGGTACTTCACATGCTGTCGTCCTACCTCATTTCTTGTTCCTAAGAGAGTATATATGAGAAGAAAGCTCATCCTGTCTGGAGTTCTGAGTAGACCACACTGCTTACGTGCTTGTGACAATTTGGGTCTTTCCTAATTTTTTTAGGCAAGAAAGATTAGTGGATTAAATGGTTCCTTGGGTTTAAAATTGATTACTTAGAAGGAAAAGCATGACATTTTTCAAGCAGAGAACAGAGATTTAGGCCACTGCTGGTTGGTCTTTGCTTTACCTTTGCCAGCTTGCTAGCTCATAATTTTGAGTAGGAGAATGAAGAAGTCAAAATATTTGTCCAGCACTAGTTTATATTTTAGCAAATTCTGATTGTGAAAACATCACCATGTGTGATCTTAGGAATAATACAAGGAATGTCTTTGCTATTGTAGTAGCTAGGGATCAGACAAGTACAAGACAGTCCTTTCTGCTATGCAGAAAAGCAGGAAAAGGGTATATTGCTTGACAGTATGATCAGAGGATGATTTTTAGATGCCTTAAAAGAAAGGCATTAATACATTGCCAAAAAAAGGGAAGATTCTTAATGCCTCGATTGTTAAGCAACCATTGTTACCCTGTATAAGCTCTTCTACTCTCTACATTGCTTAAGGAGATGAATTCCATTTTCTTCTGACACTTAATTATAGATTAACCACCATCATCAAGGATCTGGCTTTTCATGTTCTCAACAGATTGTGAAGGAGGGAAAAAATCTGAGATTAGAATAATGAAGTGAACAGCTGAAAGAAATCACTGTTACAGTTAAGGAAAAGGCTTAGCTTCAGTGAAGTGAAGTCAGTGCCTTGAAGTTTCACCCTCTTCCTTCCTAAAGCTGCATGTTTGACTCCCTAAGCTGTGTGCACACTGGTGCCTGTCTGATGCCATGGTGAGCTTGTTCAGGGAACTAGCCTAGAAGAAAAGTAATCACTAGTTTGCTGACGTAGATTTCCATCGTATTAGCTTCCAAACTAGCTCACTGAGCGTTGCTGATGGTATTAAAGATGGGGCAAGAACATCTGGTTGAGGGGGAGGGGAAAGAAGGTACAGTGCTGTAGCAGAAATAACTTAGATCAGCTTAAGTTGTCATGCAGCTATGAGTACAAGTAATGTCTGTAAATCTTACAGGTCAGATAGGGATATTTAAATGAAAACTCAAATCAATGTGTTGCAATGGAAGTAGGAGGCATTTTCACCTGGGTTCACAAAAAACAGCTAATCTGTCCTTTATAAGAGTGAAGGGCAACAGTGTTGTTTTGTTCATTCCTTCTATAAGAAGTGGTAGCACCATGTTTTTAAAAAGAAAAATGTTTCTGTGAAGCAAACTTTATTCTAAAATCAATTAAAAAAAATAAAATTTTTCCTTTCCATTGACTAGGACTCAATTACAGGAGAAACTGTGGAGCTTTTAGAGCCTTACTTGGATATGGAGGATTATAATCTTGAGACTGCTAAAAAAGTGTGTGGAAACGTAGCAGGTCTTTGCTCATGGACACAAGCAATGGCTTACTTCTATGGTATTAATAGAGAAGTTCTTCCTCTTAAGGTATTTAATGTTACTCATTTTATTTTTCTGAGGGATGACTATAGTTGAGTGGAAAAAATGTCACCTTATTTTGGCTAAAAAAGATCACAAGTTACAAGAGATTCTTGTTTCTTCACATCCAGTTGAGAAGTCAAGCACACAGAGGTTAAATATGTCCCAGCAATTTTTTCCCCTTACACAGCTACCCTGTGGTACAGTTGTTACTTGCGTGAACACAGTCAGTTTTCAATGGGAGCCTTAGTACATAGGTTCTTTATAGAGCCTGGCTATCTTCAAGCAGGAGATACCGACACTGTCTCAGCTCTTGGACTTGGTGCCAGGCACTATGGTTTCAAGAAAACTTCTCCTTGGTCCTGCTTGCCTGGGAAGGAGCATACTTATCATGGTCTTGGTAGACTCTGGGAGAGGAGAGACTGTTCTTGGCACAGAAGTATTCTTTAATACTGGAATTTTTTAAAGCTGGAATTCAGCTCTCGAAGAAAACTTTGCAGTGTCAACTGCTACATGTGAGTGTATATATAATAATCACCTGGCATAGAATTCTATTGTGACATTGAACTACAATACAAGGGGATCAGCTGCCATTGTCTGCATTCCTACTGATAGCTTTATTGTCTTGGTAATTTTTTGTTTATGAGCATATTGAAAAAAAAAGGACCTTGAATATTTATATAGTGATTTATAATCATCACTTCTACAGGGGATTTTATAGCTCTTTTCTGAAGAAATACATTCAATTGGTTATGCTTCCACTGTTCTTATGTTCAGTCTCCTATTGTTTAATCCACTGTATCAATGGTATATTCAAAACTCTTGGCGTATTCTTTTAGTATATTTAGGCAGATCTGATTCAAATTTGTTAAAAGCCTGATATTTTTGATTCAAGTAACTGATAGGCAAGACTATATTTCTGTGATATATAAGTAACAATTCCCTTTTCAAACAATGGGATGTTCACCAATGAAAACAGAATTTGAAATGTGGCTATTGAGAGCTATAAAAGAAAGCAAGACCTAGAGGAAATAGTGGCTTTATCTTCAGATGAGTCTCTGAAAGCTACAAAGGGGCTCTTGCAATTTTTATTTCTATAGCTATGACTTAAGATTACGCATAAATTTAACTTTGTATTCAGATGTTTACATTCTCATCACTCTGTAGCTGATAAAAAACTGAGCATGCATTTCTTGGCAAAGTGCTGCCTATTGTCAGGTATAGAAACAGTCACAAATATTTTAAAACTAAAGATGACAGAGGGAGGAAGCGTTTGAAGTATGCAGGAGGTATTGCAGGAAGCACTGGAGTGATGCTAAGAAAATAATTGAAAATAAATGTACAATTAAACTGCATAAAGTACCAGCACAGGCTAAATCATCCAGTTCTAAAAGCAGTTTTACTGAATGAATTAATCAAGCTGCTTTATCCTAACTGCTGTTCTAGGGGAGAAACCCCCTTCAAAATCCATCCAATATATATTTTAAATTGCATCTTAACTGGGACTCAGTGCCTCATCTATCTTAAATGCGACAACTTGTGAAAACGAATTAATAGTGACTTATATTTTAGTAAATATAGTGTGCAAAAATTAACTCATTCCTAGCAATGGATATGTAAATGTTACCTAGTAAACAAACCTGCTGGATTAACCTGATAGTTCTGAAACACTGTCCACTATTTGTCTATCGGTTAGAATATAAGAGCAGAATGAAGCAGCCCTGGCTTTTGCTGTGATTCTCTTAGCCTCTAATTAAAACAGTGTGTATAGGGGTATAATTTTCCTTAAAGATGTCTCCAGTGATTTTAATTAAGTTTCCTTAGGTGGCCAAGGGAAGTTTGTCCACAGTTTATAAATGCTGTTTGATATTGAGGATTTTCCCTGTCAAACTCAGTTTTAAATATGAGACTTTGTTGCCTTTTCTGCTTTCACTGGTCTCCACAATGAACTAAAAAACACAGCAGGCAATAAGATGAAATCTTGCACCTGAGGAAGAGGTAACAGTCAAGGAGTGTCAAAATGTGATGGTCATCCATTTAAATAAGTGTATCCTTGTCAAGGTGATGCCCACTGGGCAGGAAGACAAGCATTCAAGTCTGAATTCAAGGCCCACAATAACTGTGGAAGGAAAGCATATACTCTGGGGGGTGAAGGGGAGGATTAGATCACCTAACAAAACAGATTGAAGTCAGGACATGTAACTGAATGGAAAAAAATGCAGAATCTTCCAGTAGGTGGTAGAGGCTGTGAAAAGTAGATAAGAGGCATGATCTCTGTGCCTTTCAAAGGTTGTTTTAATCCCAAAGAATGTTCAGTGATAGCAAAGAAATTGAAGCCAAGATTTTATTAATGTCACTCTGCATGGATCTGTTTGCATGTGTACATATGTATATATGTATACATATGTGTATGTGTATAATTTTTTTAGATTGGTGAAGTGAAACCATTGGTTTTGGAATGTCTGCAAAATCTCTGTATGCGTTTGCCTCTCTTATAATGTTGCCCTAAATAACAATGCAATCATGATATTGAGGCTCTGAGAAAGCTGATACAAAAGCAATGGAGTGTGTGTGGAAAATCTGCAGCTTGAGATTGCATTTCCCTGAAGAGTTGTCAGTCAGATGCCATGTGCCCAAGACTGGACTGAAGCAAAAGGCAAAGGTGGTCACCTAGCATATCCACAGAGTCTCGATGAGCAGAGTGACAGTGTCACAGTGCAAGAAGCCTTCTGGCCTGGTCCAGCAGTAGTGAGTGCTCAATGGACTGTAAGAACAATGAACTTGGAAAGCTAAAATTCCTGAAACAAGACAGATGCTAGGAAAGCTCCAAATCTTCTTTCCCTGTGGTGAACTATAAAGTTTCAGAGGCTTTGTTTCTTGTGGGCTCTCTTACATCTCGCAACATTTCTTGAATTTACTGAGCAACAGCTGCTCTTCAGAGTGATCTGGAGTTGGTCTGGGCATTCCATTCAAGAGCAGGGATAGCATTAAATGGTGTGAGTTTTTTTATTGAAGAAGGCATTTTTATTTAAATGCCTTCACGGATCAGGGCCAAATATACTCAGTGCTTTGCAAAATAGTCTTTGCAATGAATCAACGAGAAACTTGTGGCTATGTCAATAGTAATAAATTAAACAGTACTGGGGAATTTTTTCTAGACATTGGAAAGTGATCATCTGCACTGTAAAATTGTTAGAATGATCCCTAGTGTGAATTTGGTCTTGGCTAAGCAACATTTTCTCAGCAATCTCTGCGCACCTTTCAGGAACTAGCTTCATGCAAGGGCCATTTCTGTGAGGCTCTTTGCGTGCAGCCATACTGGTTTAGAGGCTGGGAGAGCTTAATGCGAGATGTTTTTATGCTAGTTAACCTCAGTGCCAGAGAAAGGTGCTGGGCATGTTTAATTTAACAGTATAGCTGTGTACTGTAATTACACATTTATTTGTCCTGGTTTTATGTGGAATGCAAAAAAGGTTAAAAGGGGAAGGATCATTTCACCACCTGCTATGAAATCCTCTCTGAGGGCAGGTTGGAAGAAGGCAGAATATCTGCTTCATAATTTAGTCTGTGGCCCTTGTTGGTACAGGTACTCTCTCCATACTTGCCCCATGCAGACAGATGCAGAGAGTAGGTAGAGGCACTGGCTGGAGCAGATGTTGAGAGGATCGTCTGTGTGGTTCCCCACAATGCCAATGGCAAGAGTAGGCTGAAGCTGCTGCTTTTACACAAGCCTAGGCATGTCCTAGCATAGCGCCCCCCCACACCCCCCACCCCCGCCTCTCTGGGAGCGCATATAAGAGCGTGGATCTCATGTCTTGAATCCTCATGATTCATTCACATAAAATCCATTTATTCAGGCTTTCACACTGCGTCCAACTGGAAAAAAATGTGTGTGAATCCTTGCTTTGCTGCGTGACTCAGAGAGATGAAATGAAGGGCATGAAGCTTATTCACATAGCAATGCCACTAAAGTTGGAAAGGCCATAGTGGCTCTTTGTGGTTGGGAGACAAATTTCCTTCCCGTCTGTAACTGGCTGGAAATCTTTGTATGAAGCTGCTTGGGACTGTAGTAGCCTTCTTGTGCAGAAGATTCTCCTTGGCAGCAGAAGTTGCCTCCTGCTCTCATGGCAAAGCTCTGCACAGGAAGCTGCCAGCCAACTTGCCAGTGATATCAATACAAAAGCAGTGTTTGTACCCATGTAATTTTGGAAAAGTGGAGCTGGAAAGAAAAACAGGGAGACCGCAAATAGTGATGATTTCATAGGGTAATGTGAAACAAGTCTTTCTGCCTTTGGGAATCACATATGTTGGTCATCCTGGTATGCTAGCAGTCATTCTTGTGCAAATAACCATTGTTCATCACGCATGATTAAGCAGCCTACAAATCAAATACCAAAATGTATTACTACTTTGTTATGATTACCCTAAAATTGGCTGAAAAGCTTGGTTAAATTGTCTGTAAAATAATTTCTTATAATAAGTCATCTTCTAGAGATCCCATAAAGTTTAGTGTAAATAATTCAGGGGTTTTTTTTCATGTTAGAGTACAGTATATCTTTTCTTTGTATTTGTCTGAAATATTTTTTCATTGTCCCTACATCTTCAAAGCTGGTAGCCTCTCTAAGAGCCTTCAAGAACTGGGAAGTCTGTTTTATCAGTCTTTTGCACCTTTCTGGGTAGTTTATCGCTGCACGGAGGTCTGTTTTTCATATTTAAAAGGCATCATTGCTCATATGCATTGGGAATTCACATGGCCATTCTTTTCCATTGAGGTTCAGATCCTGCTGTGATAAATGTCAAGGTGAAATATGAATCCACACAGCCAGGTGTAAGTTCTCTGTTGTTCCAGCTGTTCTGCTTAGGCTGTTCTTCCCAGCTCTCCAAGGATCTTGTTCCCTGTGTAACCTACTGTTTGTCAGCTGGAGGTGAAACAATATGTCATAACTTTGTTTTACTCCCATTTTTAGCCCTCACAGCATTTAAGGATAAGACAGTGGTCTGGACTGGGGTGGGGGGTGGGGGGAGATAGGACAGAGGGGGCTGGTGCAGGGCTCTTTCTAGATCTTTTTTCTGGAAAGGCCTGACAGCAGATGGCTTAATAAGGTAACTGTCTGAGTAAGACAGAAGAATAAGAGGAGTTTCTAATAGCTTGAATGACCAAGAGAGAGAGCTTTCTCTCCATGGACAGGATCTAATCCGCACAACATGCCACGGGAAAATCTATCCAGGCTCTGTCTGATGCTGCATGAATGTTGGGTGCCCAGCATCTGAAAGGATGTAAGATTTACTCACTATGTTCCTCTTCTTATTATGGATCTTTTCAAAGCAGTTATCTTATTAAGCCATTTGTTGTTGGGCCTTTTTTGTTAAGATCCAGAAAAAGCTCTGCACTCTCTTCCTCTCTCTCTCTTTCTCACCTTACCCTCCCCACCTCTCCCCCGGTGCAGGACACAGCAACTCTACATCACCTACTCAAAACTCCTTTACTGTTAAACTTTTCCTGATAGTCTAAGATTCACTAAAAAATAACAGCAGTGGTTCTGAAATCTCCTTAGGTGGGTCTTAACAAGACTCACTGATTTAACAGTGTTTATCTCTAGGAGATGCTGTTTAATGTGCTCTTTGATAAACAGTGGAGTAAAAATATTTCAGCCTTCTTACATGATGGAAATTTTATGAGCAGCCATTTCACTGGTTTATCTCCATTTTAAAATACTTGTTTATCTCTAGGATCTGTCAACAGACACAGTGGCTACAGTAAATTCATTTTTTTGCTGACAGTGCTATTCTCTAGATGCGTAACTCATAAAGCAGTACTGCTTTGTTGATTAGTACATCTAATTAGTACCCTAATTCCCTGCTCACAGATCTATCTTTTGAAATCCACCAGAGTTCATGCTGCATTTTTTATCATTCCTAGATCTCAAAATATGATCTTGGTTCCTCTCTATTTTTTTCCTATGTAAAGCAAAAAGAATTTGCTGATTTTAGCGTATTTTGATAAGAATTAAATCTATATTTTTAGTCAAGATCTAATCTAAAAACTCAGCCCATGGTTATACTGTTTACTAAGAGTCATTCCAGAGATTCCTTGTACTGTTACTCTTCTGGTGTGATGTAATGTGAGTGTCAAGTTTCATATTTGTAATAAAACAGTTTTTACAGATTCTTTTTTTCCATCTTCATAACTCTTATAGCAGAAAAAATCTAAATAAGATACATGATATTTAAACAAGTGTTTTAAATATTCAGAGTAAATGGAAGCAACCTTTATCTGTAAGTGTGAATTTCATAAGAACTTTGTCAGTCTCAAATCCTTTGCAAACATATATTTGGAAACACATTCTGAATTCACAAACACTTTTTTTTCCCCTGTTAAGAATACACAATTTAAGAGGCCACATTTAAACGATTGGCAACTCATCATTCAAACTTCTATAGAGATGTGAGAAAAGTCTCTAGACTTTTAGTTTCCAGAGGAGCAAAAAACCCATTTGTTATATTTGTATTGTAGAATTAATTGGTGGGAAAAGAGAGAAGAAGAGTAGTTTCTGTTATCATTATTATTATTTTGTAATCCATGAAGACAATCTTAATTTTCTTTTTCACTAAGGATATGCTACAGAAAACATTGTATGGGTTGCCTCCTGTATCTAGCATACTGTAATTTCAAGTGTATTGTGATTTCAAATCATTGATCATTGTGTGATGAATAGATCATTCTGAAAATATTATTAAAACAGTTTAAGATTGCATTGAATAACTTTAGTGTTATGCTTGTGTTCCAGTTTTAGGTTGAAAAGTAAAAAAGGAAAAAAACTCCGCTGTCATCTTAAACATGTATTATTTTTAAAAGTACCAAATATACAGTACAATATGTGCCATTAAATGAATGTCATTTGCTCTTGCCAAATAATAGGTATTAACCACTCTTTACTTTTAAATATTTGTAGGCAAATTTAGCCTTGCAAGAGGGAAGACTTGCAGCTGCCCAAATGGAACTGAACAATGCACAAATTCAGCTGGATGAGAAACAAATGGAACTGGATCAAGTACAAGCCATGTATGACACTGCTATGAAAGAGAAGCAGGCCCTACTTGATGATGCTGAGGCATGCAGAAGGAAGATGAACAATGCCACAGCTCTGATCGAAGGATTAGATGGAGAAAAGGTACTAGCACATATGAGTAGGTTTCCAGCACAAAGTAGGTGCTTAGTTTTGGGAACACTCCATAATGGTCATTAGTAGTGCTCAAGAAATTCAAGGCATGGTGACATCTCGATATCATATGACATGTTATTTTAGTTATATGTTTGGTTTTTTGCTTGAACTTAATGTATCTAACAAAGGAAAACAATTTCTTGTGTTTACTTAATTCTACTATATGAAGATTTATGTCATATCATATGGTTCATATTGGGATAAGGTTCAGATTTAAAGAGGACCCAAGTTCCTTTTAGCTGCAGTAAGAAGAGGAATTAGGCTTAACCTAAATAATTGCCCTAAAATATTTATAAGAAGGATTACTCTTTTTCGCACCAAATATACAAGAATAGGCATTTGAAGCTTGACTAATTTCCTGAATTATATTTGAAGTTCAGATTTCTACTAGAGCCTTTTACAGAATTATGGGCTAATCATTATCCTCTGCACTGAGCTTGAAATTTACCTTTCCTATGCAGATTTTTCTGGCTACAGCCTGGAGGTTTCCAGAGGAAGCAGGTTACTCTTTTTTTTCTTGTCTGATTATTTGCTTTGATAATTCCTTGGTTGATTTCACATAGAGTCAAAACTGATGAGAGCTTTGACTTCAACCGTTGCATCCTGTGAGGCCAGGACTTTGGCATTTGTTTGCGTAGCTGTACTTCAAAATACATCAGTCAAAAATGTTAGATGCTTTACCGTATTTTTCAGTGAATTTCTAAGTTTAAGAGCAACACCAGAATAGGAAGTTAGAGTGCCTTATTGTGGGTTTTCTGAAGCCTTGTGCTATGAGGTCTTGTAAGAGCTGTTAGTCCATTCTACTTCTGAAAATTCAGACAGAAAAATTAAAAGGCTATATGTGGCACTTGGAGCCTTGGGCAAAAATGACACTGGGTTAAATGTGTCATTTCTAAATTTAAAACATATAGGTCCTGACCAAGATTGCATGCAGAGTGATTGGAAGGGAACAGAAATCTGGAGAGAAAGGAAGAAGCAAAACTTAAATATAATAGTCAAAAAATCACAAAATCGTGGAATAATTGAGATTGGAAGGGACCTCTGGATATCATCAAATCAAACCCATCTCCACTCAAAGCAAAGTCAAATAGAGCAGGTTGCTCAGGGCATTGTCCAGTTGGATTTTGAATATCTCCAAAGATGGAGACTCCACAACCTCTTCTGGCAACCTATTCCAGTCCTTGACCACTCTCACTGTAAAAAAGGGGGTTTGTGTGTTTAATTGGATTTTCCTTTATTTCAATTTGTGCCTATTGCCCCTTGTCCTTTCACTGGGTACCGCTGAAAAGAGCCTGGCACCATCATCTTTACACCCTCCTGTCAGGTATTTGTACACAGTAATAAAATTCCCTCTTGAGCTGTCCATTCTCAAGGCTACACAATCAATTCTCTCAGCCAAAGCTGCCCCCGACCTTTACATCCCTAACTAGTTATTTCTTGCGTCCAAATCTGAGGTTCAGCAAACTGACTTCCCTCATTAGATCCTCAGTTACCTGTGCTAAGAACTTTTTGTCAGTGCGCTCCTTAAAACCTTCTGGATTGCTTGTGTCTTGCTCTGTTTTCGCTCCAGAAGATGTGAGTGGTTAAAGTGCCCCGTGCAGACCAGGGCCTGCGAATGCACGGTTTCTTCCCACTGTCTGAAAAAGAGAGCATCTACTTATTCCTGATCACATTGTCTGTAACAGACACACGCAACGTCACCCATGTTAGTCTGTCCCCTAATCCTAACCTGTAAGATCTCAACTGGCTTATTGTCCATCCCAGAGTCTCAGATGCAGAGCTCCATGCATTCCAGCTGCTCTCTCACACAGAAGAAAACTCCCCTCCTCACCCTCCCAGCCTGTCCTTCCTAACAAGCCTGTACATGCCTGTTGCAGCATTCCAGTTGTGGAAGCCTTCCCACCATGTCCCCATGATCCCCATGAGATCATGACTCTGCAACCACTTGCAGACTTCTAATTCCTTGTTTGTTCTCCATGCTGTGCACATTAGCGTACAAGCACTTCAGAGAGGTGCCCAGCTGTGCTAATTTCCCAGAAACAGTATGAAATCTATCCCCATCATTCTGTCTGGTAGGCACTTCTTTGTTTATGTGAATATGCTTGGGGTGGTCCTCCATTAGCCCTGTTTTATTGATTACAAGGTCCCTACTGTTTATATCACCCCACATATTTTATTTGCCAACTCGGTCCTCCACTTCCTTACATGATAGTTGGTCATCCTCTCCCTCCCACTTTGTTTCTCCTTTAAAGCACTTTTTACTAGTTTATTGTCAAAGATGCTTTTTCTCCGATTGGTCAGATGGTTGCTGTCTCTTCCAAGCAAACTTCTACTTCTGAAAAGAATGATTTAAAGCCAAAAATACACCTGGTTCAAAGAACAATTATTTACCAGAAAGAGATAAATTCTTAAGTTAGATCTTTCATGTTAGTTTTGTGCCTGCTTAATCTAACTTCTTTATAATATTTTACATACAGCTTCGTTGGACAGCAAGCAGCAAAAACTTTCAAAATCAAATTATTGATTTAGTAGGGAATGTTCTTCTGGCCACTGGATTTCTCTCTTACTCTGGACCTTTCAATCAGGAGTACAGGAATTTGCTGCTCCAAATGTGGAAGAAAGAGATGGACAACAGCAAGATTCCATACAGTAATGTAAGTGTTCATGCTCTGTCCTGACCTTACTCTTTGCCTTGCAGAGAAATAATGTTCTGAGCATTCTGTTCCAGAAAAGTACATAATTGGAAGATTATTTACAGGCTGTCACATTCTATCAAATTTTTAATAAATAAAAAATCTGAACTGAGCTTCTAAAAAAGTGGTTTAAGATCCTCTTTATACTGTCACGCATTGCAAGTTTGGTATACAGGCCATCGCTCTGGCAAAGCTGAGAGGGAGATATGCTGTCTGAGGTCAGCTGCCCTGAGAGGAAATGGCACAATATTGGAAATGAAGTAAAATTCACCAGGTTAGAATAGATTTACCTTATCACGAGGGGTTCCATCAGGTAGTCACAGTTTACCCCCATGGTTGGTGGTTTTTTGCAAATGCTATGTTGTGTTCATAATTTCAGTCATAAAGTTAAGCAAATCAGCTGCATTGAGCATTTACTGGAAGTGGAAAATACTTATATTGAAGAAAACACCAGTTGTAACTGTCTCCCTCAACATTTTCAGTTATCCCCTTACAAGTAATAACTTGTGAATATGTGGTTGAGAATACCACCCCACAACTGGCATTGCTGTGCCCCTATAGTTTTTCAGGCAGTCTCTGAAGCAGCAGCTCCCAAGTTAGGCTCACAGGATGGTGCAGAGGTAGGGAGATTGGTCTGTGGCTTCTGGGTTGGCCCAACCAACTTCCAGGGACCCAGCAGATTTACCCTATTTCTACTTTTACCACCTACAGTCTCAGGTACTGCCACTGAAAATCTGCTCTAGATATCCACTTCTCACTCTGAACTGTAAATCTAGAATATAAAGTGTTAATTTGAATGAAAGGGTTTTCATATATTTTGTATTTCTGACATATTACATCATAAATTCTTTAACCTACTGTTCTTAATATATTAAATTTTGAACACAACAAACTGGTCTAGGAGTAAAAATTTCCATTATTTTCATTTAGGATTGCTTCAGTTCAACATTTTAATAATCTAGATTTGCTAGAAAATATCTGTAAAATGGAACTAAACAGCTTTTCCTTTTTTAAAGCTTCACACTTTTATTCTTAGTGTAGCTTGATTAATTCTTGACTGACATACAAATACTCTTACAGCCAATTACATAAAAGACCATTACACATATTGAACCATGAAATATCACCTCTGCACCTCCGTGTATTATCAGTTAATACCCTCCTGTCATACCCTCTGCTGTGTACCCACACTATTTAATTTAGTTTAACTTGAAGTGTCTTGCTGAACTGATTAAGTTAAAAAACCCTGGATTTTGTAAAACTTGGCTTATACCACTTCAGCTTGCTCCAGGGTAAGCTCTTAAATCCACGTACATTTGTCACAGGTGAGGCTGTTCTCAGTGAGTCTGACATTACAGCTTCTCCTCAATTGGCCTAAGTCTGTGCAGGCAGAGGTGGCCTAAACCGCAGTGGAGCAATGGTCCTGTCATGCAGCTTCAGTTCCCTGCCACATCATATACTACCTTTATTAAAGTGAGCAACCTGCATGCTGGGACTACGATACAGGGCAGGTTCCTTTACATGAATCTTGTTCTTTCCATTTACTGCTAGCTGCCTCAGGAGTGCCGGACCTAGCGGCTGTTCTGGCGCATAGGCTTTGCTCATGGCCAGCAGCAGCCTTGCTGCTATTCCATGACTTTTAGGAGGTCTGTCTAATAATCTTCCTTGCACCTGGAAGACACATTCATGCTGAAGGCAGAATTTAGGCTGTAATAATCAAAACTGTCTTTCTGAGTAATCTGTCCATGTTGCCTTCCACTTGGTTTTGTGAATACCTGCGTGCATTTTCTCCAGCAGTAAAGGTTGGAGAAATAGTTCAGGGAGTCTCTCTTACTCTCAGTACAGGGTTGGAGGCATTAAGGCCAAATGGCTCCTGTCCTCAGCTGTCAAAGCTTTTGACAGAGCAGGTGCTGTTAGAAACTGCTGGGAGCAAGTGAGCAACCTGTGTACAGCTGTGGCTGTACCATCACGGAATGGTTGAAGGTAGATTAGTATCCCTGATGCATCTTCTCAGGTTCTTGGGGTATTTGACAATTAAAACCTATATTAGGGAGAACTCTTTTCCATGAGAGGTTTGTCATGCTGTTCATCTCATAGAAGTTACTTGTGAATCTTTTTTTTTTTAATGTTAGGCAGTGCATACTGCTTCTTGTAACAGTGATTAACCTTGACCTCAGAGAGTGAACCTCGCAGCACAGCCCACTTTATGCTATGACTTACAAAGATGAATGATCCTGACTTGCCCAGCAAAGCTCGTTGAAAGCTCCTGATGATAAGTACTATGTAAGGCCAAGATGGATTTATTAATAAAGTACCAGCAGCAGTGCAGTCCCAGGCAAGATTCCTTACCAGTGTGGTATGGGAGTTCTCCTACATACATTCATCCCAGGGAGGCTCTTTCTCAAATTCAGTGTACAAAATGTTCTTAAAAGCTACTTACCTTGGGGGATATCTGTCAAGGTTCTTACCATTTCAGGGTAAGAACTTGGACGTATAATGTCCTTAGAAAGCAAGACATAAAGAACTAAAATTCTGCCTCTGTGAAAATGTTCTGACCACATTACTACTCAGCTGCATCCTTCAAAATTTGAGGTATACTTTTTGATTGTTTCTGCATTGGTTTTTTGTTTTGTTTTTTTTTAATATGGACAGGTTAGACACAGAATGCCATAATTAATGTGTTTCAAACGATAATTACTGTTCTGTTTAGATAGTTGCTGTTAAAGACAGGATTATGACTTTAATGATAGCGTACGGAAGAGACTTTTAATTTTTTCCAGTGAATTAAGTACTCACAAAAGGCAGCATATGGGCTTCTCGTGATACTTCACACCACAGGAAAGAAAGCAGCTTTGCAGTTCAAGCAAAAGGCTTGACATCTGCCTTACTTTGTCACAGACTAACTGGCTGTGGGTGTATGAGTCATTTAGGCATAACAATTTAAAGAGAGATGTTTAAAATCAGCTATCTATCTGTGTAGTTAGGCACTTAAATTAGCTAAGTTTCAGAGTTGCAGAGTGACTGATACTTCCTGATGCATTAAGAAAAAGCTCAAAGCTGTTTAAACCCTACTCATCTGCTTAAGGAGCTAAATATGGTCTTAGGTTCCAGTTGCTGAAAATTTTGGCTATTAGATAATTTACTGTCATTTTCACAAATGGAAATTGTGTTCTTAAAGTTTTGCTGTCTTCTGAGAATAGTTCGTGTTGCTTCATTCAGATTCTTCAATAATCAGAGTAGGAAAAAAATCACAGGGGTAAAGAAGCTTTTGAGTCTTGCAACCGCTGGTATCACTAACTCTCATGACTGTATCACAAGTCTCACTGTATTTGGAATTTTGCTTTAGGCTTCAGATGCTGAATTATGTGATTTTTGCAGAAGTCAAAAGCTTTTTCTTTCTTTTTAAACATGCTTCTAGATGAAGCTTACAAATAGGAATTCTTGAGTGAAAAGTCTAAGGAACAAATAAAAAAACCCCTTCAATTTTATTCTTTTTAAACTCACATAATTATTAGGCTACTTTTCTAATTTGCAGAGCTTGGTTTGTGATTTTAAGCACTGTTTTCTTCACATACACATTCTTGAGAGGCCAGTCACTGTTCATAGTGAATAAAACAAAGCAGGTTAGTCGATGTGTGCATATCAAACTTTAGGAGAATATATGAGCTGGGAAGAGTTCTGACCGTAGCAACAATAACTTTCCATGATAGTTCATGGTTATTGATGCATAGCACATCTTCTCTTTCTTCTCTGAGTCTCCAGCAAGCCATCCTGTATTCATATACATACTTGGAGGACACTATATAAATTTACAGCAGGAGGAAGCTCTTGTGACCAAGACGACCCTTCCTCTTGAGCTAGCAAGAAAAGAGTTTTCCAATACCCAAATCAGCTTGTCATTAGATATTGAACTGGCTTCAGAGTGTCTCTGGTGCTCTTTGATGGACATCAAAGCCTCAACAGAATTCACTTTCATTATTGCCCAACTTCAGTGATTTAGGCACTGAATTTTAAAGAAAGGAAACAATAACTATCAAATATATTGTATCACACATTATGATCAGATTAAGAAGAAAAACCTTCCATCAAGTATTTTAGTATAACTCCTCTAACTGGTACTAATTTTGTAATTACATATTTTCTATTAGGACCTGAACCTAACTGGTATGCTTGTTGACAATGCTACAGTGGGTGAATGGAACCTCCAGGGTCTTCCGAATGATGACCTTTCAATTCAGAATGGTATCATCGTCACTAAAGCATCTAGATATCCTTTGCTGATTGATCCACAAGGTCAAGGAAAGACCTGGATTAAAAATAAGGAAAAGAATAATGGACTTCAGGTAAATAGTTCATTCATTTATTTTTATGTGTGTGTCATTTCTCATCATAGTTAGCAAAGCAAACTACATTTTCTGTCATCATACTTTGGCCATGTGTAATTTAAATCTGATGTTTATTGTATACATTTAAGAAGAAATTAAAATCTGTGACCTATCTGTATCAGAGTGAAATAGCTTATATGGTTTTGTCATCTCCCAGAAAGACAATTTCAAGAGCAAATTGGAATGATATCCTATGCCATATGTATTTTTATGATGAATCTTTTAATTGCTTGTCATAGAGAAAGAGAGAGAAATGTAGTGGGAAGTAACTGACTTGCAAAATTAATACCAGACAGGATCAGGCAGTTGGTGCTGCATGGCAATAACATTTTAAGGTAAGCATTTTAAGAGGAAAATATGGAAAAGAAAAAGGGAGGAATTGGAAGAAGAATGGTGGCCTGAAGTAGAATGGGAAGCTAGTGATCTTTGAGGCATATCAAACACAAAGCCCAAATTTAGACTGCATCTTGACGATTAAATGCATGTAATAAAAATATTAATTGCTTAATTTACCCACTGTTCTCACTTTCTGTCTAGCAGTGCATCCTGTTTGGGATCTGGGTCTTCTCTTTAATTCAAAATTTTAATTGTTTTCCATTCTAATCAGCCTCACCTCCATGCTTTGTTACACCAGTAAGGATAAGATAGGTTATGATAAAGTTCTAAACACAGGATATATTTTCAATCCAATTTTCAAAGCATGATACTAAAGAGTTAGTTGTTAATAAATCAAGTCTGTCCTACAACTGTAGATTATCACATGAATATCATGGTATACTACATTCACTTAAAATGAGAGTGATGGATAAAAAAAAGAAGCTGAGAATGAAGGTAATGATGGTGACATCTAGAGAGCTGATGACATCATGGTGATTTCATTAGCTAAATCCTTAAACTCCTGGAGCTTACCTAAATCTGTATTTCCTAATACTGTTAAGAAAGTTCCAACATTCAATCTTACATGAAATCCAGTTCCTGCTAAGTTGAATGTGCTCAAAAAATGGTGTAGAAACACAGCTAGAAATGGGAAGTATTGTCTGAGAAGACAGAAAAATAATGTACAACATTCAAAGGTCTTGGAAAAAATTATGCCTTTATTAAAAATATGATGAAAGGTTCTCCTAAAACATATGAGTTATATTGACAAAAGAATTTAGGCATTTTGTGACTGTGAAATCTACTGTCTTACAGTAGATAACATGGATTCCTCTAAATTACATCAGACCTCACTTTGGTCCCCCCAAAACTGAATCAAGAAACGCTAGTGTGAGTAACCAACAGGAAACGATAGAGGGGAGGGTGTATGTCATATTTCACCTTCTTTGAGACCTGCATCTCCTACTCAGGATTTCAGAGAGCTGCCAAGCTGAGCTCGGGAGTGGCAACAGTGAACCTCCTTCAGTTAGGGACCTACTCTGACTCTTTCTGCCATGCTGTAGCCTTTTCCCCCCAAATTTTAAAGTGTTCTCCAAGATGCAGCTTCAGTTCCCTTCCTTAATTGGCACTGAGTCTGTATTGCCTGCCCTCCGGGTGGCTGCTTTCACCACGTGCCAGCATGCAGCCTGCGGAAGGGGACTTAAAACACTCAGGTTCCATTCCTTGGTCAGGGAATTGTGTAAGGATCTTATATCACATACTCACCAAAGCAGGGACTGGGAGGTGTAGATTAAAATACCATTTCCTCTTTCTCCACTATTCATACACTCTAAGTGATGATGACATTTGACTGATGAGCCAGAGAAAAATGTCTACCAGGCTTGCCTTGTGGTCAGAATGTGAGAATCATAGAATCATCTAGGTTGGAAAAGACCTTTAAGATCATCGCATCCAACCGTTAACCTAGCACTGCCATCCCACTAAACCATGTGTCTAAGCACCTCATCTGCCCATCTTTTAAATACCTCCAGGGATGGTGACTCAACCACTTCCCTGGGTAGCCTGTTCCAGTGCTTGATAATACTTTCAGTGAAGACATTTTTCCTAATACCTAATCTAAACCTGCCCTGGTACAACTTGAGGCCATTTCCTCTCATCCTATCACTTGTTACTTGGGAGAAGAGACCAACACCCACCTCGCTACAGCCTCCTTTCAGGTAGTGGTAGAGGGCGATAAGGTCTCCCCTCAGCCTCCTTTTCTCCAGGCTAAACAACCCCAGTTCCCTCAGCCGCTCCTCATCAGACTTGTGCTCCAGACCCCTCATCACCTTTGTTGCTCTCCTCTGGATGTGTTCCAGCAATGCAGCATCCTTCTTGTAGTGAGGGGCCCAACACTGAACACAGTATTCGAGGTGCGGCCTCACCAATGCCAAGTACAGGGGAAGAATGACTGCCCTGGTCCTGCTGGCCACACTATTCCTGATACAAGCCAGGATGCCATTGGCCCTCTTGGCCACCTGAGCACACTGCTGGCTCATATTCAGTCAGCTGTCTGCCAGTACCCCCTGATTCCTCTCTGCCAAGCAGCTTTCCAGCCACTCATTCCCAAGCCTGTAGTGTTGCATGGGGTTGTTGTGACCCAAGTGCATATGCTTAGATTATAACAAAGCTAAAAGTGTGGAGTTGTGGAACATAGTATTAATTTTTAAATAATATACTGTTTTAAGACTGTGTAATGTGCCTCTAGATATTTTAATTATACCTTTTCCAAAGAGCACTGCCTGCAAGACAAGGATTTATTTTAAAAACTTGTCTATCCTAGGTTTTTTTCTGGTAAAAAAACCACCCCAAACCCATGGCTTAACAGATGCCTGGAAAGGCTATTCAATTATCATCTCAAAGGCTTATGTTAAATTTATTAAATTTAAATAAATGAGAAGGAGTCTATGTGATTTTTAGCAATTTTAAGACTTTGTATTGTGAAATGGGAACTGAATTGCAAATGCAACACCTGATATGAGACCAGGCCTCCTATGTAGCACTGGTTCCCTGTCTGAACCCTATATTTCCCTACTTCACATTAGTGTTCTGAGCATAAATCCATTAATATTTAAAAGGTATTAAGAAACTACAGTGATAGATAGATATGTAGATAAGTAAATAAATAGATAACAATAAAGAAGTGTGATCTTCTATTCTGTTAAGTTTAAAGCAAAACTTCCATTTATTTCAGCAGAGGTGAGTGTGGTTCCTAAAATGTAATAACTTGTGAAGGTATCCCATGATGAGTATATTTTTTTAAAGTTGCAATAGATTTTGTACTGTTTTCTATGTGCTTGCAAATGCATGCTGTATTTTGAACCAATCTTCCTAGGTTACAACTATGAACCACAAGTTCTTCAGAAATCATATAGAAGACTGCCTATCTCTTGGCCGACCTTTGCTAATTGAAGATGTTGGAGAGGAACTTGATCCTGCTCTAGATAACATCTTCAGCACACAAAGTAAGATGAATTGTGAACATAAAATTAAAAACCAATAAGATAGATCTCGATATCTGGTAGTCTGGACACTGCTGAAACTGACAGCTTTACAACACTTAAAAGGATGAGTAGTGAACTCACAGAGTTAGATTTTTTTTTACCCCTTAAGCAGAAAGTTTAAAAAGTGTAAATGAAAATGTAAAAAAAAGAGTTAATCTGTTTTTCACTGGATAAAATAACTTTTTCTGAATTCAGCTTTTGAAAACTGAGTAATATGTTTTATTTTCAGGTTAAAGTGGGTGACAAGGAGGTAGATCTGATGAAGGGGTTTACCCTTTATATGACAACAAAATTGGCTAATCCTGCCTACACTCCAGAAGTTAGTGCAAGAACAACTGTGATTGACTTTACTGTTACTATGAAAGGGCTGGAAGATCAGCTCCTTGGCCGTGTCATCCTCACAGAAAAACAGGTATCTAGTAGCTTGCAATATTTGTATAGAGGGAAGGCTTGTTCAATATCTGCACCATGAGTGAATATATTCAATATCTTGGTTGAAATCACATGCAAGATCAAAAATGTGAATGAATGTTTAGGGGTTTGTGCATTTGCTGAAAGACAATGTGGAGCTGGTTTTTAATGGAGGGATGGAGCTGGTTTGAATGGAGGGACCTAAACATTTATTTTAAGATCTGCCCTTGGAAAGAGAGGAAAGAAAATTATTCATTAAAAATACATCACAGGCATATACATGGCATACATAAAGCGTCTTTATTCCTTCATATATAGCAAAAGCTCCTTGTTCAGTCAGAAACCTCTTTTATTTCTGAATTCCTTTTTAAACTTAATATGAATTACATGAAAAAATGCTTATGAACTCAAAATACTTTTGCCAGACAGGCTCTAGTGTTCAAGGAGGCATGAGATTTCAAGGAGTCCTGAACACTGACTTGATTTTGCTCGTACTAAAATTTCCATTGACTGTGTGGAAGCAAATATAAGGAAGAAAATCCTCTCTCAGGTGTTCTCCAGGAGTTTTATTTCATAATATCAAATCTGAGACATCATACTCAATAATTTAATTGTTCTTATTTCTATTTCTGTGACCTAATTTAACAGCCTGGTTATCCAAAAACTTAGGAGTCAATTCATCACAGACACAGGGGACAAGGCTGGGGTTTTTACTGTGGCAGTCATACCAATAAATACATGACATGTTATGGTCCAATTACACTAAAATGAAATATTTGCTTCCTTTCTCATTAAAGTGAAAGCACAGAAGTTGTATTTTACATCAGATTGAATAATTTATTTAAAATGGATCATTTCATAATTTTGTCTTTGTGAGAAAAGTAACAAAGTTTAAGGTTTGGATTAGTAGAGCTGCTGCTTTCAGTAGGTAACTCAGGTAGGCTTGCTCATGTGAGAGCAGTTCCCCACCTAAGGGAATTCATTCCTCCTTCTTTGACTTTCCAATGCATGTTCTAACCAGTGTGCTTTAATGGTGCTGTCACTTTCTCTGGCCAACACATTTCCACTTTGCTCAAACGAGTATTTGCGGAAGTAAGGACCAAAATCTAAGTGCCCTTCCTTCAGTATGACAGTCACAACCAAAGGCTAGGAAGTTATTCTTATGCCCAAACTTCCTGTGAATTGTTCCATGAAAAATGGAAAAGCTACAACAGCAGGTACTGAGGAAAAGCTATCCATTAGCAGGGTGGGACAAATGCTAGGGATGCAAAACTTTTAATCTTTATTCCAGTAGATGTATGTTTTTGTAAGCAAAATCGAACAGCATCAGCAGGAGCGTCTGGGACTATCCTGACTAAGTAACTTACCTCTGATGGGAGACAGAGGTTTAAATCAAGACAGAAGTAAAATTGGTTTCTCATGACCTACATATAAAATCATCTCCCCCCACACAGATACCCTCACTCTGTGGGTTTTTTTCCGGGACAAAACTGTTGGAGAATTCATACTGAAAATATGTAGCAACACCCAGACTGCATTTTGGGTCAAAAATATAGTTACTGAAAAATATTCATCCGGTGATATGTATCAGCTGAAGAGAGCTGCAAGGGTAGCTGGTTAGTATCAGTACTACTTGCTGCACAGGGACATGGTTGCAGGCGATCAGCATTTATTAAACTTCTTCCCTTTAGCAGATACGAAGAAATTGCGTTTTTTCTGCCTCTTCTGTCTCAACAAAGCATGACTGTCCTGGTGTAGATAGCCAGAGCCAATGGAGCTCTGATAAATTTAGTTCAAAGAAAAGACAGAGGATGAACAGAGAATCTGAAGAACAGGTTTTCTATTACAAACGAGAAGACAAGTTTATGATCACTGAGCTAAAGTAATAGCTTAAAGGAACTAAGACGTTCTTAAGGATTTCTATAGTGATCAATGAAATATATGATCAAAGAAGTGTTTATTCTTCTCAGCTTTAAAGTTGCTCCTGTAACTATATGAAAAAAAATTGTTATCAGCATCTTTTTATACTTTGATAATTAAGTTGCTGCCACTGTTTTTGTTCAGAACAGCTACTTTTTCTGTTACAAATGCGGTCATGAAATCCTCTTGCAAACAGAAGCCTGGCATCTGGTATATTTGCTAATTTTCTGAAAGATACTCTTTACAGGCTTACAAATAGAATGGATGAGGTGCCGGTTCTTAAATTAAGCATGTCCTTAACTAGGGTTTAAGCATGTACTTAAATGCATGTTTGAGTGTTCTGTAGAACTAGTCCTTTTGTGTAATTCTAATCTTTTTTTTTTTTTTTTTTTTTGCACTAACAGTAAAGAAAGAAGAGAAAATGCAGAAAATTTGAAGCTGAATGACTGATGCTTAAGTTGTTCTCCTCTTTTGGGATGCAGTTATTTGTACCTTCCACAGAGCTGCATTCTATAGCCTTAGAATGTATTACAAACAGGTTTCCAAATAAGAAGTTTGTGAGAGTAAAGAAATTTGTCACTTCTTTGAAATACAGGAGAGCCTCTCCTGCACTGCATAATTCTGTACATGTCCTTTTTCTCTAACTTGGCATGTTGACAAGAATGAAAATAAACTGAAGCCATATGTGTAGGTAGACTGGCAATATTAGCTACCTTTCTCTTACAGGAAGGCTGACTTGATTGATTAAATAAATGTAGCCAGAGAGGGTATCCCTGAGCTGTGTTGGACTCTGCAGTATAGATGCCCCATTTCACTTGGCATTGTGTTGACTTGTCTGTCATTGTTCCCTTGCCATTGTCTGTCATGTAGAAATAGCATAAAAATTCCATATGACATAGATAATAATTGTAACATTTCCTATTTTAAAAGCAGTAGAGGAGCATATCTTGCAAAGTCACAGAATCATAGAAATTAGCAATGGAAAAGGTCACCCCAACAACATAAAATCCACCCATACAATGCATCTTTCAGTCCTTTTTGTCTGATTTAATTTTAAATACTCAATGTAATGTGGCTTTTATCACTTCCCATTGGAAACTAGCTTTAGTTCTTTGTGCATCTTACTATGAGGAAGCTTTTCCTGGTAATTCTGATGTGTTTTCACTCCTTGGTATGCAGCATTAATCAAATAAATGCAGTATACATATGAATTACTTTAGTATGTAATATTTCTGTATTTTATAGAAAAAGCAGCAAAGCCTCCATGTTTTCTGTGTCATTATAAGGAATCTTTCCTTCAATTAATCTTAAATATTCTAAGGAAAATTTCTGAATACAGGAGCTGGAGGCAGAAAGAGTCAAACTGATGGAAGAAGTAACGTCTAACAAGAGGAAAATGCAGGAGCTTGAAGATAATCTACTCTTCCGTCTAACCAGTACGGAGGGCTCTTTGGTTGAAGATGAGTCTCTGATAGAAGTCCTAAGAATCACTAAAACAACAGCAGAAGAGGTGAATTTTAAATGTATTGCAGATACATTTTGTAATTGTAATCTAAAGATTATTTGTAGGCAGATTTTTTTCTGGTTTTGTTTTTTCCATTCAGAGCCACTATATAACACCTGACTTCTTAACAAATAAATAGTAGAAACACTATCATTTTTTCTTCATAAAATGCTGCAAAATTAAACTGTTACCTGGATACTACTTCATATTCCAGGCATACTTTGCAGGTGTAAGTTTGAATCAAATCCCATTATGCTTCCTGTTTGAACACATGAAGACACAATGTCTGTGTTGAAACACTGAGAGAGGGAAGCAAAGCTTGACTAAAAATACCATTGTGATCTTAATCAAGACCTTTTCTTTTTGCTTGTGCAGTATAAATCACAAGTGACATGACTTAATCTTCATGGTCTTTTCCATTAATTTTAAGGTCAGTGAAAAATTAAACACAGCAGCGGAGACAGAGGTGAAAATCAATACTGCACGTGAAGAGTATCGGCCCGTTGCTTGTCGTGGTAGCATCCTTTATTTCCTAATTGTGGAAATGAGCTTGGTCAATGTCATGTACCAAACATCCTTACGGCAGTTCCTTGGCATTTTTGACCTATCAGTGGAAAGATCTCAGAAATCTCAGATCACAGCAAAAAGAGTAGCATATGTAATTGAGCATCTCACCTATGAAGTCTTCAAGTACGCAGTTCGAGGGCTGTATGAAAATCACAGATTCCTGTTTACTTTGCTTCTGGCACTGAAGATTGACTTGCAGGCCAAGAAAGTTTCACACACTGAGTTTGAGACACTGATCAAAGGTAATGTCTCTAAAAATATTCCTGTTTACACCTGACCGTGAACTGCCAAATTCACATTTTGCAGTGCTTGCACTAACTATATGTTGTATCTGGTGGATCTAATGTTTTCTAACTGGTGAATGAAAGCATATCTAGCCCGAGAAGGAATTCAGAGACAAATTTTCCAAAGCAAGACCAATACAGATTATTTTATTATCAAAATAATACTTAGATGAGGATATTTAACTGTTTTACATTGCAAAACAGAAAAAAATATGTCCATTGCTTCAAAAGAGATCATATGGTTTTCTCCTGCATGCCTCTTTTTTGAGATGCCACATACCTATGTCTGTGAGCTGGGAGAGAGTCAGCAAAATCTCTTTTGATGGCTGGTGAGCAGGCATGTGAAGGCATGAGGACTCTGTACCACGTTTAAGTGAAAGTATAAAAAAAGTGGAAATCTGTTACATGTTTTGAAACATTGCATTATGCCATCACTGCATGTCACTACTCAGACACAATGTCAAAGAAAAATTTTAGTAAGGTTTATAAAATTTGATAGGGGTGGACTCCACTGTCTCCAAGATATTATAGGTACAATCAAGTACTGAGATAAAATAAGTACAGTCAGGTACTTGCCATCCAAATATCTCAGTTTGCTTTGTAAATGCTGATTTAATGTTCAGCTGTGTTGGAGTAGCAAATGGGCATAACACTGGAGTGGTGGTTGAGCGAAGAGGCTGTTGAAGTTGCACAGTCCTGGAAATGAATGCATCATGGGCTTATTCTGTAGTCTAGGTGAAGGGAGACTGGACTAACCATAGGTCCTTTCTACATCTGGTATGAGACTTGGGCTTGAGCATCCTTTTAGGTAGGCCAGTTTTATTCCAGCTCTACAGATGGAGAAAAAGCAGCACAAAAATTACTGGGATACCAGCTTTGGAAGACACAGAGACCACTTCCTCCATAGGTCTTTGTTAAATGACTCTTCTGTGCAAATTCTAGGTCTCCACATCCTGGTTTAAAAAGATTCTTACACCCTAAATTATAGAAATAAGTTTTTTTTATTACTTTTTTATTACATTTTTCTGTTTAACAATGGTTGGTTTTCTTTATAATGCTTTTCATTTTGCAGGAGGTGCCAGTTTGGATCTGAATTCTGTGGAACCAAAACCAAAAAAGTGGATCCTTGACACTACATGGCTCAATCTTGTGCAGTTATCTAGCTTGTACCCTTTTAATCAACTTCTGGTGCAAGTTGTTAGGAATGAGAAGTCTTGGAAAGCTTGGTTTGATGAAGAAGCACCTGAAAAAGCTGTCATTCCTGATGGGTATGACAGCTTACTGGATCAATTCCGTAAACTGCTCCTTGTCCGTAGCTGGTGCCCTGATCACACCGTTGCCCAAGTAAGATATGCTTTTGTGCAATAGTTATGCCATGTGGTATCTCATGTAGAACTGCTAGTTCCAAACTTATGTTCTCTGAATTTGTTTTTATTGTAATATTTGTTGCAGAGTGAGCTATTTTGAAAATCAGATATTGAAGTCCTTATAATAAATGTATGTGAAAGAAATATTAATGTATTTAATTGCAATGAATTAGGAAGGGCATTGCAAAACATGGGATAAATTGTGTTGGAGCTGTAAGAATACCACTCTTTTTGTGTGGCGCTTCTAAAGTGGAGTCATGAAACTTGTAAAGCAGTTGCATTCTTCTGGTGAATCAGAAGATACATCCCTTTTTTTCACAGAAGAAGTGGAAAGAGAACAGTTCGCTTTGATGACAGGTGCACTAAAATAGCAGATAAACTGTTTACCTAACTGCCATGCTGAGGAAGTAATAATTAAGACTGTCTTGTGGCAGATAATGTGAAAGAAACTGCAATAGACTAGCTGTTTCCCCACAGTCTGTGATATTTGGATTTTTCTTCTCTACGTTGGTCCAAAAAAGATGCATGAATCTATGAGTATCCTCTTTTCACTTTTTTTGTCTTTAGCTACACTGGAAATTAGTACTTCTGATTTCCTGCATACCTCAAATTTACATGTTACATGTTGTGATAGCATCTGTGTTGTATTTAGGGGACAGCATTTTTTCAACAAGACCCCCTCCATCTTTTTTTCTTTTCTTCTCTTCATCTGGTAGGTAAGAGAGAAGTATGGGAGCTCCATCTGCCACAATTTAAACAGAGCAAAATAACAAAACTGCTCCTGCTCATTTATCAACACTCTTATTGTCTCTCACAGCATCTTTGAGAAAGAATGTCTCTGAACAGTGGTTTCAAAAACTGTAATTATTTTCATTTTTGAGGAAAGAGAAGATGCTTTTTGTTCTCTTCTTTATCTATTCTTCCCCTACCGTGTTTCCCCAAGTGTTACAAAATTTTACCTCTCTTTGCTAGGACAGAAGTTACACTTAATAGTGGATGACTGTGTGTTATTTTTTCTGGAATTGGTGTCTTCCTCCATCCACTTTGTTCCTCTGTGTTTCTCTCCATAATACATGCCTCAGAATCTGTGCTAGTAGTTTACACAGTTGGAAAATCATGTCAGTCAAAAAAAGCGTTTCATACACCAGGATAGCTTTAGAAGTCTTTTTAGAAAATGTCTGTGAAAAGACGACAATAGAGGCATAGGGAAGGTTTGACCTTTAAGGATAAAGTCTAAGCTGTGTTTATGTTTTGTAGAAATAGATGTTCAAGTCTCTCAGTAAGAGACTTGAACTGGATAACTACTGGACAGGAGAATTTGTTTGAAGTTCCAACAAATATATGGAAGATTGTAACTGGGTCAGATGAAAGATCTGTCTAATCTACTATGCTGTAGAGACTGTGTCAACAATATGTGCTTAGAGGAGCTAATAATGGGGCTGCTATAGAGAAACTTTTGTTTGGCTATCCACCAAGCTTTAGCAGTCATTCATTTAGGGGCAATAGCTGGGCTGTCCTCAGAGCTGACAGTGGATCTCTTCTGCATAGATTTCTCCAGTTCTTTTTAAAAAACCATTTAGCATCCTCTAGCAACAATGTTCACAGGATGGCTGTTGTGCGGGCAGAATTCTTTCTTTTCTTTATTTGAAGTTCACTATCTGAGAATTTCTCAATGGTTGCCTCCTGTGAACTGTAACTTTTGTTACACCAAAGTTGAAAATGAAAGTTTAGAAAGTCCTTGCCTTCCAATGTCAGTATTGGTAAATTCCACATCAGTGATTAGTGCTAAATAAAAAACATAAAAGGTATATATTTCTGGTAACTTTTTTTTTTTAGGCTCGACACTACATTGCAGAATCTCTTGGAGGGAAATATGCAGAAGGATTTATTCTTGAAATGGAAGCAATGTGGACAGAAAGTGACTGTCGAACACCTTTGACATGCCTTTTATCAATGGGGTCTGACCCCACTGAAAATATAGAACGTCTTGCAAAATCAAAGGTATCCTCCTAAACTGAGTTTTCTAGAGCTGATAAAGACATTTGAAACTATTCTTTGAACTAGAAATGGTATTTCCGCATTTCATAGAAATTTGAATGACGATATTTATATTCATACCAGTGTTCTCTGGAAGTTAATTTGGACCAGTAGCCAAAATACATTTACTGAGGAAATGGAAATGTTACACTCTTGCTTTTTTGCAGTTTGATTCCAATGAGCCCTCTGTCTTTATCCAGCAGACTATGATAGTCCATTACTTAGTGAAAGTACGTAGCTTTAAGAACAAAACAATACTTGTGGTTTACACGGTGTCGCATTCAGTCTAGAAGCTGACAGTAATGACGATTACAGGAAGATAGAGAAAAAAATAATAAATATAGTGACTAGAGGAATTAATTTGGAGACCCCACCATTCAATCAGTTCACTTGATGGAGACATTCAACATTCCTTACAGCACAGTATCACGTTAAGGCACTCTGTGCTTTATGTTTTATGGTTCACAATGTAGGTGCAGGTAAAATTTTCCCAAGAAGTTATTCACAGTAGATCTCCATAAATTTTCCTCCCTGTTAGAATGCATTTTCATTTAGAGGTGCAGAATTTTGGTATGCACTAAGACCTAAGTGCAAAAGTAAGTCTCCAGTAGGAGTTAGTTCATGTAATCAATAAAGAGGGGCTCCTTTGAAAGCAATTCAGAGCATATGATTGAAACTTAACTCTGACTTGCTTTGAGGAATCTAATGTTTCTGTCCCATTGGCCATCTAATGGGATGAGGGACACTAACCTCCTGATAGAGTCACTTGAAGTCAGCTGGTCACTTAGAACCACTCTTGCAAGGAGTGGAACAAAATTCTCTCTCATTCTGTCAAATCTTAAGCAAGACCTTAGCCTGCCTGGGGAAGTGCTGGTAGGCAGAAGATGCTCTGTAATTGCTACTGTTCAAAACCAGCAGGTTTTGCTGTCATTCTGAAAGTATACTGCAGCAGGCAGTTTTAGTATGTTTTCATGCTTTAAGGAAACATGTAGAGAATAACAGAAAGTGAGGTTTTAAAAGAGCTAAAGGGATTGCCTTATTTATTCACACATGGTTTATGAACAAGGCAACATCAGCTAGGCTGTCATAACCTGAAGTTCAGCTGTAATGTCAACTGTAAATGTAAAATTAACTGTAACATTTAACTGTAAAGCTCTTGCCTGATCTCTTGAAGTAATGATCTTAACACATGGCATATAGAAACATTTCAAATTTGCAAAAGCCATCCAGATTCTGCAAATCAAACTACAGACGCAGATCTTTTTTAAGTAAAAATGTGTATTAACATTGTGGGACTGGAGGAGCACATCAGCAGTTCTCTAGCCTTTGAAAAATCTAGAAATCATTTCCAGTTTTCAGAAACATTTGCAGGAGGGCTTTGTGTTTATTTTGCTAGTTTGTCAACAAATTGTACGTAGTTCCTGCCTTTCTTTGGGTTTTCTCTGCTTTTATTCCAGAATAAACCTTTGACTTAATAGGTTAGCTGCACCAAGGATCTGATCTTGGTATATAAATGATTCTATACCTCCAAGGTATACAATTTTTTTCTTCTTCTTCTTAATGATAGAAAAATTCCAAGAGAAATACTGAGCCTATTTTTCAGTGATTTCCCTTTTACAGGCATGATTTGTGGTCTTAAAATGGATTGTCAGTAGTGATGGTACCTCTAACTATGTTATTAACAATATAAATCAATTCTCTGCAGTTGGAAATGTTCAAATTTGTGACCAGAATTTATTTTTCACTCTTAAATTTAGTTTTTTAGATGGCCTTCTCCCAAACAAGTGGAAACACTGTCTGTGACTACTGAGCCACATAACCTTGTTTATAAACCAGGCAAGGTCTATCTTAAAACTAGTTTTAAGAATTTAGGATTTCTTCCCTCTTTACTTTCACTTGAAGATGGAGTGAAAATTTAACTTTCTGCATTAGAACGAAGTTCATTATACCTAGCATTTTAAATTCATTAAACCCAGATATTTTTATTGTTGTTAGATAGTTTCTTCTTTCAGGGAATGAACCACAGAACCTTCAACAGAACTGTCAGGGCCACTGTAGTGACTAAAAAGAGTATTTTCATCTGGATAGTGATGTATTAAGATGACACAGATATATCGGTATAACTTAGTATTGAGAGAAATATTCTGTATGCAGACATTTTGACAGAGTTCTTTAAGAAGGAGCAAAATGAGGACAATCCATAGTGAAAAATGTTTTATCCTTGTCGTGATGTTTCTATAACATTTAACGATTGTACATTTGAGAGGTAACATTGCTGAGAAGAGCATATTATGAGTAGATGCCTTGTTAGGCAATAACGTACCAGCTGAATATTTATGCACTCTGCAGGGGTACTCATAGTCTTTGACTTACGGGAGTGCTAGCTGCACTCAGAAACATCTTAGAAAAGGTAAAGTTTTTGCTCCTCCAGCACATAGCCAACTTCACAGGCTATTTAGCTTTGCTTCTTTTAGCTGCAATTTTAGGTTTTACTGACCTGAGAACAGGATTTAACTGCTTTCTTATCTTTGGCATTCTCTTCTTAAATCTTTTGCCAGGATCATATACAGCAACTGTGTTTATACTGTTCAGTAAAATCAGGTCAGGGCCTGTTCTGTGACCTTAAGGCAGAATGACCCAGCACAGCTTGTGTCCATATGCTTAACCTTTTTCTCCTGCAAAAGCAGGGCAGCCTCATCCACGTTGTTTAGGACTGGATGACTTCCTTCTTTGTTGTTTCACAGTGAGAGAGTCCCAGTAGAGGAAAACTTAAGACTAACCTTTGTAGCTCTCAGCCAGTTGAAGATAGGCCCAGATTGATAGGCACCTCATCACTCACAGCATGATGGATACTCAGCTGTAGGTCTTGAACAAGAAACTGTCCATGAAACTAAGTCTTTTCATCAATTCCTTTGCCCTCAACATGTATATAGAATAATAAGCTCAACTGGGTTTGATAATTCTGGTTTTCTCTGGTACGAGTCAGGCAGCCAACCTAAGCCAGAGGACTACTTGCTTAACAAGAGTAGTAAGAACAATAAGCAAGAGGGGGTCTGGCTGCGTGTTACTTACAGACTCCTGCAGTCCTGCTCACAACCTAGTCAGCTTGTCTTTTTCAGATCCCCTTGTGAGAGCTTGTATCATCTTCTGTTTTTCTGAACAACTGGATTTCTTCTCCCATGGCCTCTGGAGGAAAGACTCCATACATTTCCAGAATTCTTGTGGTTTCATTTATGATCTTTGTCTCTTCTGAATCCAGAAAACTAACATGTAGAAAACCAGCTAGAGGTAGCAAATCACTGAACTAGAATCCTCTGAATCAGTGGCTCTGCAGGTGCCAATTGTTTTCTAGGGAATGGCTTAATGTGAACTAATCTTTCCTGTTCTGCCTGCTTCCCTGACAGTTCTCTGTTAGGTGAAAAAAAAATGCTCAGACAGTAAAGACACCAAAATTGTTGACTTTACTATGTACATTAATTATTATGTGGAGTGTTAAATCTGTCCATCTCAAGATAGTCTGTATCATAGGAAAAAAAATAGTTGTTGCTGTGTGTATGTCCTGCTTTATTTGGAAAAGTGGGGAAAAGGAAGGGAAAATGTTTCAGTTGTCTTATCCCATTGACTTTGTCAGACCTGCAAAAAAAGATTATGTCCAGTGGGTGTAGTTTTCTTTTAGCGGGTGGAAGATAAGAGCAGCTTGGAGGGGTTTGCTTTTTTGTTTACTCTGTTTTAATATAATCAGTTTCCATTGTTATTAGCTGTATTATGTATTAGAAACTTTCTTTTTTCCTTCCAGAACATTCCCTGTTGTTCCATTTCAATGGGTCAGGGCCAGGAAGTCCATGCAAGGCGCCTGTTAAATCAGTGCATACAAGATGGAGGATGGCTCCTTCTACAGAACTGCCACCTTGGCTTGGAGTTTCTTAGTGAATTAATGGATGCCATCACAACAACAGAAGCTATGAATGAAGGTTTCAGGACCTGGATCACTACAGAGGCTCACCCGGAGTTTCCTATTAATCTTTTACAGTCCTCTATCAAATTTACTAATGAACCCCCTCAAGGTAGGAAACCATGCTTTTTTTGAGTTTTGGGGCTTGCTTTTTCCCCTTCCTCTGTATCACTATACTCTGGGAAGTGTTTCAGGTTTTATTCTCCATTGTTCCTCTAAATAAACACAGCACTGTGTAAGTCAGTCTTGCAATGTGTAAAGCATGACTCTCTTGGGGAAAAACTGGATATTGTTTGGGTCTGTAATAGAAATTGATAGTGATTTTGTTGTTTGTGTAGAACCTGCAGAGAATGCCAGGTTGGTGGTCCTTAGTACACATCATCACTCTTTTCTTTCTGTCCTGTTGACCCCACTTAAGGATCCTGTGCTCCACTGGGCAAGGAAAAAGAAGGACTCTTCTGAACACCCAACCTCAGCCTCCCAAGCTGCAGTATGTAGCTGTGGCTGTTGCTTCTTTTTATGTCACCTGGCACTGCTGACATGAGACTCACCCCAGCATCTTTGTAATTATCCTTCAAGTATTTGTGAGCTGCTACTGAATCACCCCTTAGCCTCTGTCACAGGCAAGACGGTTAATAACAGCCCATAGTGGATATGAATACTGGGGTTTACTTACAAACTGATGAGATTAGGGCTTTTATGCTACTTACTTGTTTTACGCTTACTCTCTTATGCTCCCAGCCTCCTGTATTGCATTTATTTCAGCTTGACTTCCCTTCCCATTGGAGAGATCGCTGCTGGCCCAGGAAGGTCAGGCAGAAAATCATGTTGGTTTCATTCTGTGCTGCTACTTGCAGCTACCAGTCTTGGACATTACTGGCCTAGGTCCCTGGACATCCCCTGGCATTTGCCTCCGTGCATCTCCCCTACCTCCAGGATCTTTTCCTTCTTCCAGGATGTTTCCTCGAGCTAGGATGTTCTTGTGCTTTCTGGGCCTCTAAGCCCCCATTTTTCGTACCTTAAGTAGTCTATGTGCAAAAGCACAATGTGTGATCAGCGTCCTAATTGGCAGTTCTGACTCATGTTTCTGTATTGGGGGATTTGGGATGTTTCACTTTTTGCAGCCTGTACCATTTGCAGCTGGCAAGTAGCAGGCTTGTCCTTGAGAGTTCAAAATTTCAGCTTTGGACAGCCACCATCCCTTATACATGCACGCAATTGTCTGCTGCCTTTCAGTATTCACAGTTTAAGCTGATTTTTGAATACCACAGCCTCCTCTTTAACAGACTAAGCAAACTCAGCCTTCTTGTCCTATCTTTGTACATCATGCACTCTCAGTATCTGATCACTCTTAATTGTGTCATCCAGTTTCCGTTCAGTTTCTCCACAACTCTCTTGTGTGCCAAATGTGGACAATATATCTGAAAGGAAGCCTGACCAGTGCTAAGTGGAAAGTGATAAGAACTTCCTCCAGTCTGCTGGATGTGCTTCTTCTAAGGTAGCCCACTCTCTGGATTGCTTTATTTGCAAGAAGAGTGCAATTTTGGCTTATAGTCAACCTGGCATCTGCAATAACCCTGATTACCGGTAGATCTCAGCTAGCAGATTTCAGCTTGTACAAATGTGTGGGATTATTGCGCTGCAGGTGCAGAACTTTGCACTTCTCCATGCTGAACTTCATGCAGGTTTTATTGGTCAAGTATTCATCTCTCACTAGATCTCTCTGGACAGATGCTCTTGCATTTAGTATGTCAGCCACACTCTCTAATTCAGTATTGTCTGCAAATTTGTTGAAGCTGCCTTTTGTCTCCTTATCCAAGCCACTGATGAATATATTGAACAACATCTGTCCCTGGTGTACTTTGCTTTTTTTCTGGCTGCCATTATCTTAAGCCATTGATTACTTACTATTCTTTGAGCCAGGTAACCAACCTGCTAGCCTTCTACAATAAGGTGATTGGTTTAGTGGATGAGGGGAGAGTGTAGGGTGTTTGTTTATCTTCACTTGAAGAAGGCTTTAGACACAGGCCCTGGATACATCCTTATAGACATACTGATGAAGTAGATATTACAGAAGTGGACAGTGAGATGGCTTGGAAATTGTGTGCACTCCCATACTGAAAGGGTTGTGATCAGATGCACAAATCCAGCTGGAGAGCAGTCACCAGTGTCATACCCCAGGGGTCAATACTGGGGCCAACCGTGGTTAAAATTTTTACTAATGACCTGGATGATGGGACACCCTTTGCAAGTTTATAGTTGATACAAAGCAGGAAGAATGGGCTGATACTCCAGAAGGTCATGTTGGTTTTCAGTGGGAGTTTCACAGGCTGGAGAAGTGGTCTGACAGGAATCTGCTGAACTTCAATATAGGGAAATGCCAAGTACTCCCCCTGGGAGAAAGAACCTCATGCACCCATACGTACATGATGGGGCTGACCAGCTGTAAAGCAGCTTTGAAGAAAAGGACCTGGGGTTCCTGATGGAAATCAAGTGGACCATGAGCCAGCAATATGCCCTTGAAGCAAAGATGGCATGCAACACCCTCAACTGTACTAGGAAGATAATTTCCAGCAGGTTGAGGAAGGTGATTCTTCTCTGCTCAGCCATGGTGAGAGCATATTTGGAGTGGTGTGTCTAGGTCTGACCTCCCCAGTACAAGAAAGACATGGACAGAATGCGTCCCATGAGAGGACACAAAGATGCTGAAGGCAATGAAGAACATGACATATGAGGAGAGGCCAAGAGACCTATGATTCTTTAACCTTAAGGAGTGAAGGGGTATCTTATCAATGCATATAAATATGTGATGGGAGTGAGTAAAGAAAACGGCAAGACCTTTCTCAGTGGTGCCAAGTGACAGAAAGAGAGGTGATGGACACAGATGGAAATCCAAGAAATTCCACTTCAGCATCAGAAAAAACTTAACCCACTGTGAGAGTGATCAAATACTGGAATGGCTTGTTCAGTGAGTTTGTAGACTCCATCCTCAAAACCCAGATGGACAAGGTGCTGAGCAACCAACTCTAGCTGACCCTGCTTTTAGAAGTGATATTGCATAAGGTGACCTCCAGAGGTCCCTTCCAACCTCAACTACTTGGTGTTATTCTATATGGTATGAAAACATCCAGCTTTTCTAAGTAGTTTCTGACCTGTTGCTCTCCTGCTGTTGAATGTCTCTGTCTTACCCAAACTATGCTGCTATCTGCAGATGTCCTTTATATGTTTACAGAAGCAACTTACTACCCTGCCTTATACCTACTCATTATGTATGATGAGGGAAGGTTACTTTGTATTTTGGACTATGGCAGAAAGAAATCCTCAAACCTGACAGTTATTTTGTCTTTTAACTCCCTCATAGTTAACTGTGTAATGCATTAACTTGCCCTTCATTTATATATATATATATGTGTTGCCACTGATTTCAGTTAATGAAGTCAGTAGGAGCTGAGAATTTTTATCCAAGGTTGTATTTAATGCCTCAGTCATTTAAACTTCTTATTTCAGTATTCATCTTCCTTTGAGCATTAGTAAGATGTCTACAAAATGTCTGATCTTGTGAAAGACATCCTGTTTCAGTGTATATACTCCACTCCCAAGAGCAGTTAGTCAGTCTGCTGTTAAAAATTCCTTACTTCTTTCTCTTCTCCTCCTGCCTTTTTAATTCAGTGCTCAGCATCTTTTTATTGTACTGTGATCATTCAAACGACATCATTCAAATGATAACACCCTACAGCTTCAGGAGGCTATTTTGTAAGTCAGGTTATAGCAAATTTACAGCTTGCATTTAGTAATAGAAATATGCCCGGTGTAACAATTTAAGTCAGGATGAAATATAAACAGTTCTAGTTTTCTGATACTGTCCTGCCCACATTGGTAGCACGATGTGATAAGGGATGTTTGTTTGACTACTTTGTCTGGATTTTGGCACTCTCTTATGATACCCTTATAATATTTTGAAAAGCTATTTGTTTGAATATTGTTCTACAGGATCCTTGTGAAGTAAGAAAGAAACAAAAGGGCTTTTATTGTGTCACAGGAAGTATGATGACTTAGACAATCTATTCACTGCATTCAAAATCCATCTTTTTAGACTTGTGTTAAGCTGATTAGGTGGAAGATATCATCAGAGGGACTTGGTGTGAGTAACTCATGCTCAGTGTTGCCTGCCAAAGGCAGAGGATGCTTCAGTAGTGCTGCCTGAAAGCATCTGGGAGTAGTAGGGCTTACATATTCCATGGAAGCTGAGATTGTATCGGTATCACCTGCCTAAAGCTGTTGCTGGGATAAGAAATGTCAGTGCTCAAATGAACGTTCCCAAGTATTAGTATTTCCGCTATGAATTAGGTTCTCGTCTCATCGGCTTGGTGCCTGTATGCCAGTTTGAGAAGCTGCCTACAGAATTTACAGATTGTTATTGGAGTGAAATCTAAAAATTGTCTTTGGTAGAACTAAGATCTATTTTTGTATGTGAATATCAAAACACAAACTCTTGGATATTCTATGTTATCTTTCATATGACGTTGGGTGTCTTTTTGATTGTGATGTAGTTGCTGAGTAGTTATGTTTGTATTTCAGTTGTTATTGGTAACTTTTAGAATATGATTACTTAATTGTAATTCCTTCCGGACTCCTGAACTTAATTTGGTGTGTCATCTACCTAAAACAAAATGTAACTGAAGTTTGCCTACTATGACCAGCCGAACAGATAATTGATTCAAAGAGATTATTTGAAGCTATAAATAAGATGATATTGTAAATTGGAATAGAGAATTCTGCTTAATGGAAGTTGGACTTACAGGTTCCGTACTTTTTTTTTCACATATTACATTTTTATACTTATTTTCTAGGTGTGAAAGCTGGCCTAAAACGAACATACTCAGCTGTTACTCAGGATCACCTAGAAGTGAGCAACATGCCACAGTGGAAACCATTGCTGTATGCTGTAGCATTTCTTCACACAGCTGTTCAGGTTTAAAAACACATTTCTTTTCTTCTGTCATAAAGCCATGTTTCATTTATTAATTCACCATGTTACTAAATGAAAACCATGTTTAAATGGAAATCCCATGTTGGTAAATTAATACAAATAAAATAATAAAGAAAATAACACCATTCTATTAGTGCAATTGCCTTAGAACTTAGAACTCTGCTCATGTTGATCTTGTACCTCTAACAGGAATGGTACTTCAGAGGAAAAAGGGACAGTCAACCGATGATCAATTAGTGCACTCTTCTGTTAAATTCTTTGGGCATGGCTGTGTGATCTGTCTTTCAGCTAACTGGTTTTTTACTAATATTTTAAATCATAAAAGCACATTAAAGAAATTTACAGCTTAGGTTGGAAGACCATAGTCTTACAACTGCTGCTTTCACAATGAGAAGGGCTAAGAGGGTGAATATAAATCCTTCCTGCACTGAAACCTGGAGGAGGAAATGAAAGTGGAAGATGATTTTGGGTCTTGCCTTTCAGGAGTTCCATTAAAGAAAGTGCTTTATAGATTAACCACAACTTTTCATCATTATACTGATAGATTTTGCAGTATCCTTAGTTTATATTTGGTGCCTAGTTAATTTAACTCTGTGACATCCGTGCACAATACATTGTGGTCCAGTGGAAGCCTGTGGTATGCTTGTCTTTGGCCCATCACTTCTTTCTTGGTGGAAGTTAAGAATGTTTAAATACCAGATATTGCCCTAACAACTACATGCTGCCAGCTGTTTCTGTAAATGATTCAGTAAGAAGTAGCTTTTGCTACTTGCATCTGCACCATACAGAGTCATCAGTGGTGTGAATATACCTAGTCCATAGGAGGACCACAGACAATGATCATTGACATCCTTTCCTAAAAGATCAGCTTCATTTTTGAAATTCAAAAACTATAGTTCTAAACTCACAGATTTGATGCACTTAAAAAAGAGGATTTTTAGTTTGTGAAAATTTTAATATTCCCATTCTTTGTTTGTATCTCTACTGATGATGACAAATGAAGAGATATTTAACTACTAGATAATTAATCAAGCATTTGGCCTTGTGTGTGTTAAGAGAAGAATAATTTTTTTTAAAGTTGGTGAAATACAGCCCCAGCTGGACTACTGCATTCTTAGCATAGTTCATGTATTCTTCTGCACTTAATGTTTTCTTCACAATTCCTATCAATCAGCCTTTTACCTTTAACTCTATCTATTTTACAGGAAAGACGAAAGTTTGGTCCATTGGGCTGGAATATTCCTTATGAATTTAATCAGGCAGACTTTGCAGCCAGTGTGCAATTTGTTCAGAATCATTTGGATGATATGGACATTAAACATGGAGTGAACTGGAGCTGTGTTCGCTATATGCTTGGAGAAGTACAGTACGGTGGCCGTGTAACTGATGACCTTGACAAAGCACTGCTGAATACATATGCAAGAGTGTGGTTTGGAGAGCATATGTTTAGTGAAAAATTTTGTTTCTACAAGGATTATGTTATTCCAAAAGGGAAAACAGTTGAAGACTATCTCCAGTACATAGAGCAATTGCCAGTGATTGATACACCTGAGGTAAAATATTTCAATATATTAAAGGGAGTTTTTGTCAGATAAATAATTTAATCAGGTATATTTTCCAGAGCCATGAATGTATAGGTCAAGATTAGCAGGCAGACCATTATAGTGAGTATCTAGTGTAGGTCTGCTGACCAGAAAGAGGTAGATGAGGCCTTCTTCAACCAGTTGGAAGAAGTCTCATGTTCACAGGCCCTGGTCCTCATGGAGGACTTTAACGACCCTAATTATCTGCTGGAAGAATGATACAGCAGGGTTCAAGCAGTCTAGGCGATTTCTTGAGTGCATTAATGACAATTTCCTGGCACAGGTAACTGAGAAGCCAACAAAGAAAGGCACTTGGCTGGACCTAATATTATGAGCAAGGCAGAACTGGTCAGGGATGTGAAATCCAGAGGCAGCCTTGACTGCAGTGACCAGCAGTGGAGTTCAGGATCCTAAGAGGAGGGAGTAGGGCAAAAAGCAGGACCACAGCCCTGGATTTCAGGAAAGCAGACTTCAACCTCCTCAGAAGTTTCTTTCAGGCTTGAAAGAATCCTATAGGATATGGCCCTGGTGATAAAGGGGTCCAGGAGAACTGGTTTATATTCAGGGATCACCTCCTCCAAGCTCAAGAAAGATTCATCCTAACAAGTAGGGAATCAAAGGCAGCAGGAGGCCTGAATGGATGAACAAAAAGCTCCTAACTAAATTCAGATATAAAAAGGAAGTGTGCAAGAGGTGGCAGCAGTGGCAGGTGACCCAGCAAGAGCACAGAGCTACTGTCCAGTCTTCTGGATGATGGGGCACAGTGCACCTTCAATGAGTTCACAAGAGGTACAAAACTGGAAGGAGTGGCTGATAGACCAGATGGTTGTGCTGCTATCCAGAGAGATCCAGACAGGCTGGAGAACTGGGAAGAGGGGAATCTCATGAAGTTTGACGAGGAGAAATGCAAATTCCTGCATTGGTTGTCCTGGTGGACAACTAGCTGGCCATGAACCAGCAATGCACCCTCACGGCAAAGAGGACAACAGTATCCTAGGCTGCATTAGGAACAGGGATGTGATCCTTCCTCTCTACTGAGCACTGGTGGGACTATATATGAAGTACTGTGTCCAGTTCTGGGCTCCCCAGTAGAAGAAAGGTATGGACTTACTGGAGTGAGTCCAGAGCAGGGCCATGAAGATGATTAAGGGACTGGAGCACCTGTCAGAGTGGGACTGTAGCCTGGAGAAGAGGAAGCTTAGGCGGGATGTTATCAAAATACCTGTTGGGAAGTTGTAAATTTGGAGCCAAAGTCTGACAAGAAAACATTTTTTTTACAGTGAAGGTGATCAAGGACTGGAAGAGGTTGCTCAGAGAGGTTATGGAGTCTCGATCTTTGTAGATATTAAAATCCCAACTGGACACTGTGCTGGGCAGCCTGCTCTAGCTGACCCTGCTTGAGCAGGTGGTTTGGATTAGGTGACCCTCAGAGGTCCTTTCCAAACTAAACTATTTTGTGATTTTGCAATTCTGTATGGGATTGAACAGACATGCGAACTGAGAAATAATGAAAATAAAAAAGCCCTATGGTCTCATTTTGCAAGTTATAACTGGGAGATTATTTCATTTTGACAACAGGAATCTGGATGTTGCTGTGAATTGATGGGGTAGGGTGCAGGGCAGCTCCTCATTGCAACCACTTTTACATGACCGAGTGTGTGTATTCTGCAGTGGTCACATTAATTGGAGGACTGCAAGTTTCTACTCCCTCTAGTACAGGCACACATGATGAAGTTAGTTAAAATTGAAATAGAAGTGAATGCTCTGGATTTCTGTCTCATTGCTATTAAGTTGATAAATGCCTTTGGAAGTAAGTTCTATTAAAATTAAATAGGACTGAACAGAAAAAACAGGTTTTCTGTTACTGATAATGTGCTGTCTGGGAGGGTGAGAAGATTCCAAGGTCATAAAAACTTGAAAAGTTTTGAATCTCTGAAAGCAGTGAAAGCAGAATGCAAGGGTATTCATGCTGGCAATGATGCACCTTTTCCAAATGAGGGTAAAAGCAGCCATGATAACGCACCAGTGGGATCCATCTGAGCCCAGCTCATGAAGTGTTTCCTATCAGTGCAGGAATCTTGACTCTATCAGATTTCAGGTGCTACTTTCATGGCTCTGCTTTTCTAAGCACTTGGGAACCTATCTCACAATGCTGAAATGTATTTTTAAAGTATTTTGATGCCTGTAAAAAATCTGTATGTATGGTTTGACGTAGGGGAATTTTACTTTTGACTTTTATGTAAATAGGATCAAGTCAAGGAATGCAAACATCTTTTTCTCCTTCACATTTTCACCGGTTAGGAAGAAAGCTACGACTTTCTTCTGTTGTTCCAAAATCTGTCAAAATTGCTCATGGAAACCTTTAACCTTTTAGTCTTCCAAGTGTTCTTTGTTCCACAAAGGATATTGTGCTAGTCAAAACAATGTATCTTTGTTTCCTCCCCTTTCCATTTTTGGTTAAGAAAGAAAGACTGAATAAGTCTGATTGCTGTATCCTTGCTCTTTTGATGAAATTTCAACCTCTGATCAGAATAAACAGTGACTTCTGAAGAGGGCTATTGAACTCAGCAATCCTTTTGAAAATGACTTTGATTTCAGAGGGGTATAGAGCTTTAGCAATTGGTTTTGAGGATTTATCAGGCTAAAAAAAACCCCTGAAAGACAGAATCCAACATCCTCTTTTAAATCAAAATTCCCAGAGATTTGGATCAAAAAGAATGAGAGATTGGTCTCCTTGATTAATATACAGTTAATCTAGGACACTGGTCCACCCACTGCTTTACTACTCTGGTTTCTTTGTTCTTATTCCTTCATATATCACTTGCATAAAAAACATAGAACCAGAGCTGTCTCTCATGTAACACCCCTGTCTTTGGCAATATTACAGCAGTTTTGAAGTTAGCCCTTGGACTAGCACTACAATTTGCATTAACAATAGCCAATGTTTTTCATATTTCTAACTTGGGCATTGCCACAAAATCTGATAGAGCAAAACCAACAAACCAAACCCTTATTGTGCAAGAGCAAAAGCAGAAAAGAGTGTATCTTCAAATGTGTGCTTCATTCCATATAGAATATGAGTGTAATAAAGTGCATTGATATTTTCACTTTTTACAGCTCTAAATATGCAGGTTGAATAAACCACTATGCGCAAAACACGTTAAATCCTACTTGGAACCTAATCCGTGTATGACTACATAGTCACATCTTCTCTCACATGCAGTGTTAGGTCTGTACCGTGTTCTTTGAGCTGTTGTAAGGATCAGATCCACAACTGGTGTTAAGTCAGTGCAGCTTTGCTGGCTTTGACACAGATGCAGCCACTTACATCCTTTGTCTCTGAGTTTCTGGATTTGCAAGCATAACAAAATTACATATGCCCCTTTTTATTTTGTCCTCAGAGTATGTCAATATTGGTTGCTAGAAGTGTCTTCTTGTAATATAACAATTCTAATGTAAAATATAAAAACATGAAAAATGAGAAACGGAAGAGTGCTTGGCTTTGGTGCTCAGTTTCAGGGCAAGCCTTCCTCATTGTTGGATCAGTGGTTCAAAGTTTGTAAGAGATAGTTAATAGCTGTAATTAAATGAGGGCTTGTGAAATAAGTCCCAGTACAATTTGTCCTGGAGAAGAGTTGCAATTGCCAACCTGACAATTATAGGCTCACTGATATTTCACTGCAAGTTTCTGAGAAAGCTATTATCATGCAGACAAAGGGCAGCTTTGCAGTAATTCTGTGCTAGCTGTATATTAAATAAAATAATTCAATTTCAGAAGAAGGGGAAGTAAGGAGTGGGAGCCTTAAACCAAAAATAGCTAAACCGTAAAATATCCTAAATATATCACCACTCATAAAATCTTTAAGTACTTTGAATATGGGCAGTGTTTTATTCACTGTGCTGCATGCCTTATAAGCCTAAGTGACTGAGTAAAACAAAATGTGTTAGAAATGGTAACTGGTCTGATTATTAGGGACATCTACTTGAGCTGGTACAACCAGCAGTAGATCTGTAGAGACAAAGAGCTAGTGGTGAGGGGTCGGTGTCCACATATGACATGTTTCCAACAAGCTCTAGTCTGAACTGGTTGAAAGGAACCAGTTTATACCCCCTGAGAACACGCCACAGCATGATCCAAAGCCTGCTATGTGAAGATAATCAGAAGATCAGTTAGAAAAACGCACTCATGTGAATGAAAACGCTATTGTATATGCAGCCTATGTTCATGTTTTTTGTGTAATTTGGGTTTGGTCCTTGGCCAGTTAAATGGATGTACTTCCACTGACCTATTATATCTGTTGTTTTATAGAGCTGAGGATTTTCTTCCTTGTTTATCCATTTTCATACATTTTTTCATTGATATACTTTTAGAAGGAAAATCACATTTTTTTTTCTATTTTTTTCCCTTTTACTTTAAGGTATTTGGACTTCACCCTAATGCAGATATAACTTACCAGACTAACCTGGCTAATGAGACATTAAGTACAATAGTGAGCATCCAGCCCAAAGACAGCAGCACTGGAGGAGGGGAAACCCGAGAAGCAGTGGTGCAGCGTCTTGCTGATGAGATGCTAGAGAAGTTACCTCCAGATTATAACCCTCATGAGGTATATGCTGCTTTACAGATACAGGTGTTTTATGTATGTATGTATATGTTTTATGAGTTTTATTGTGCTTCTTGAATTTACCTGGCACGTGTTTTAAAAAGCCTTTAAAATTATGCAGTGTTTTATAAGTCTGTTTTAGTTTATTATCTGAAATGTTCCTACCTCAGAAACATATACTCCCAATGCCATAGTCCTCTTAATCAGTCACCTTAACTCAGAAGAGCCATTAGAAATTTCAGAAAGTTCTTGCCCTCCTTAGAAGCTTAGAGAAGGATAACCAGTGCCTCTTTCTGAAGGATCAGTGATCTTATAGCAGTTACAGCTTTCAATTTACCTACTCTTACTGCGATACCACCATTATGAATAATGGATTTTATCACATTTATCACAATAATGGATTTTCATGCCTCAGATTTTTTGGAGTTTGAGCAATAACAGATGTATTTGTCAATCTTTTCTTGCATTGTTGATTAACAGTGTCATTAAATCGAAAAATCCCGCATAAAGCACTCTTGCGTCAGTTTGTAAGTAGGATCTGGTATCCTGCCATGTGTTTAATGAATGGTAAGTGTTGAAAATTTCTCATTTCCAAGATTTTGTTATTTACAATTCTGTTTTCCACTGACAATGCTTTTTTTCTATGGTTGCAGTCCACACTTGTAGAGTGCCCAGCATGCAGTATTGCAACTTGTTATGTTATTCTTTATTTTCTTCTCTTGGCCAACCCAATGTTGGGTTGATGGTTGGACTTGATGATCTTGGAGGTCTTTTCCAGCTCTAATGATTCTATGATTCTAGAACTTACAAAGTCCACTTCGGTTACAACCAATAGTCTCGGGATCCTGGCAATATTTCCTGTCTTCTGTTCTACTATTCATCTCAGATTTAATATGTCTTGTATAAATAGCCTCTTCTGTAGTGTCATAATTCAACTCAGAACATCTTTCATTCCCCTCTTGGCAAGCTACTTACAATCTGCAACTTTCTTTGCTGAGGTTTCCTAAGAGCTTTCTCCATATAGTTATTTTTCCATCCATCCCTGCTCATGCCTCTCTTTTTTTGTCACTTGCTTATTGACTGATTCCCAGTAATAGTATATAAATAATTTATTTGTAGAATTTGATTTGAAATGGAGTCAGTTTTCTAGTTTTCACATTATTATTTAATAGTAAATAAATTGAGAAATATAAAATCAAATTAAATATAGTATATATAATAATTAACAACACTTAATTACTAATTTAATAAATGTAATAATTTACACCTTGGATCTACACCTATAATCTACACATTGGATTGTTCTCAGTCCTTTTCCCTTATCCTTTCTATCAGAGTAAAGCTTTTTCATGGGACTAGTTTTTTCTAGTTTTATTCAGCTCCTTAAATTTTTTTTTTTTCAATTTGCAATAGCAATAGAATACTGAATACCCAGGTAGCATATATGGTTTTGCCATATTTCTAATATGTGTATTGGACTAAATTTTTTCAATATATCTGCTAAATTGTCTAAAGGAGTATTTCTTCATTCCCTTGTTAAACTGCCAACAAGAGTAGGCCATCCCCATGTACTGGAAGATGAGCGGGTGGGGAAGAAAACCGGACTGGCTGAGCTGAGAGCTGGAAGCTTTGGCTGGATCTCAGAAAAAAGAGGAAGGTCTATGACCTTTGGAAGAAGGGGCAGGCATCTCAGGAGGACTACAAGGTTGTTGTGAGGTCATGCAGAGAGAAAATTAGAAGGTCTAAAGCCCAACTAAAACTTAAATTGGCAAATTCTGTGAAAGATAATAAAAAATGTTTCTATAAATATATTAACAACAAAAGGAGAGCCAAAGAGAATCTCCATCCTTTAGTGGATGCAGGGGAAACTATAGTGACAAAGGATGAGGAACTTAAAGCCTTCTTTGCCTCAGTCTTTAATAGTAAGGTCAGCTGTTCTCTGGGTACCCAGCCCCCTGAGCCAGAAGACAGGGAGCAAAACAAAGCTCCAATGATCCGAGAAGAAATGGTTAGTGACCTACTCAGCCAATTAGACATACACATGTCCATGGGGCCAGACAGCGTCCGCCCAAGGGTGCTGAGGGAGCTGACAGAGGTGCTCACCAAGCACCATTCCATCCTCTGTCAGCAGTCCTGGATGACTGGGGAAGTTCCACTTGACTGGAGGCTGGCAAATGTGACGCCCATTTACAAGAAAGGCCAGAGGGAGGATCCATGGAACTACAGGCCTGTCAGTCTGACCTTGGTTCCAGGGAAGGTCATGGAGCAGATCATCTTGAGTGCCATCACACAGCACGTCCAGGACAATCAGAAGATCAGGCCCAGTCAACATGGGTTTATGAAAGACAGATCCTGCTTGACTAAGCTGATCTCATTCTATGACAAGGTGACACACCTTGGCTGGAAAGCTGCTTGGCAGAGAGGGATCTGGGGGTACTGGCAGACAGCTGGCTGAATATGAGCCAGCAGTGTGCCCAGGTGGCCAAGAGGGCCAATGGCATCCTGGCTTGTATCAGAAATAGTGTGATCAGCAGGACCAGGGCAGTCATCCTTCCCCTGTACTTGGCATTGGTGAGGCTGCACCTCGAATACTGTGTTCAGTTTTGGGCCCCTCACTACAAGAAAGACATTGAGGTGCTGGAGTGTGTCCAGAGAAGGGCAATGAAGCTGGTGAGGGGTCTGGAGCACAAGTCTTATGAGGAGGGGCTGCAGGAACTGGGGTTGTTTAGCCTGGAGAAGAGGTTGCTGAAGGGAGACCTTATCACCCTCTACCACTACCTGAAAGGAGGCTGTAGTGAGGTGGGTGTTGGTCTCTTCTCCCAAGTAACAAGTGATAGGACAAGAGGCGATGGCCTCAAGTTGCACCAGGGGAGGTTTAGATTGGACATTAGGAAAAATTTCTTCACCGGAAGGGTTATCAGGCACTGGAATGGGCTACCCAGGGAAGCAGTTTAGTCCCCATCCCTGGAGGTATTTAAAAGACAGGTAGAGAAGGTACTTAGAGACATGGTTTAGTAGTGGGCAGGTACGGTTGGACTCAATGCTCTTAAGGGTCTTTTCCAACCAAATGATTCTATAATTCTGTGATTATTGGTAATAATGCGTTCCTTTGTACATCTCTTCGACTGTGTCAGCCGCACTACAACTTCAGATTTTAATTCTGCAGTGTTATGAGATTTGGCATTATTTCTTGAAGTCCCTGATTCTTCAATATTTCCCTCTTCATTTTGCCTAATGGATTTACCCTTTCTTTCATTCTCTAGATCTTAGAACTCACTTGGGTCTTTACCAATGCTTTCTTTGCTGGAGGGGAATTCTCCTTTTCTGCCATTAGTGCCCAGTTCCACCTCTTTGCTGCAGTTGTTTATGTGCCAGGAGTGTAGCCACCTTTATACAATCAGCAAAAAATCTGTATCAAATGTGTTTCTCATCTGAACTGAAGCTCTGTTATTCTGGAACCTCTTAGAAAAGGCAGAGATGGCAGGAGTAAGCTGTAAAGAAAGCTACATTTTTAAATGAAGTTTTGCATAAACTGACAAAAAAAAGAATATCTAAAATACCAAAAGAAAAAAAAATACTATGTTCACTGACATATAACCAAGAATTTCATTAGTCAGAGCAGAAAAGAAGGAAGAGTTTAGATGTTCTCTGAGGGAAGAAGCAACAGAATTTAGCAGAAGCTTCAATATAATAACCAAGTTAAATTAAGCTTGCAAGTATAAGGAGTGAAATGGATTATGTAATTACTTCCTGTGATGTCAGAAAAAAAAGGAATGAGATGAGTTTTGTTGTTTGTCAATTTAAGTCAACATTTGGTCATTCAGGACATGATTACCTATATTCAGGACGTTATTACCTACCAGATCAGTTTAACAATCCTGAAACAAATAAAACTAATGTACTAAAATGTAAGAGACTGAGGGAATATGTCAAAAAGAGTTCCTATGCATGCCTCATTGGATAAGAGCAGTAAAAAGAAAAACATTCATTAGTCCTAGTACTGCAGCTTGGGTTTGCTGTTAGAAGAGTATTGTGCTCCATTAAGGCCACGACGTGGTAGTCTTTGGAAATCCAGTTATAGAGATGCTATCAGTGGAGAAGAGGAACAAAAATTTTAGGAAACAAATGAAGGTATTAAAAGCAAATACTCTTCAGTCAAAGCGGCAGGTGCCTTTGCTATCTTTGATCAGTTCTTGTGGCTCCCTTTAGAAAGTGTGGAGTGAATTTGCTCAGAGTTAAAACCTCAACAGACTAGGTTAGGGACAGATGGTGCTGAAACCAATTATTTGCTGACATTCGGAGCTCTGGGTTGTACTTTCTCTTGATACATTGTGAATCCAGAGAAAATTTAGGCTGTCATACAGAGGCCTTCATTTCTGTTATTACCCTTTGGCAATGACTTCAGAACCAACAACTTTCAAAACAGGGCAACCATTTTACCCCATGGTATATGCTGCTTCTTTTGTAGTTGTGTTCTGGTAATGCTTCATCTCACCAGTCAAACAACTGACTCAGTGTCCACCCAAAAGATTATAAACAAAACAAGTCACCTTTGCATGCTTTATCTAACTGCAGTTTGATACAGGTAATGGAAAAGCAAAATAAACCTTCCTCCTGACCTAAAACTGTCTTCATTTTTCTCACTCCAAAGGCAGAGGCAGAGTAAGATTTCTGTTTTCATGACCCCTTTTGCTTCTGGGTCTTGCCTCACAGGTAAGAGAGAGATTAGTGGTAAAATGATTAGGTCCAGTCAGTCCATGTGAGTGAAGATATGTGCAAGAATAAACGTCAGCCTGTCACACACAGAGGTTTATAATGAAAATGATCCTTGCAGCCTGAAAAACAGCTTGCTAGGGAATAGACATAGAGACATTCCAAAGATACTGCACTTTATTGGAGGTTGGTTTTTAACCCAAGTAGCAATGTTTTTTTCCCTTAAATATTTTTTGTAATATTGATTTTGCCTTATCCTCTGCTAAGGCTATGACTATATTAGCAAGTATTGTGTGGAATAGGAGTTCATCTGAGGACCCCAGGCCTGCATTAAATGTTTTATTGGGGAATTTACTTTTGTCTAACTTCAGTCTGGGCCTGCAGGCTGAATATCCATTAGTGGCTAGAGTATATCAGGCTCCCAGAGGCGTACCTTTTGGGTTGGTTTAGTTTGAAGCTAAGCCAATTTATGTGCCTGGAGTCTACTTTTCAGTGCAAGTTTTTTTGCTACAAAAAAATTTTGGGGTCTGAACTGAAACACTAACATAGATGCTTTTGTAAGGTGTCTCTGGTTTACTTACCAACCCTATGAGATATGGTGGTCACCCAGCTCTAGATCTTCAACTATTTTCTACGTATTTCACTGCCTGCTTCCTTGTACGCAACAAGGACCTGGTCCTTGACATAACTTGAAAAGAGCTTTGGCTTGGACACTCCTTGAGCTTGTCTTCCTTATTCAGGCCTCTTATTTAGACCATCTCATAGAATGATGGACTTCCCATTTCTGCTAACAAAGAGTATACCAAGTACCCAAGCCTAATTGAAAATAATAGCATTTACTGAAAATGATAGGCAGTTACTACTATAGTAACTTGATCACTGATCATTAAATGGCAGCAACTGCTTTTCTGCTGAATAGCCTATAAAGTATGCGGTGCCAAAGGAGTTGGTGACCTGAGGATAGCTAAGAAATATGCATAGAGGAATCTGACACAGTAGAGATATGCATTGCAAAAGTATGTAGGCAAAGCTATTAAGATTATGATTTTAGTTGCTCCTTTCTTAAATCACCTTGTTTTATGTTAGATGACAGCTGTTTGCCTAATGAAAAGGATATGTTGTAAGTGGGCTTTATGGAATTAATATATTAATCTCAGAAGGGCTATTGTGGTTAGTGAGTTTTCTCTTTTGAGGTTTTTTTCTGTCAGTCGGTATCCATCTCTTTATGTCATAATAAATACAGCACTGGAAGTAAGTCATCTGATTGCTTGATAAGAATTCTAATACAAAACCAATCAATCATAACTCAGAGCTGGTATTTAAAACTAATCTTAACAGCAAGATTTCCAAGAAGGGCATTATGATACACATAGTAAATCCTACTGCAGATCAGGATTGCTTTGTATACAGTAAGGTAGGAAGTATGTAAATTTTTTTCAGTTTTCATATCTGGTTATGCTTGGTGCTCCAGGCTGAATGCTGTGAACATATCTAGGATGGATTAAAAAATTTCTGCATTATTGGATCACTCCATTATTCAAAACATTACAGATATTTTTGTAGGTACAGGAAAACAAATCAGAAGAATGTTTAAATTCTGAGAATTCACTAGTTAAACAAATTGTATGATTATCAATACAGTAATATTTTAGAATATTTATTTCATCTTCACTTTGTAGATTCATAAAGATCGATATTTTGGAAATTAACTCCTTTAACAATATCTTCCATACAATTTTTCCTCAAATAGGAGAAATTCTTCCTCTAAATGATCCCCAAAAAGAACACATGCTTTGTAGACTAGAAAAAAGTGTATTTCTTATTTAAGGGATAGAATGCATGGACTATATTCTGTACAATTCCTTTCTTATTAGTGGCATGCACTAGGCTCCTAGGTATTCTGGAAAAGAAAAAAATCAAATTATTTTTTGCTTTTTTTGGCAAGAAGGAGGATTATCAATTCCTGTGAAATTTTCAAAAAGCAGAAGCTTTCCCTGGATTTTGTATGAAAAAAATCAGAATACATCATTGTGTAAATTATCCAAAAAGAGTTTATTGTCTCAGCTCTAGTCTTGTGGTAGCTGATTTTAGTATTTTTTTCTCTTTTACGGGAAGAAACACATTAACTCAATCTGTAAAATGAACTGTCACACTGCAAAACATTATCATAATTGGCTGGCACCTGTTTCTTGGACATTCTGTCTGACAAACTCATGGGTCCTTGTGATTAAAATATGATAAATAAACTTGCTGATAGCTGTTTCCCAAGGAGAATAGCATATAAAGCTGAAAAAGAGTATTTTATTGGGCTTGGAGCTGAAACTTGAGAATTGGAAATTGTCAAAGCATTTACTCATTTATGCTAGCAATTATAACTACGCAACTGCTCTATTACAGTCACCTTGCAGAAGCTTGCTCTTCAGTGTAATAATAAGATCTTTAGTAATGTTTACTATGTGTATATAATGTGTAGTATACTTAATAATGTATATAATGAAATATAAGAGTATATCTGGAAAAACACAAAGCAAAATCCAGTGAACTTCTGGCCTTGATGAAGTAGCACGCCTTGTACCAAATCTTGTGGCTTTTACTTGGCTGCAGTAGAATTCCAATGATATTCTGCTGTTTGGAAGAACAGACTTTCTAACTCTTTCTTCATCTTTTGTTAGTAAGCTCAAAAGAAGCTCTTCAGTTATTTTAGCAAACTGATCCTATGATCAGCTTTTTTATGATAAATTAATGGCCATATAGGTATCAGGGTTTTGGGTCTTATTTTACTGTTTGTGATCTCTTTTTGGTTCCAGAGTCCCATTGCAGAATTTCACCTGCAGAAGGAAGGAGTGACTATGGCAAAGATCAGGGTTCAGGCTGCTTCAGTGTGAGAGATGATGCATGTGGCTGAGTGGTAGTGAGTATAGAGAGAAGGCCATTGGCTTTCTGAAAGCCGAGTCATAGAGGGGAAAACCACTTGAAAGTCTTAAAAATCAAGAATTCTAGTACTATGTGAGGTATAGGCACCATGATTTCTGCAGGTGCCACTAAATTGTCTCTCATGCACTGCTGTGATCTTTGATATACATGGAACATACAGTGTATGTTCTGAAGCTTATTTTATATGCATCATATGCTAAAGTGAGACAGGGAATGCTTTTACTACTGTTGCTGTAACATGTCCTTAAGTAACATAGACTACTAATTCCATTTTGAAAATGTTTGCTGTTGAATATGAGTGAAACTGTTATCCTTAAAAATTAAGAAGGCCAAAAGCTTTTGCCTACAAGATGGTGCACGTAATGGTGTAACAGAATTCTGTGGCAATCTTGCCTCTCTAGTAATGAATCCATGGACACCTTGTCTTATGAGTGAGTCACATGCTAGTGGAAGTAGCAGCTTTTGTATGTCATTGTGCTTGTTAAATCAAACTCCATTTGTAGCATTATTTCAATGCAGCAGGGCAAGAAAAGGTGAGAAAGTTCACCTATCCCGATTTGGAAATATGAAGAAGTTGCCATCAAACATGCTTTTGTATAGCATGTGAGGGTTTTTTTTAAGATCTAAGACCCTGAAGCCTAACAAGGACAGAAGGAACTGCTGTGTCCCTTCAAAAAGAGGGAACTAGCCCTCCTTAGAATGATGGAGGAGCTCCTTTTGGTAAGCTAATGAGTCACAGTGTGCTAAATCTTACAGTTGGCACAGGATTTGAATGGCCATCTGTTACATAAAAGTTTCTTTTCTCAGGAATTATGTGATACAATTGAACAAAACATCCTTTTGCTTTCAAAAATTATTGCATGAGAAAGAGGAGACGCAATTTTAAAATCATTGCACTATTCTTGTTTAGGTGAAAGCCCAGCTTCAAAAGATGGGATCTATTCAACCCATAAACATATTTCTCCGTCAAGAAATTGACCGCATGCAACATGTTATATCAAGAGTTCGAACTACACTGACTGATCTCAAATTGGCTATTGATGGTAAGTTACAATATTAAAAATCATACTAATTAAGATGCAATATCTATTACTAATGGTTGCTTATACTATGTAAGTAAATATTTTGTGTCCTTTCCTCCCTTTCTACCTCTTTCTCTTTTGTTCTCTCCCTCCCTGAGTTTTTCTCTTTTTCTCTCTATCATACTACTAATTCTAGCCCTTAAAGCCTCCTGACTGCATCTCTAAGGACACTTTGCCTTAATTTATTCTGTATGCATGTGCTCCAGTATTGCAGTTCATGTCCCACAGCACTACTACACTTCTCTGATTCTCTCTAGAATCTCTACAGAGCTCAGAGGAGCTGAATTGCATGATTAGGTCCACAGGTTGTGTGCCAGAGTCATTTATGAAATTAAGCTGAGACATAATGATATAGAACAAGGTAGAAGTGTTGCTGCTAAGTAATTGAGAGACAGGGCTCTCAGGAGGTCAGGTGGTAAAACCTCTAATTTAAGGTGAGATTTGCAATGTTTGTGAAACTGGTTATACCAAATAGGATGTCTCTAAATGGAAGCTGAAGTGAGTGTGAGTGCCAGTCAAAAGAGCGATAAGGTTCTTCTTTTAGCCATCACAAGAGGTAGGCAACAGCACTCTGTATCTCTCAGAGACAGGAGTATTTGGCTGCAAGTGAGCAATGGTGAATGTAGTTAAAAGAAATCAAGAGTACACATGACTAGAAGCAGATGGAAAATTTGATCAGAGGAGGAGCAAGGAAAAAGAAGGGACGATGATGTTACCATCTGCTTTTTGTTTTCACTCCCCATTTTGCTCATCTGCAAGAGTTGAAATGCCCAGGAAGGAAAGTATACTGTTACTCAGCCAAACTTCCTGAATAAACAATAAATGAAAATGAAGCAGCAACAGTTCAGTTCCACTGGTTAAGATCTCACTCAAGTCTGCTGTTCTGTAGCAGAGAGACAGAAAATATCTGAGACAGCAAACTGTCCCCACAGGGAGAAGGTCAGAGTGCCTGTAAACTAGTCCCTTCTGATATAGGTAATGGCAGTGCTGTGATCTGTTTTACTGGTGCTTTCCAGTCTTTCGACGATAAGTCTTCCCTAAAGGGAGATTTTTTTAATTTGTATCTTTGTTACATAAGGATCAAAAGGGATTTTTTCCTATCATTTGTATGATACACCGAGGCAACAATGCATGCTTCAGAAACATCATGCCTATAATCTGAATCTAGGAAAGAGGTTCATAAATGTGCCCAAGGCTAATTAGCTTCCATATCCTGTAATAACCTATGCAAAGATCAAGCTGGAAGAAACAATTGTCCTCTGTTTCAATGCTGAGCTGAAAGTTGCCTTTTATATGTGCATAGAGTCCCTTTTCAAGTAAATTAAACTAATGCTTTCCATCCAAGAAAGTACTAATCTTTCCTCAATTGTGACAGATATATTTCAAGTCTCAAAATGTGCAATATTCTGCAGAAGGGTGGATGAGGAACATAATTTATTTGCACTTAGTATTCAGTTCCACAGTGGGCACAGTTCTCTACCAGGTGTTTAATCAAATTAATGCTGTAACTTTTGTGCAATCCTCTAAAACATTATAATTTTCTTAGGGACAGTCAAGTTAAATACAGTGAAAAATCACTCGGAAAACAAAATTGGATGTATAGTTAACAATAACGATTAATGGCTTCTGGCAGATTCATGATACATCAAGTGCATGTGGTAGACTGTTAATTAGGGGTTGGAAAGAACATGTAGGCACTCTCTCTTGCCTCATCAAAGGGGAAAACCCCAAACTCTCTAATACTACATTCTCCCCCAAAACTACACAACTGCAGTCTCAGATCATCTGTGGTGCTCCTTTTTCTTTACAATGAGGTAAACTGATCCGCCTGCTCAAACAGGTCATATGAATTTTGACATTTCCCAGGTCATGCACCTGACTCTGGCTTCATGAGCCTGTTAAAGCCTGAGCACCCACTTATAGCAGATCTAAATTTTCAAACAAATTTTGTATTTAAGACTATAGCTCATCTTCATGTTGTGTCATGTAACTTTGTGAAAGGAGATCTGAATATTTGATTCTGCAGGTTGGATGTGAATAGATAGATGGACCTTGTCATTTTGCTGTTGCTCACTGAGTTACATCTGAAGTAATATAAAGCCCTCCTCAGTGAGAGACCTTGTGCAGCTGAACATGAGGGATGTTGAGGGAATTAGCAGAGACAGTTTTGTCCCTCTACCCAGAGGGCAGATTAAGCAGTGTTCAGTTTTTGGGAGGGGTGAGGATGCTCACCATGTGTCCAACATGTTTGTTGGCAGCCAGGCCCCACAAGCCTGCATCTCCACCAATAAACTTTGCTGCTGGCAGGATACTTTTTTTGGACCAAATAGTAATAATTAGATTGTAGCTGCACTTTGTCCTCTCAGTTATGTCCCAACCTTTTGTTCTGTTTTAATTACTTATTGATTGCCCAGGATTTATTTCACAGTTGGTATAATACAGAGCTTCACATAAATCAGAAAACAGCAATGATGATTGTTCTCTCAAGTGACCTAAATAGAGGCTATGTTCCAAGTAGAGAAATCTTTTAGAGACAAGGAAAGAGCTGTTTTCTCATCTTTTCATCTGAAGAGCAGTAAGACGTGGAGCTTGAACCAAAACTCCAGATCCTAATGGCTTATGAACATCAGATCTTAAGCCCCTGGCAGAAGGTGACCACATTCTTTGTAGGGCAGTAAAGGAGCTATAGAGTTCCTGTGTACATGCCTTATCTTCCTCCCGTGGAACTGTAGAGGCCTCTGTCTCTAATACCCTAATTATTAATTATTAATATTAATACTAATACCCTAGCTGTTTGTTGGAGAGTGGGCACTTCAAACCTCCTCTCCCACTAATGAAGACAGTGTCTTTAAATGCAGTAAAATCTAATAACCCATTCAGTTATTCCTAGTCACTCAGAGTTTGTTTGAGTAGAGGGGAACTGAATGTGACCTATCTGTGAGACTTGGGGGGGGGGTGTCCCTTTATTTCTTCATGCACTGAAGTAGGAGTGGTAAGTGTTTTGATGGCACCCTGATATGTCTTCTATCAGTGAAGAGTGAGAAGAGAGATTCTGTGGGAGTTATCCCTAGTACCTCTTGAGTGGCTTCCATGAATCTCATCAGTGGAGCATGCTTGTAGTAGCACTGAAAGTGGATATTGAATCTGTGGCCATGGAAATAAGCACAGATTTTATCTCCTAATTTTTGTTACCTCCTTTACATTCTGCTTAAGGGCTTTTCATGAAAGAAACAAATGCTTAACTCTGTTATTTATGAGTATATATAGATTCTACTTTGGTCATAAAACTGCATCCATTTGGCATTTGTTTCTGGTACCTCATAACTTTGTGTTTCCAAATTAATCCTTTAGAACTGCTTACTTCATGAACAAATGAAGGCCATACAAGAAACCTTGGATTTGTTATCCTTTCATGTCATACATGTGCCATATGATCACAGAACTCCCGCTGCTATTTGTGCGGTACTTGCAGAGTTAGGAGAGAGAAGTCCTTTCCCTGACATATTTCCTGAGAATACAGCAATCCCTCTAAAAGCTTTTACATGAGTTGTAATGTGTAAAGATTTGTTTTCAGGGGCCCAGAGTTTTTGTTCTTTACATTTTTCTTAGTACTTGCAAGACAATACCTACAGGAGCCATAAACCATAAGACCAACATAGAGGGCAAAAGAAGTGGAGTCAATACAAATACCTACTTGAGAAGGCATCATGGCATTTGTCACAGAAAAGGTCTACCAGGCTTAAGCAAACTTCCCACTGCAACTACAATATGGCATCCCTCATGTTACAAACCTAGCATATTTTCATACATGTAATGCACACCGTTCATAACCTGCATGCCAGGACTTGGAAAAAAAAATCACAGATTACTCTTATCCTACACCGGAAGAGAGGTCAATCAGAGCTTTTGGAATAATAGGATCAGGAACAAGGATGTTACTAAGGGCAGATAGGACTTTGCTATTTGCCCTCTTTTTACCCACACAGATGTATACCACGTGCATGTTCTTTAAATGACGCATAGCTTATATGCATGAAAACTCATTAAAATCAATACACTAACATGTGTCAGGTATATGTTTATGCCAGGTTGAGAAATGTGAGAAAATACAGGTGAGACTACTGAGACAGAAGGTATTGGAGAGTAAAAAATTTTTGTATGTGTTTCTAATATATGTTTCTAATATTTTTGGAACTTCATATTTCAGAAAAAGCTGAATAACAACTGTTAATAACAAGGCCTTGGGGAATAGTGGTGTATTTCACTAGTTTCTGTACATCTCAGTCATTGATTTGCTACCTTATTAAAAACTATTTCATTACCTGCTTTTAGCTCCTCACCATTCTTATACTGCGTTGCTAACCAGCATGTTGCCCTTGGGTGTTTCCTTATTGTTGTTCATATAAGAATATGTTGACATATCCAGAACTTCATGTAGATGTGAGGTAGCTTGTTGTTCTATATACATAATAGGAATCACTTAGCATTCCTATGTCATCTACACAAACTCATGTGTTAAGCCCCTGAAAAAATGAGATTAACTATTTTTTTCCAGCTCAGAATACTATGATCTTGATGATAGTGTTTGCATCACGTTGCAGCAAGGAATGTCTGTTTGTTGTATCTAGCACCTTACAAGAGGGCTATAAATGAACTCCAAAAGAGCCAAAAGAAGTAGCTGATAATTTATTCTAATCTATGTGGCAAAAAAACAAAGCTCGGGAAACTAGTCTTGCCAGAGTGCACAGGAAAGGTAATTTCCAATGAAGGGAAGGAGTATGGACTCATTCCCACTGGCTGGCTACATTCTGGTTTGACTTGTAATGCTTTAAAGCTGCTAACACTAATGCAATTTTAGTTTGGCCTGCTGACAATGGTAATAGACTTTTGGACTGAAAGATCTCAGGCTCTTACCTTCCTAATTCTTACTGTGCATGTGTAAGGCTTGTAGGGATCAGCTG